CTCCCTGGGTCCGACCCCCTTCGGAACACCCTCCCTGGGTCCGACCCCCTTCGGAACACCCTCCCTGGGTCCGACCCCCCTCGGACCACTCTCCCTCGGACCACCCTCCCTGGGACCGAGCTCCTGAGGGCCGACATCCTTGGAACCAAAATTCTTGGACCCGGCCTTCCGTGCACCGAGATCGCTCGTCCCGAGGTCGCAGGCACGGACACTCACACCGTCGTCAGGCGCATCGCGTTCTATTGCTAATTAGGTCCAAGAAAAGAAAAATCGAGAATGAAAAGAAAAGGATCGAGGATATCCTGACGAGCATCAGAACAGGAGTACTGATCGATACAAGGAGACCAAATGAAGGACGAGAACGAGACAGAGACGAGGATGCAGAGGGGAGCAATAAACGTGTGAAACTCTGAATGTATTGTACGTGCAGCTCCCCAGCCCTACGCTACTGTCTTAGCGGCGCGATTCACTGTGTAGAACCTACGATTCAGAGTTCAAAGGCCTTGAGATGATTTAAGTGGCGGCGGATTGAGCGAAGCGGCTGAGCGAAGCGGCTGAGCGCTATCTAAAAAAGGCAAAAGGAGCGGATGCTTACCTCCAAGGGAGAAACGATGCTGTGCCTCGTCGTGTTTTGAGCAGTTTTAGAATTGAAGTCTCCTTTCTACCCTTCTCATGCGCCAGCCACTCTAGATGTCTGAAGAGTCATTGCTATTTCCTCAGAATAGGATGAATCTGTTCTGGGAGAAAACAGGACTCGGAAGAGAAGCTGGGTGCTCAAGTGCTCCATTAGAATTCGCGTGTTTGGCGGAGTAATTTCTCAACTCTGTCGACTACTCCACCAAACCGCCGAGCGCTCCGAGTTAGAACGGGTAACGGCGCTCTTTCGGTTCGGCGTTCTCGGCGTGAGAGGCTATCGCGCTGAAGCAATCACGCAATGCGGGGCGAGGCAGCTCGTACGGACGTCTGTGGCACAGCAAAACACATGGTTTTTGTTTCGGAGGGCGCTTTCGTAGGGGTAACGCCACCCTGCTACAGCCTATGTACGCTATAAATTACCGATTTCAGCGTCCTCTGCGCCTTCACAGACAACACATTCTACACCTCCAAGACTCAGATCCTACTCGAAAGATGCGAATCGCTCGTTCGCTATTCACCCTCGCCGTCATCGGCGTCATATCTTCTGTCGTCATAGCTGTGAAGAAGGATCGATGGGATCCTCTCACTGATAAGGTGATTGAAGATCTTTCCCTTCTCCAGTGCCGGTTTGGGCACCAAGACAGGCACGAATCCGAGGAGGTGACGGGTCAATTAGCAAATCACCAACATGATTCTGAACGAGACACTATGCCACCCGTCCTGAGTCAGGACCAAGCATCGACTTCACGCCTGGAAGTAGATGGGGAAGAAAGGCATGAGACCTTAGGAACAGTCAACTTCATACAGAGTCGAAACAATCCAGTGGCCTGGCTTAAGGCACTGCTGTCCAAGGTCGTCTATTACGAGCGGCACCTTAAGATGATATCTTCGCGCGCCTCAAGAGAAGACGAGAGATTGGAAAAAATCATAGTTAAGCAGCCCTGGAGCCAACACCTCATCCGAAAGCAACTGGAGGTACATAACAAGAACGAAGTAGCCAAGCGTAGGCTGAAGAAAATTCCGAAAGAAAAGAAAATGATCAAGAATCTCCTCAAGGATGTCAAGGCCGCATTGCCTGTCGCCAGACGCAGGAGGGCCCGCACAAGAACGAGAAGGAGACAGAGATGAGCATGCGGAGGGGAGCAATAAACGTTTCACAAGCTGAATGTATTGTACGGGCAGCTCCTTAGCCCTACGCTACTGTCTCGACGACGCAATCTATTGTGTATTACCTACGATTCAGGGATCAAAAGAGAGGGAATGACTAACGTACAGAGCTTTGAGGCTATTCTAAGTGGCAGCAAATTGAGCGAAGTGGCTGAGCACTCAGGAGGAGCGGAAATTTACATCCAAGGAAAAAATGACGCTGTGTCATTCCATGTTCCGAGCATTTTGAGAACTGAGTCTCCCTTCCTACCTTTTCCATGCTCCAGCCAGACTAGATGCCTGAAAGGGCCATTGCTCTTCCTCAGAGTATAGAAGTTCTGTTCTGGAGATGACAAGACTTGGAAGAGAAGCTGGTGCTCGACTGTTTCAACAGAATTTCGCGTGTTTGGCCGAGCACTTTCTCAATTCCATCGACTCGTGCGAAATTTCTGAGCGTTCCGGGTTAGAACGAGTATCGGTCCCGTATCGGTTCAGCGTCCTAGCCCTGAGGGGCTGTTGTGCTGAAGTGATCACGCAATGCGGGGCGAGACAACTCGTACGGGATTGGGTTGAACATGCGAGCAAGAACAGCCCCTCCTCCCTCCCTCCTCCCTCCCTCCTCTCTAAAAAACCCACAAAAAAAGTTTTCCGTAGTTGAGTTTCTTAGAGTAATTAGAGAGCTATCATTGTTACACCACTACGACTTTTGTGTCCGCGGCGGCGAAGCATTGTGCGGTATCTAAGATTCCAAGGATGGAGAGGAGACATTAAGTCGCGTACAGAGCGTTGAGACAGGTCTGTGTGACGGCGTCGTGAACGAAGAGCGGATGAAGGAAGCGGCGGAGCGGCCGTGGTGGTTGGACAGGAGGAGGTGATACTAGCCTACAGCTATGGAAGAAGAACCGCTTTCCTCTTCGCGCTCTGAGCACATTCAGAGTTGAACACCTTGCCCCAATCTACTCGGGGAGCTGAACACTTGAAGTAGGCGTGACTATTCCTCTGAATATAGCCAGTCTTTGAAGTATTCGAGAGGATGAAGTGAAGACGGGACAGCCTCGTCAGAAAGATCAAGGCCACCACAAGCGCATCGTCTTTCTCACAGCTGTACTGTACAAGCCTTGACAAAGGCGAGACGAAAAGGAAAGGCGAGACGAAAGGGAAAGGTGGAACGGAAGGCGGCGTGGAGTGAGGCGTCAAAAGTAGAAATGTCAAAACGCCTAAAGCGGAGTCCAATGTTTTTGGCAACGAAAATAAAAGGCAGAGGCAAGAGTAACAGCACAGCCCTTTTTCAGTGAGGAAGGCGGCGCACTAGCAGGTGTGGGGCATAGGTCCTCCACCAGCTCGCCATCTGATATGTGAGGGGCTACAATTACGCAGCACGGGGCGAAGCAGCGCTTGAGTAATAACGACACAGCAAGGACCGTTTTTGACTCAGAGGTTTCTGCGGCTTTGAAAAGTCTGATACAGCCACACCGCAATAAAAGCTTGGGTCAATTTGACTGAGACAAATGTCTTCCCCCTTCATCAGAAACCACCTCTTCTTCGCGCTGGAGCCTCTTCAACGATGCGAATCACTCACGTACTGCTCACATTCCTCATCGTGGCCTTCTCGGCCAACGCCATGGACGGAAGACACGCAAGCTCGTCGGCGCACCTGGACAACGGAGAAGGATCACTTTCGAATGAAATGGCGAATCTAAAGGTCAACAATCGTGCAGAGCATTCAGATCACCATCAGACTGTAAACCACCATGCGACTGTAGATCGCCATCAGACTGTAAACCACCATGCGACTGTAGATCGCCATCAGACTGTAGATCGCCATCAGACCGTAGATGTGGATTCCGTGCCTTCTCCGACTTCCTTGGTAGCCGAATTCGAAGCAGAATTAGAGAAATACAATCGTCAAGAGCAAGCAGCCTATGAAGCGGCCCGTGAGGCCACTCAAAGAGTAGGCATTCACGCCGCACTACTCCACGTCTCACCAAACGATGCTCACTTACTTAGGTTGCGCTTACTTCGAGACTTGCGAGTTGAGATCGATAACTTCCGTATAGCCTCTTCACAAGGCCGAAACTTTGCGGAAGTGCAAGACGTCATCGAGGGGCTGATTCACCGATTGAAGAACCCAGCTGGTCGAAGCACGCAGGCTCATGAAGGAAGCGAATCTCCTTAGCGATTCAGGGGAGTTTGTAGAAGTCACCGAAATCAACAAAGAGCAGACCAGATGGGAAGGATGACTGTCGTCGAAATCAATCGCTTTTTCTAAACGATCAAAAATCGTTGTGATATGTCCAGCATGAATCATTTAAGGGTTTCAACGTTGTTGCGAATGAAGACCTGATGACAGTGGGATCAGTCTGCTTAGCCTCTCACCCTTCGTGTACAAAGCTGCTAAGCCCTTGCGCTGGAGCAGACTGCCGGTGGAGCAGCCCTTCCAATTGGCCATGAGTGTTTCTTTGAAGTGAAGACAACACACCCGTGGAGCAGTCACTTTAGTTGATAAACACTGAAGAGAGTGTGAGATTGATGAGGGGTGTTCTCGGTGAGGATGGGCGCGCGCCTCGGGGGGCGTCTGTCCTCCTTCGGCTCGGCGTGTGCGCCGTGCGGGGCTCGCATACAATCACGCAATGCAGGACGAAACAGCACTACAAAGCGTTGAACAACACAGCAAGATGCAGCGTATCTGATTTTAAGGGCACTGAGGCCTAAACAGCCAACACGCTATAAGAGATAGTTTCAACGGGTCGGACACAACGCTCTCCCCCAAGAATCATTTTTCTTCCACACCTTCCACACCTGAAGGATTCCTCTTTCACCATGAGACTCCCTCATCTTCTGCTGGTCTTCCTCCTCCTCACCATGTCCGCCAAGGCCATGGACAAAGGAAAAGGAATCTCATCGTCACATGGGAATGGCGAAGAGGAGCCTCCTTCGAACGATAAGGCAAGAGTTGAATCTAGCCGTCACCGAGACCATGCAGATCACCATCAGACTGTGAAAGAGGACCTCGCCTCTCGAGCAACTCACTGGGCAGACGTGCTCCAAGCTCTACTCAACGAGCATGACAATCTCGAGAGAACGAACACAGGAGCGCGCCATAGGGCTTTCATTGAAGGCCTCATTTTGGACTCAAATCTGCAGCACTCATCGAGCGACGAATCACTGGGGAAGCTGGAAAGTGTACTCGACGTTTTTGAGGAAACAATATTGAAAGGCAAAACGTTGCAGGACCTGAAAAACGTACTGGAGAAAACAATACAACAACTGAGAAGTATAGCCGATAAACACAAGCGGGCCCAAGAAGGACGGCAAGCGAAGTAGGAGAGATCAGAGCAACTCGTAAGCTGGCCGAAAGCGAAAAGGATAGAACCAGACAAGAAAGGCTGGCGTCGTCGAAATCGAATGCGTCATGAAGGTTTTATCAAGTGAAATGTTGTGATGTCTTCTGTATGAGAGTCAAAGATCAAAATTCTAAAGTTCCCTACGTTGTTGAGAATCAGGACCTGTCACTCAGGGCAATGGAACAGGTCTACCTGGCCTCTCTGCCATCACACCGTACGCAAACTTGTCGACTTGTCGCTCTAGAGAGAAAAGATCCTGCTTCACCAGCCGTTGCAATTGGCTGGGAGTGGATTTTTGCAGTGAATCAACGCGCCGGAGGTGCAGTGTTATTTTTTTTTTGACGAGGAAAGAGTGCGAGAGTAAGGAATTCTCTTCAGTGAGTGTGGGTACGTGTCTGGGGGTGCATCGGCCCTCCTTCGGCTCGGAGCTGCTCCGTGAGAAGCTGTTCTGCTCAATCACGCAATTCAGGGCCAAACAGCGCTTCAAAGCGTAAACAACACAGCAAGAAGCGCGCTTGGTTCAGAGGGCCCTGTGATTTGAACAGCCTGAAGCAGCAACTACTACGCAATAAAGCTCGCGACAAGTAAATTCAAAACAGCATGGTTTCTCTTCGTCAAAAAACCAGTTCTGATTGACGTCGGAGCGTCGTCTCTACCATATGGAAACATCCCCGCCCTCACATGCAAAGCTGTCGAATTGGCGCGCTGGGGAAGAAGGCCAGTGAAGCATGCACTTACCATTGGCTAAGGGGTGATGCTTTGCGGTAGACACAGCATGGCCGATGAGCTGTCATGCTTGGTATCAAAACACAGAAACACTTTAGAGGGCAAAGGGTTGAATTCAGTGAGAATGGATGCGCGCCTCGAGTAATGTCGGTACTGCATCGGCTCGGCGTCTGCGCCGTGAGGCTTTTCGTGCTGCATCACGCAATACGGGGTGAAACGATGCTTTCTGGCGCTGCGTACGAGGTAAGGGACGGAGCATTCGAGGCAGAGGACACCACAGAGGTTTCAGACAGCCTATCGCAGTCAATGTACTGTACTAAACTTATAAAAGATCATAGACTTGACTGAGAGCAGCGCGCCCCCCCTTCATCAAGCAAAATCACTACCTCTCCTTCACCTTGGAAGGAACTTCACGACAATGCGGTTCACCAACCTACTGCTCACCTTCCTACTCGTCGCCATCTCGGTCGAGGCAATGAAAAGACGAAAACTAAGTTCGTCCTCACAACGTGACGAACAGGAAGACCTCCTTAGGAGCATTGCGAACCTGAATCTCAACCAATGCGAAGAGAGTCCACATGAAGAACATGTTCACGAACCCGAGACTGCAGTTGGACTGAAATCAGTGGCAGATGAGCTCGAGGAGCTTCTTAAATGGTCTCGTGATGACAAGATGGAGCTCGAGGGACGAAAGCTGGAGCTAGAGGAAGCTGTTCGCTCGTTGACTACTGATCTATGGGGCAGGCGCCTAATGGGCTTTGAGGAAGACGGATCGTTCGAGCTGTTAATGGAATTGGCCGACAATCTAAAGAACTTATCCTCTAGGTCCAAAGCCTTTCGCGAGATGCAAGAAGACTTGGAGAAGATCATCGCGCGATTGAAGCACAAAATACAGCAGAAAGGCTCAACAGGAAGGGAAGCAAATTTGGGAAAAGCGAGGGAAAGGAAAGATCATCGGCGAAGACGAGGGAAGACTAATTTGGGCGAAAGTAGTCATTAAGAGCCGTGGGGAGGACTGAATATAGGGCGAAAGCGAGAGGCAGAGACTGAATGGGAGGCATGAATGTCTCTAAAATCAAATGAATCTTGATGGCAAATAAATACATTGGTGTGGCGTGTTCTGCGTAGCCCTGAATGAGTAAAGGCTCTTATATTTGGCTGGGAGCGATGCTTTGCAGTGAGGGCAACATGGCTGATGAGTGTTCATTGTCGTTTCAAAACACGGAAAAAGAGCGCGAATTATAGAGGGGTGTCTTCAGCGAGAATGGGCGCGCGCCTCCGGGGCTCTCCTTCGGCTCGGCGTCTGCGCCGTGCGTGGCTATCGTGCTCAATCACGCAATACGGGGTGAAGCAGCACTTGAAAAGCTCAAGCAACACAGCAAACACAGCGTATTCGCTCTGGAGTGCACTGAGGTCCTGCACAGCTTAATATAGCCACCCTGGTATGAAAGATGAGCTTAATGGGTCGAACACAGAGCCCCTCCCCAGAAGAACAAATTGATTACTCACCTCAGGTGCTTTTCTGGACTATGCGACTCCCTCATCTACTGCTCATATTCCTTCTCGTCACCTTGTACGTCAAGGCCATGGACAAAGGAAAGGGACTCTCGTCGACAAGCCGGAATGATGAAGAGCAGCCCCTTTCCAACGAGATGGCAAACGGAGAGGTCGACCATCACGGAGAAAAGCATGTCGAAGTTCGCAACAGTCTGTTGAAATTATCACAAGACTTTGAAAACGCGGCGAACCAGGTCGAAGAAGTTGTTCGAACAGATCGCTACAAGCACGCTTTAGTCAAAGATAAACTGAGCTTTATCTATGCCACTGCTGCTGGAGTTCTGCACGATGAGCTGAACTCGTTGCGCGATTACTTGCCTCACGAATACTGGCCGGAAAATTACTTTCCGCCCGGCTATTCAGATGCACATAAAGATTTACGCCTCGCTCTCGCCGACTACGAAGCGATCATGCCCATACACATCGATTACGAGAAGCGGATAAAAGATCTTGAGAAGGTGATCACAAAAATCCGGGAGGCAGGCCATAGGGTGCGAAATGAAGCTAGCAGATTAGAAAGTATCTTGGAGAGAACTCGAAAGAGGAAGCACATTGCTGAAAACGAGAAGGGGGGAAGCGAAAGACAGAGATAGATAGTCAAGGAATAGAAATGCGCCTCCAAAAGCATACCGTGTAGAATCCTGACCTCTGTGACAGTTGAAGTAAAAAAAGTAGCCGAGTGTGTCTTTGAGACGGCCTTGTCCGTTTCCCAATCCTGTGACGGCGGTGATGCCGGTATCGGGAAGCGACTGCCGTCGTCGCTTGTTCTCTGCCCTCGCTCATCGAGTATCGGTGGGCACGTGTGCGTGTGCCTTTGGGCCGCTCAAGCCGTTCCAGCTCGCTCTGCATAGTGCATAGCCTGCCTTTGTTTATCCCGATTGAGCGAAAAGACATCGGGCTAGGGAGCCTGCCTTGTCCGGAAGAGCTCACTCAGGCTGAAACTTACTCTAAGACTCACTCTGGACCTACTCGGAGACCCACTCTAAGACCCACTCTGCACCCACTCTGAGACCCACACGGTGCCCGCCGCGCGAGGGGACATTCACACTGCCGAGACTTGCTTGCCTGTAAGCCGAACATGGCCTTTGGCCGCACAGGTTTGACCGGTGCTGACCGTCGCGCGGGACGCCTGCTCAGCACGTCGGCATTTCTCACAGTTCGCACGCAGCCAATCGCATCTTCGGTGTCGGTCGGTCCGGGCGCGGACAAACACCTGAAGCCCTTTCCGGACAAGAGAAGGATGGTGCAATTCGCAGCCCTCGCGAACCAACCCCGACGGTCATACCTCGAACCAGGGGGAAGTCTCCATGCCATATAAATCGAGCTTCAGCCTCCGAATGCTTCTCGCTGCTTCTTTCCTCCTCTCAACCAAGTCAAAGACCGTTCTTTCACCCCAGCAGAAGAATCTTTTCGGAGGGAAGACCACCACCAAAACTATCATTGCTCTTTGCCATCCAGGTCGACAAGACTATGCCAAATACAATGTACCCTCCCCAGCTCTTGGACCTGCTCCTGCTTTCGCTCGTCGCCATCACGATGCTCGTTGCACCAGCAGCAGGCATGAATGCAGCCATCGAACTGGCCATGGAGGCAGGAGAAGGCTCAGGATCTCACGCTCCCCACAAAATCGTGACGGGGACAAGTACCGGACGTGCAGGTGTGTCATCACTTTATCCACAGCTCGTTAAGCTCAGTGGAGAGGAATTGCAAAGCATGATCGAGGGCCAGGAACGTCATCTTAAAAGGTTGACCAAGCTCGAGGAACAGTACGATGATGCGATAAGGACGGGCGACCCGGACGCTTACGATTGCGCTCTGAAGAAGCTCCATGCTCTCAAAATAAAGGAGGGCAGTGGCAGCGCGCTGATGGTGAAAGAGGAATTGGCCATGCTGCAAAAGGTGAGACAAGACAGGCAAGAGGTATGGGAACAACGCCAAGCCAAGAAGCGCGCAAAAGCGGCGAAGAACCAAATGGAGATTCTGAAAACCATCTTGGAGGAGAGTGAAGATGGCGACGAAATGGCTGAGAGCATGACAGCTCAAGCACGGACAACGTGGAAAGCAAGACGGAGATCTCGAAAGGGGGCGAGGAAGAGAGCCGAAAACGAGCTGAAACAGAGCGAGTACCGTGCCGGGCGTAGGCGGCGGTGATGGCAGTCTTGCCGCTGTGTGTATATTTACTACTACTTGCAGGAGAAGTTGTCAAGAGATGCTGTTGTCAGGACAGAATAGGACATACGGCCCGTTTCGGTCCGTGTCGGTCGATTTCTTCCTGTGCATACCGTTGCTTGCCTAATCTGGACTGAAATCCGTCCGGCTGTAAGCCCAGTCGCCCCGCCGCTTAGGAAAAATTCAACAGAAATGTAACAGGTCAGCCCCACTCCAGAATCAGTGCTTCTCGGGGAGAGATAGGCCAGAGGACCGGCCAGCATCACAACATCTGGGCTCAGCGGGGCTTGGCCCTCTTTTCCTTGCTGCTCCAGCGAGGGGATGTCAAGCTATATATAGGAGCCTTCTGGACTCTGCACGAGACAGAGCTCGTTTGGTTGTGTCTCTTCGCCCCAGAACGCTTCTGCAATCAGTGTTCCCGAGGCGCTTCCATCTACGTCCTGCAGCACCACTCCTCGACCAAGATGAGGTTTCTCAAAGTCTTGCTTTTTTCCATCGTAATCTTCGCTACCTTTGCTACCGCTTTGGACAAGAGGGGAGACACACCTTCCGACGGCTCTACCTTTGACTGGAGCACGGTGTCCGACATCGAGCGCGGGAAGTGGCCCTCTGATGCCAGAGCATGGTGGAGCCCATGGATCACTCGGCACCGGAAGATCCTCATCTTGGAACACGAGCTCAACAGATTGAGGAAGACTGGTGATGCTGGCCCAGGTAAGCTCCTACATGGTGGTGTGCATGACCTTCAGAGAAGGAGATCGAGCGTCAGAAATGGACAAAATCGACTGATTCTTATTTCCTCTTCTAGCAGTGTTGAAGCTTAACGACGAGCTTAAAGAAGCTCAAAAGGATCTCAATTCTGTAGGAGCTCTAATCCAATCATATGTCTCTGCAGGACAGCATCCTAAGGGGAGGTTTCGTCAAATCGTTGAGCAGAAAATCTTGAAGAGAAAAGGAAGGGCTGTAGTTCAGCCAGATGAAAGCCAAACCGGATTCAAGAGCAAGGCGAGACGACGTCTTGCATTCCAGGAGAGTGAAGATGACGACGAGGACGACGGCGAAAGAACCGCTCGAGCAACTGCGATGACGACAACGATTGGCGAGCAGAACCGAGTTGAGAACAGAAACGGCCCTCGGCGGCTGCAGCGGGCGCGTAGCATCGCGAGTATGCAAATGTAAAAGACGTGCTTTGTACAAGAGATATTGATGTCATGAAACAAACAAAGCATATGACCCTCCTCGGTCCAAATCGGTCGATGGAGTCGCGCGGCCTTGTGTGGGCCTGCGTGTTTAGAATCGGAGGTGCTCCAGCTGCCTTACAAGCTGGGCTCCGGCGATGCGGGCAAACGCTGAAAAAGGTGAACAACAACACCTCAGATGTGTGTTGTCTTCAAAGACGGCGGCGATGGCCAGGATGGCCGGAGCACCACATCCACAGCCTCAAGACTCAGCCCTGTTCTCTCTAGTCCCAACGACAACTCAAAGATATATATAAAGGTGTCTTTCCTTGAATCTCCTCTCAGCAGAGCTCTTCTGACAGCGGCCCTCTCTTCGTATAGAGACATTTCTTGGTGTCAACATCCCTCCATCAAAAAGAGGCGTCGGCCCCACGAAAGAACTTACGTCCTTGCACCGAAATATCACGGTCAAGATGAAGTCTTCGAAAGCCTTACTCATTACCTTCGCACTCCTCGCTGCTTCTGCCACGGCTATGCAAAAGGAGGAAGGCTCCTCTCCTGACGGCAATGAGTCCAAGTGGAGCAAGATCTCGGAAACCGAAGTGGATACCTGGCCACCGGAGGCCCAGAAAAAGTACAAGGCGTGGCTCGCCTGCTGTGAAGCAATCAAAGATGGCGAGAAGGCGCAAAGGGGTGTGGAAAGTTTATATGCTGGGCGAGAAGCTTACAATGTGGACCGACCTCGTTCAAAGAAACTGCTGGAGCCTCCGACAATCACGAGCCCATACTTCAAGGGTACCTACCCCGATAGAGTGCAAGAAGGCAACAAGGAGCTGCTGGCTCGTCTCGCTGAAATAGAGCGTGAACTCGAGGCAGCAGTCCCAAAGGGCTATCAAAGCGAGCTCCAAGAGGAACGCGAGAGCAATGAAGATGAGGCATGAGCAATAGGGAAGCTAAGTTGGTGTCATAGTAAGACTGCGTTCTGATACTGTGTGTGTAGAGAAGGTCCTTATAGGCAACGAATGTTATCACCTCAAACGCCTCAGCGCGGGGCACTCTACAGTCCTCGGCTTTGTGACTGTGGTCCTCGGACCGGAAAGAGAGAGCGAGTAGCGTCGACTGAAGCGAGTAGCGGCGAGTCGCACTCGGAGTTCACGACAAAGCACAAAAACATCGAAAGAATTTGTTGTGATATGATGGATTGCTTTCGACCGCAGTCAAGGGGAAATTTATTGTCGATTGTGGACTATAGGCCCATGCTATACGGACAAGGCAGAAGCAGGAGGTGTCCACGTTTTTCAGAAGAGAACCATGCCGTTTGACAGATGAGCAAGTAGTGGTGCAGGCTCGCGGCATTCTCGCTCGAAATGATTCTCGGCAAGGTCATGGCGCTCCATCAAACGAGTTTAGACCGAGAGATTCCTACTCCGGCACTCTAGCCCGTGCTCGAAGTAGCTTCTCTGGTATCCACAGAGTCAGCCTTCTGACGTGATGTCCCAAGACTCATTGCCCTTGCAACGGAGATATGAAGTTATATATGGGGCCTCTATCTCAGCAGCGATCCATACATCTCGCCGACAGCAGAGGTCAGTACCCTTAGTCTTCAGTTCTTCACCCATTCAAGCGAAAATCTCGGGTTCAAGTGACTCACTTATCAGATAGACCACCGGCACCCATCTCGCATCATTCGGTCGTCTTCTAGTCGAAGCGTGCGTTTCTTCTCACGATGCGTTTAGCCAGGATCTTCCTCCTCCATCTCTTTGCCCTTGCCATGCTTGCCACAACCACCACGGCCATGGAAGGGGGAGAGTCAGGTAGCGCTGCAGACTTTGCGGATTTGACTTGGCACGGAAGCCCGTCAACCACGCAAGAGGAAGGAGACTCTTCGCGGCCTCACAATGTGCCAGCCCTTGACTACGGGGACACCGTCCTTCAGTGGTGTGAACTTTTCGGCACGGAAAGTGAGCGCGAGAAATGGCCGGAGGAAGGCCAGAAGCTATTTAAGAAGTGGTTTCATACGGCTTCTACACTCAAAGATGTGTGGGATTCGGTTGAATGGCATCACATCGTCGCGATCCACGAAGCAAAAGATAGAATCGCAAAGGAGAAGGCTGCGGGGAGAGGAAATTTAGAGCGAGCTCCACATGGAGAATACGATCCTAACACCAAATCGCGCAAAGATGTCCAGCGGGAATCGAAATTAAAAGGAATGGTCGAGAATGCAGCCGCGTTTGCAAGAGAAGAGGCGCATATGAGAGCAAGTCTTCTCGCTTGGGTGGGGGGATGGAAGAAGGCACATGGGACTCAGAGCTCAGAGGGAGGGGAGGCAGCCGCAGTAGATTGGATTGAGAAGTTGAGCAAGACTCGGATCACGGCAAACGAAGAACGTGAATCCGACGATGAAGTCGCCGAACGTCACGGCCACGGATCAGGAGCACACAATGACACAGGAGACATCACTCAAGACTTTGACTTATCGCAGCCTCTTTTGGGCACATCGAAGGCAGAAAGGGGCAAAGGAAAGGGATCAGGCAGTGATAGCTCTCGTTGGAGAAAGATCCTTAAAGGAAGAAAGCCGTAGAGAGCCTCTCCGAGTCGGCATGAAATTAGTCTCCTTACCATTGATAATTTCCAGAGGTGTGGCCATTGTTATTGGCCGAAAGTAGTCTTAGCTGACCGGGCGCAGTCTGCTGGGCTAGAAATCTAGAGCATGTATGCTTGAAGTTCTTGACATACCAGACCACAGCCAGACGTTGACGTCACCCAGGATGATTGCCGTCACGATCTGCCACGCCAGAGCCTACCGACCGCAGTAAACGTTGTGCTCACTCTGTCCTCTCTCACTCCAATGACTGGGCACGTGGCGATTGCCCAGCCATATAATCGTCTTTCGCATGAACCTGTGCGATGGCCGCTCTCCCTTTATTTATTGGACTTTGATATGCAGTAGGACGTTTGCTGCGTCCGAAAAGCCATCCTTCAGAAAGCCCCATGCCGCTCAGCCGAAGTTGTTCCGAACAAGAAATCTCCTACGCCATCTCTGGCTCGGAGAGCGGTGTCCGGCTTCAGCCCCATGTCACAGCCTCTTGTAGTTCAGCCCACGACCCTCTATTCACACAAGGGAGGTATAAAGCTACCCTCTGTTAAGCAACAACCCAGAAACGCCTCCCAAACAAGCAGAACTCAATCGCCGATAGCTCTCACTGCTCCAAACGGCACTCCTGATTTCTTCAAAAGGTTCAAAGGGTTCTGCCTCGCTTCAATTAGCCGCCCTTAGGTCAAAGTACGCTCATCTGCCCACGATGCATTTACCCAAACTTCTCGCCTTCCGTCTCTTCGTTCTTGCCATCTTCGCCATGTCTGCCATGGCCATGGAATGGGGAGCCAGCTCGGAAAAAGGCACAGCGCACTTGGATTGGCAGAAAGACCGGCCAGCCGTGCAAGAAATTGAAGAGTGTCAAAAGCATGAACAAGCGGTCGCTGCATTCTTGCACAAATACAACATCGAAGAGTTGTGCAAAGGACCTGAAATCGAGAACGAGCACTTACCTTGGTCGCAAGAAGTCTGGAACTTACATGAGGACTGGTCGAAAAAGGTCCGTTCGCTCAAGACAGCCCATGCAACATTCGAGAAAGGACTCGAGGTTTTACGTGAGTCTGTGGTGGCGAGCCCTTATCCACCCATGGATCCGAATGAACGACCTTCATACGATCACCGCCGCCAGATGTCCCGCATGGCTAGGGAACAAAACCAAAAAGAGCTCGAAGACTTAGAGAATATCGCAGAGAAAGTGGTGGCCGCAAGAAACCGTCTTTTGGCTTTTATGAAAGGGAAGGAGACACAGGACCTGGGAGAAGGAGAAGACAGTGTGGTCGCCGAGCATTTCGGTCACAGCAAGCATGGTTACGAGGGCAAGGGAAAGGTTTCCGAACACGATTTGACCGAGCAACTTCCGACTGAGTCGAAGAAAGGCAAAGGAAAAACATCGGACAGCGACGGTACTCGACGCGAGGGATTGTGGCCTAAGTGGAACCGTAAAAAAAAGGCAGACTGACCAGTTCCTTGTTCGGTATGAATTAACACCAAAGAAGCGTAGGCTTGTGTCAGGGTCAGTGTAGAGCTAGCTTCTTGAAGGGAGTCGACAGTGCAATGTTAGATAAACCAGCTTGACATAAACCACGCATGCGGGCGTTTTGGCCTTACTCAAATCACTGTCGGGGCTTTGTGCACTGCACAGTGCGCCAGTGAAGCCGTCCAGTCATCTTGCCCCCTGAGGAAGCCCCACAGTGCTCAGCGGACCGAGATTAGACCGACTAATTCTTACTCTAATTCTGTCGGCGGAGAATAAAGAAAAAAAAAGGCTTCAGCCCCATATCACGACCTACTCTGTCTGCAAAGGAGAAATCAGACTATGTGCAAACGTCTTTTTTTTCTTACAAAAGTCAAGTGTCCCTCGGACAGCAAGCTCCAATCGAAACACCCTCATCCCTTCCTTTCCAGCCCTTCTTCTCGTGTAAAAGACGCTTCCTCACTTCAGGAGACCACCAGTCACCGACTTTGCATCATTCGAACGGGCCTTACCCGCCATGAGAGCGCCCGCTTCTGCCACCATGCGTTCACTCATTTTCGTCCTCCTCTCCTTCACCTTTGCATTGATCGCCACATATGCCATGCCCATGCATTCAAGAAGCAGTTCAACTAGCCCAGATAGAGACGCTGACCTTGAGAATTTGATTTCGATGGGAGAGTCAGCGACCTCGCCCGGGATGCAACCCTATCTGAACCAGGGCTCCAGTGAGGTACAGACCGACACTGACCGGGCCCACGAGGAATGGATCAATCAATTTGGCGACAAGTACGAACGCAGCCACTGGCCGGATGAAGGCCTCAGGTTGTTTTGGGATTGGAACGTCAAGATCTGGGAATTCCAAGGTGCTAGGAACTCAGTCAAATTTGGAGCATCAGTTGAAAGTACTGATGAGCAACGGTAAGATGGGCCTCTAGACTCAGTCTACTTCTTCCTCTGCCAATAGCTCACAGAAATTTAGAGAAGAGCAATCGATTCGCGAAGCTAAATTGCAGGCAGCCGAAAGAGAAGAGGAGCTTGCGAGGGAACGTGTTCGTGTATGGAAGGAGCAGTGGGTGGAGTCGCAAAAGACAGGAGGAGGAGAAGAATCGGACAGTGAAGATGACCAGCACCGCACTAACCAACAAAAAGGAAGCAAGTGCAAAGGAAAAGCTTCCGACGACGAGGCCGAGCCTCTTTTAGCCAAATCGAAAAAGGGCAAGGGAAAGGCATCGGACAGCGAAGGCTCTCGACGCAAGGGATTTTGGGCTAAGTGGACCAAGAAGAAAGACAAAATACCCTGACAAGTATGTTGTTCGGCATGACTTAACACCAAGGAAGAAGAGCAGGCTCGTGTCAGGGTCAATGTAGAGCTAGCTTCTAGAAGGGAGTCGACAGTGCAACGTTAGAAAATCAGCTTGACATGAACCACGCGTGAGGGCGTTTTGGCCTAACTCAAATCACAGTCGGGGCTCTGTGCACTGCACAGTGCGCCATTGAAGCCGTCCGGTCATCTTGCCCCTTGACGAAGCCCCACAGTACTCAGCAGACCGAGGGTGGACTAACCGCTTCTTACTTTTACTCGGTCGGCGGAGAGGAAAATACTGCTTTAGCCCCAAGCCCCGACGTACTCTGTCTGCAAAGGAGAAATCAGACTACATGCAAGCAAATGTCCTTTTTTTTTCGATAAAAGACATGTGTTCCTCGGACAGCAAGCCTCCTCCCTTCCTTTACAGCCCTTCCTCTCGTGTAAAAGACACTTCCTCTATTCAGGAGACCACCAGTCACCGACTTGGCAACATTCGAACGCCTATCCCTATGAGAGCGCCCGCTTCTGCCATCATGCGTTCACTCATTTTCATCCTCCTCTCCTTCACCTTTGCATTGATCGCCACATATGCCATGCCCATGGATTCAGGAAGCAGTTCAACGAGCCCGCATAGGAACTCGGACCTAGAGAACATGTTTACGCTAGGAGAGTCAGCGACCTCGCCCGGGAAGCGACCCTATATTGACCTGGAATTTACTGAGATACCGACCGATGCCTACCTGGCCAACATCAACCAACAGATCAACCAGTTTGGCGACGAGCACGAGCGCAGCCGCTGGCCGGTAAAAGGTCTCGATCTCTTTCAGGATTGGATGTTGAAGTTTTCGGGCCTCGAATGTGCCAGGCAAGCGCTCGCGAATGGGGCCAAACGAGAAAAACTTTATGAGCAATGGAAATTTGGGGATCTAACGCCAGCCTACCATTCCCTCTGCCAATTGCTCGCCGAATTCATTAGAGACAAACCCTTTCGAGAAGATCAACTCATAAAGTTCAAAAAGGAGGAGGAGGATGCCAGAGAACGTCTTCGTGTATGGAATGCGCGGTGGCTAAAGTGGCAAAACATAAGAAGACCTCTTCGTGAATGGAAGGAGCAGTGGCTCAAGTTGCGAAACACAAAAGGAGAAGGATCGGAGAGTGGAGTTGTCCAGCACCGCACTGATCAACGAAAAGGAAATAAGGGCAAAGGAAAAGCCTCCGACGACGAGGCCGAGCCTCTTTTAGCCAAATCGAAAAAGGGCAAGGAAAAGGAATCGGACAGCGAAGACTCTTGACCCAGGCGAAAGTGGGGTGACCTTATTCCCGGAAGGAAAGAAAACAAGGACTAGCGGGATCGGCAAGAGACGACACAGCGAAAGATACAGATTTACGTAGTCTTGACTTGCCGAAGCCAGATGTACAGTACAGTACTAGTAAGAAAAACGAAGGCAGCGGACGAAGCCGCTTGTCTGAGGTGACTGAAAACGCTGTGCTGAAATAAGTAGGCCTGCGACTTGAGAACCTCCTTGCCAACATGCACGACGCACAAAGGGCTTACGCAGCTGGAAATCAGCGGCGACCGGGGCGCGTGGTTCAGCTGTGCTCGGTCAGGGAAGCCCCTGCGTAAGCCGCGGGCGATGCAGCCTCACAATTCAGCCCACGGCATACTGAAGAGCAGACCTGAAGCTATATATAGAGACATCCTTCTCAGCTTGACTCAAAGAGGAAAATGCCCCTTCGCCCAGACCACAAACGGTCTCTACGAAAGCCATATCTCGAGAGAGGCTCCTTCACACCTTTGCCAAAGAAAAGCTCGTCTTTGCCTCAAGGACCATTCTCAATCTGTCTTCCTTTCCCGATTCGCGATTTAATTTTGTATCTCGCTCATCCAGTCCAAGATGCGTTTGTCAAGGTTCTGGTTCCTGCTCCTCGCGGTCGCGATCCTCAGTATCTGCGTTCAGGCTATGGATGGAGAAGAGGGGACTTCGGTCACAGACAGCAAAGGAAAGGCAGCAGCCACGGAGGTTGAAGGAAACGCAGCGACCGAACAGGAGGCATCTCTTGCTCCAATCTATCAAAAGGAGTTCAATCCTCCCGAGTGGAAAAATGAAAAGTTCCGCGCACAATGGCCCGAAAGGGCCAAGAGACTGTTCGAACAGCGAAAGAAAGCGAAGGAGCACTACAAAAATTGGCGACCGGTGTACGGAGACTACCGCGCCGCAAAAAAGGTGTGCGAAGAAGCTGAAGCGTCCAACAACGACGAATTTAAACAATACGCCAAGAATTATTATGAACGCGTCAGCAAAAAAACATCCAATAGTGACCGGAGATAGGGCGAAAAAGGAGTGCATCCATTGGGAGAAGAGCTTCCTTTCTGCAACCAACAAGATCAAAGCAGAACTAGAACGGCAAGGGAGTCAGAAGCACAGTGAAGAGAACTGAGGCGATCACCGACCGAATGTGATCGAGGAAGTTATTGGATTTCAAAAGAGGTAAAAGAGGTTGGAGGGGACGATGCGTGTACTTCAAGGCCAGGGACGTATCTTTTTAATCCAATGAGACGAATGATGATAAAATGTATCTCTCTAACCATAAGGTCGGGTGGGTATCGAGAAGACTGATGCACAGCTGCGGTTTCGCATCTTAAGACTGTGAGGGACAGAAACGCTTCCAAGGAGAAGAGCAAAGTTCCCTTGACGAGCACTTGTATCATGAAGAAGTGCACATTTGCTAGACATCCGACGCACAAGCCAAAGTGACGAGTTCTCTTACCTGGTTTCACCCTAGTCAATGGTCCGTCTATACCCAACACCACACTACTGCAACTAGCTTTTTGAATGACCTCAATCCTGATAGCTCGTCGAATATGCATCGCCGTCAGCTATCGCTGGATGCAAAGGCAAAAAGTAGCTTCAAGCTAGTGGCTGAGCTGCAAACAACGTGCTCCATCTCAACGGCCTCGTTCTGTTCCGGCAAAAACGCCGCGTGCCTCAACGGCGAGTGCTCGGACCACCCGAAGCCTGAGTCTCCTCACTTGCAAGCTCAATTCATCCTTCCAATTTCGATTTTGCCTTTCATTATTGGTAAGAACGAGAGCATGGGCGCCTAGAGCTGTCAAGTCACGACCTAGGGGCAGGTAGAGCCAGCTAGACCGAACTGAAGGGGCAAGGCCTCGACTGGTCTTTGATCATCCTGTTGGAAACTGTCTGCTCGGTCAAAAGTACTGTACACTTATTTCGCGACTCTTTCGGCGACTGCAGGCGCGCTGTCGGGATGTTTGTGTTTATATCTACGCCCAGGAGTGGAGTGATTGTTTTTCGAGAGCTGCTCGAAAAAGTAGCAGCAGCTCAAGACGAGGAGTACTCGCGCTCAGGCTCAGGCCTGAACAGGAGCGAAATGGTCAAAGCCCCCTAAGCCCCAGGATGCAGCCTCACGATTCAGCCCACCGCCTGTCGCTCTGAAGCTACATAAAGAGACCTCTTCCTCTGCTAGACTCGAAAAAGAAAGACGAGAACGCACCCCTGAGAGCAGGAATCTTCAAGAGCAAGCCCTTTTTCTTCTTCAAGAGACACTCTTCCACAATACAACCTGAAAATACCGTTGTTGCCGCCCTACGAAAACAATTTTCGACCTGTCTTCAATATCCACTAAGTTGTTGGCTCTCTTGCGAGTGGTCCGCCATGCGTTTCGCAAACTTTCTATTTTGCGTCCTCGCAGTTGCAGTACTCAGCATCTGTGTTCAGGGCATGCATGGCACGGAGAGACACGCGGCCACTGATAAAAAAAGAAAAGCAGCAATCGCCGATGGTGAAGGAAGTGCAGTGGCCGGACATGAGTTACCAGCCAATACGTACGAACAGATTCATTATCCAAGCGACTGGGAGGACGAGGGAGTCCGCGCACGATGGCCGGAGCCACTCCAGATCCTGTGGGAGGAACGAAAAAAGGCGGAAGCTGCAAGCGCTGAATGGCAAAAAAAGGTCGATAAGCTCACTACATCGAAAATGTCTTTCGACGACGCAGAGGGGTCAAACAGTCACTCACGCATACTGGACGCCAGTTCGCCTCTTAACGTTGTTGACCAGGAGGCACGTTACACCGTAGAAGAGGCGCAAGAGTTCCGTGACCTATGGTATGACACCTTCTCAAGGCTTAGCAAAGTGCTCGAAAAAAATTGGAGAATACTAAAAAGGGGAGCTCAGCAGCCGCAAAAGGGGAAGGAAGCTCAAAGGTCATGGGCGAGAAGTCAGCTTCGATTGGTTTCAAAAGTAAGACCTTGGGCAACTTCCGATCCCGTGGAGACGTCAACACTTGGTCAGAAAAAGCCAAAGGCTTTATCGAAACTGGCTGAAATGGAAACGTAAGGTCGAGGCTCATGAACTATGGTTTGCCGATCTAAAGTTAGCAAGAAGTACGTACGAGCTTACTAAAAGTCTGTCTGAGAATGACGAACGCCGGAAACGCGCAAAAGGACTTCTCAAAAGGATGCTGCCACGGGGCCTTTCGAGCGTCGAAAAGAAGAAAAAGTCGTTCTCCAACGCCAAGAAAGAGCTACAGAAAGCTGGAGATGAGCTCCAGAATTGTCAATTCAATTGACGAGCAAGTCGCATCAGGATCGGGGAGATTCAAAGGCGAGCATGTGAAGGGTTGCGTCCTGGCTAGCAGCAGCTATTTGTGGCCATTGGGATAAATGATGTCGCTGTGAGAATAGGGCATGTGAGGTTAATCAAATGAGTTTTCATCTACTTAGACGACTGCATCGTACTGAGGAAGAGGTTGACAACATACTGAGCGTTCAGCTGAGACTAGGCGTTACATTTTCGTCCGCTTCATCGAAGACAGTTCTGCTCCAGCCGCTCCGCCACGTATGCTCAAGTGAGCGAACAGAACATCATAGATATTCTTTGCAGGGTGCTGAGGTACATTTTCCAGCTCAGGCTATGTTCTGCCCTTCTCACACTGAAGCGTAGGAGGCTGACGAAGCCTAGGCTCGATGTCTCACAATATCAGGAGCGACGATGCCCAGACTGTTGCTGTAGCAACATTCTCGCGATGTTCTTGAGCAAGAGCTTGTGTAAAAGCAAGAGCAGGGACGTTCGGCTTTCTCCTCCTTTAAGAGACGAGACTAACTAGTGGAGCTTGCTGCGAGCTTGCTGACCAGTAAAGGTAGAATGGAGACAAATTGAGAAGATGCATAAAAGTCGGCGATGGTATCCAATGCTGTGTGTCACTGCCTCGTTTGCCCGTTGCACTGCTCTCAGCCACCTCCTCTCCCATTTTTTCTTCTTCTTCCACCTTTCGATTGTCCTGATATCAAATCCGTCGGGTTACATCGATTGGACAGCTTTTGGGAGAGATATGACGTTCGAGAGAACTCGGCAGCAACTTGTAAAGATGCATCGCTGTCGTCCCCTCCTCCCAAATTCAGCCTGTTCCTTCCTCACCACTGACCAAGAGCTCTTCACCAATCCACAATGCACCCAAAGCAACTTCTCCCGCTGCTCCTTCTCGTCACCGCGCCCCTTGCTGCTTCTGCACCCATGACCCGAGGAAAAAAGACGATTCACGATGCCAGCACCTCGCTGGCCAACAAAGTCGCTTCTCTGCAGCAGCAAGTCAGTGAGCTGCAGTACAAGCTCAACACAGGAGCGTCAGCAACGGCAGGAGCTCAGAACATGGCCAGCGCAAGTCTACCTGGCCTGGATGCCTTCTTAGAGACGGTTGGCAATGTTGCTACGAGTCAACAGCGACGAGGCTGGCAGAACAAGCTGGATGCAGCACGACAAGAGCTCGACAGGCTTACGCCGCTTCTTCAGCAGCAGCAACAGCAGCAGCAGGACGAGCAAGACTAAGCAAGGGACGTCGTGAGAAAGCGTGAGGTCAAGACAGCCATACCCTGCAGGGCAGGAAGCCTCAAACTTAGCGAAATGAAATAAGTGCGAGCAAAGCAGCATGCTCCATCTGTTGTCCAGATCGCTCTCCCTCTGTGGTGATTTTTGATTCTTCCTTTTTTTTTCTTTCTTACATTATTTCCTCATCGCGTGTGTCTGCGAGGGCGAAGGTGATCTACGCCTTGGGCCAGGTGGAGGCGCGCTCGCGGCTTTCTGATTTTGGCTGCTCTGGAGACTGCGTGCGATAAGGGAATCTCGGGGCGTGATTCTGCCGCGTTGTTTGCTAGTCGAGACGACGGCCATCGAGAGCACCACGTCAAGCGCTAGGCGTAGCGTTTAGAGTCACGCCACGATCATGACGCATTTCCCCGCCGCCTACATCGATGCAGACGCGCGCGCGCCCACGTCGCCGCGCGGCACCTACACACTCTTCTTTTACGGCACCCTTGTCCACCCAGCGATCCTGTCCAAGATCATCGGGCACGCCGGTTCGACGCTTTCGATCCAGCCGGCGATCTTGCCGAGGCACGAGCTGCACCACGTCGTGGGCCAGGACTATCCCGCACTGCTCACGCTGGAGCGATCAGAGAGCGTGGCCGCAGAGGGGAAACACCTGGGTGCGGTGCGCGGGACCGTGGTGCGTGGCCTCGGTCCCGAGGATGTGCGGCGACTGGACGCCTTTGAGGGCGACGAGTACGTGCGTGTGCGAGTGCGCATCGTGCCCGATCCAGAATCGCCGGCGCTGGCCAATGACGTGCGGCCCAGAGATGCGCTCGCTGGCGTCCTCGCCAAGCTCGATCCAGCGAGGGTCAAGGCGTTGCTGGCTTGCGGCGACGATGGGGAGGAGGAGGCGCAGGCATACCTCTGGAGAGCACCGCTGGACCTCTTGGAGGCAAGGGTGTGGGACTTTGCTGAGTTTGCAAACAGCGGCCGGACGGCTCGGTGGGTGTAAAGACCAAGAAGCAGCGATATCAGTGTGTCGAGATTCTCTAGATAAATGGTAATATACAGTAATGCAGCGATTGGGGAGACTTTGTTGATGCTTTCACGGCATTCTTGACGCCTTCACGACGATCGAGCGGCCTCGCCAAACGCCCTCGTCCACTGGTCCTCCTCCTCTCTGTCTTTGGCCTCATCCTCCTCGTGCTTGTGTGAGACCCTCGTCGGCTGCAGCACGCTCCCCTCGCTGCCATTCCATCCCGGGGCAACACGCCGCATCGTTTCGCGCCGCTCGCGCTCCCGGCGCGAGGCCTCGTCGAGCACGAATCGCTCGAGATTGAAGGGATAGACAAAGTAGTCGGCCAGGTTTGGTGGCAGTGGGTGGAGCGAGGGGGGAAGCTTGGGCGGTGGTGCGTAGGACAGCGCCGGTGATATGATGAGCGGCACAGACGCCGCCGATGCGTACAGCGACGGCGTCGAGGTAGACATCTTGATCGGGCGAGCCTAGTCTTTTTAAAAGATCTGAGATGGTGGTGGTGATAGGCCGCGTCTAGGCACACGCATCAAAACCAGTGCCAGACCCAAGCCCCACTTGAATCTCCTCAAATTTGACTTTCTCTCGATTTTTCTCGTTTTTTTTTTTTTTCAAAATTGTCCTCCTCTCCACGTCCAGTAGTAGTAGTAGTAGTAGCAGAGGAGGAACGGTCGTGCGAGCAGCGCATTGATGGGAGATCAACGACGATGACGATTCTCACGCCGCTCGATCCTTCCTCATCCTCTTCCTCTTCCCCAGCGACGCCAGAGGAGGGGGAGCACCCGCTTAAAGTGAAGCGAGCCGAGGCAATCGAGGCGCAGCGCCGACTCGCGACGCTCAACGCGACCCTGCAGCAGCTCCAGGAGCTCAAAAAGCGCCAGTCCGACGATGCCTGGTCCACCGCCACCACGTTGTCTTCGGCTGCCTCGTCTGACGATGGAGAGGAGGATGAAGAGATGCCCTCGACGCCGACCTCGGGTGCAGGGATCGTGAGGATCAACGTCGATGCGGCCGACGCCGTCATCGCTGCCGGCTCGTCACTCGTCGATGACTCGGCGCGCATTAGTGTGGACAGCCAGACGGGCAAGCGCATCGTTGAGATGCGGGTCGACGAAGCCATTGGACTGCTCTCAAGAAACAAGTCTGGTATGTCATGACTTTCTACCTTTCCCTTGCTCTGTACCCGATGCAGGACTGACGAGCCTCCTTCTTTACCAGCTCTCGAGGAGCGGGTGGCGCAGCTGCGAGACGAGGTGGTGCAGCTGGCGCGACAGACTCTGGCCGAGCACGTCGAAAAGGGGGCATTGCCCTTTCTTCCCCTGGGTGATCAGGGCGAAGGCGAAGAGGGAGCAACGGGCCCAAAGACGGAGATCGACGATGAGGGAAAGGCCGTCAATGAGGACGGCTTGCCGTTTGTCGATCCGATTGAGCAACTTGGAGACGAAGAAGAAGAAGGGCAAGTGAGGAAACCGGCGCCGCTCGTGCCGTTTGTCAGGGAGCCGAGGGAGGATAGACGGGCATGGATGGAGTCGATCCTCGGTGAGCTTGAGGAGGAGGAGGAGCTGGACGAGAGCGAAGACGTGGCCCAAGCCAAGGCGCCTCTCGACGTCGACGTCGACGAGGAAGAAGACGGCGACGAAGAGTCAGAAGACAAGCAAGCCAGGCCGACGTTGAAGCGCAAGCTTTCCTCGGCCAATCGTCCACCGCCCACCAAGTCTGTGCTCAAGCGCACGAGCCCGCCCCCGCCACCCTTGCCGAAATTCGGCTCGTCGGGCATCCGAAAGGGCTTCCTCAACCTCAATCCAAGTAGCCCAGCCGCGGAGCGGAGCAGCGATTTTGTCGGTCGGGAGTTCTTTCCCGACTCAGGATCTTCTGTTGCCTCCTCGAGGATGAGTCGGTCGAGCAGCCTCACGGGCAGCCGCAACGAGCCGGAGACGCTGTCGGACCGCATGACGCGCAGCGTCGAGCTGCCCAGCGCCGCCCGAGCCAGCTTCTCATCGCCAAAGAAGCAGGTCCGGATTCAGTCACCCGAGCGTGAGAGACATCGGCCTGAACGTTCAGCTGCGAAGCAAAGCTCGTCGAGGATTGCAAGAGCGACACGCGACGTTGCGGAAGACTCGACAGAAGAGGAGGAGGCCAGGCAGCTGCTGGAACTCATGGGCATCAGCGCGATTCGGGGCCACCCGCAAGGCCAGGAAATCATACAGGGTCTTGCAGAGAGCAATCGGCTCAGGAAAGAGGCGAGCAAGATGAACGTGGAGGGCCAGGCCGAGGCGTCAAGCAGCAAGAAGGCGGCGGCGGTCGGAGAGAGCGTGGTGGAGAGGGACCCAGGGCGACAGGGGCAAAGCACAAGCAGCAGCAGCAGCAGCAGCAGCAGCGGCTTCAAGCGCGGGTTCCTCAATGCAGCACCGAAAGTGACACCGAGAAAGAGCGTCAACCAAGGGGCGCTGTCGGACGTCGTCAAGGAAAGGCCACTCCCTGCTGGGCCTCGGCAGTCCAAGGGCATGACGGCGCTGGACAGAGCCTCGCAATCGGATGAGCCGCTGGAGCGGGAGAGAGAACAAATGGGTCTGACACCAAGCGTACCGCATGCCAGACCAAGCAAGGCGTACGCTGCCAAGCTCGAGGAGAGGAGGAAAGCGGCAGAGGGTGGTCAAAGCCGCGATCAGGAGTCAGTCGTCAAGGGCCAAGAGGGGGAGGTCAAGGAAGCGAGACCGGGGGGCAAAGTTCGCTTTGGAGGTATCGAAGCAGTCAGCACGCGCGACGACGACGAAGACGACGACGACGCTGATGCCAACATGGAGGAGACATACCGTCGACAGGTGATTGGGACCGAGCCCACCGATTTCGACTCAGATGACGACGAAGCAGGCATGGCAGAGATCGAAGCTATGAAGGAGCAGCAGCTTGACCCGGAAGAGCTCGAGGCGCTTGGTCTCGGTTCGGACCTCAGCGACGACGACGATGACGGGTATGACAGCGATGACATTATGGCTCTCGCTCCGTCCTTCAACGCCGACGAGTCTTCGTTTGGAGGGAACGAGGAGCTGAAGCGTGAATATCTCAAAGCTAAGGAGCGTTGGAGCTTCCTGACCGGGGAGCGCCAGAACAAAGGAGCGGATGAGGAATACCAGGAGGGCGAAGGGCAGGATCTCGTTGCTGCCGACGAGAATGAGGACCTGCTGGACGAGGACGGCAAGCGAGTGAGCAGATTCAAGAAGGAGCGGGCCAAGCGAGTGGCTTTGGGAAAGGGCGCGCCCATCTCTAACGAGCTCGGGTCTAAGCATCGAAGCGGCGCAGTCAGCTCTTCTTCTTCCTCCATCGAGGACAAGGACAGAAAAGCAGATGAAGCGGGTCACGAGCTCGCGCATCTCCTCGAGAGTGCACAAAATGCCGGTCCCGCTGCTCAGGAAGGTGAACAGGGGCAGGGACCAGTCATGGTCATTCCCTCCATGGCCAATGTGCGCTTTCCCAAGGGCGGCGACCTTGTCGAGGACGAGTCGAAAGGAATGCCGGGCAAAGTCCAGCTAGAGGGCGAGAGCGACGATGACGAAGATAGGCTGCACGAAGTTATGCGCATGCGGCTCCAGGAGAGAGACGCATACAGGGACAGAAAGGGAGCCATGACAGCTGGCGAAAAGAACGGGACAACAAAGGTGACGGAGAAGCCACCAGAGGTCGTCGCTGCTCCCTCTCCGCCTGCAACAAAGAAAAAGGAGAGCTTGTTCAAAGCCAGGCTCAAGGACAATGCCTTCACCCATTAATGCTTCTTCTCGATGATTATTTTACCCACAGCATGCACACACCCCTCAATCATTCTCATCTTCATTCTTGTACTTTCAATTCTCGCAATGTGTGTTCGCCAGGTACATCCTTCTCCTCTCGCAACACAACACATAGAGGAAGTGGTGATTCTTCATTCACAGATGTGTGGCGGACTCGGGGTCTCGTCGATGATGTTTGTACACGAAATTGTCGTGGCTTGTTTCTACACTTTGTCAAGTCGCTTATCTAGTTGTCTTCACTCTCTCCCTTGTAGGAGAAGAGATCATGAGTCAGCGTCGAGCTACAGGAGCCAGCCAGGAAGACGGCGACACTCACCAAGCTGAGCTTAGCGCGCTTGCGGCTTCTCCTGCAAATGCGGCACTCGCAGAACCGCTTCCAGAGGCTGCTCAGTCTGATCCTCGGACGGTGGTGGAATGGGACGGACCTCAGTGGTCCAAAGACCGCCTCTGTCTGCGCAGAAGAGAAACGTGAGTGAGCCCAACTGCTTGCACTACAGAAAAATAGTGTAATTCTTAGGAGCCCTCACCACATCAATTGCCTCTTGTCTGCTCTTACACAGCGCAAGCCGATTCTCCCACTCGCGCCTGTCCCTCTCTGTGAGTTCGTGGGGCTCCATTGGCCTGCCGCCTTCCGACGATTCGCTATCCCACACGGTCGCTTCCAGCACGGCAAAGCGTGCCGTACCCCAGATGGCATAATCTGCCCTTTCGTCCTCGAGAGCTCTGATGGCGTCCGCAATTCCGACGGCGGCTGCGTATCGCACAATCTGCCCATTGATCTCCTCCCAGACCGTGGGCAGCAGATCTTGCAGCCCCTCGTCAAATTCTTGAAACGAGGAAAAATTGTCAAAGGAGCCGAGATACCGTTCGATAAACCTGTAATGACCAACAGTCAGACGAGAAGGCGATTGCAACGGCGAGGAAAGGAATCGGTGAACTCAGCTCGTCTTTGTTGCAAAGATAGAGAGCGTCTCTCTCTTGCTCCTGCCGGCCTGAGAGAAAGGGGTGAGACGAGTGGTGTCGTATTGTCAAACAAGACGGGGAACGCTCACGCTGCCTGTAGTTTGCATTCGAATGTGCCAAACTAAGAAGGGATTGTTCGTACCTCTCGAGGACCACACCGATCGTTTGTTCCATGGCCTGACGCCTCGACCTGTAGACAATGGGGCCAAACGTGTGGGCGAAAAAAATAGGCCAGTATCTCCGGTCATTCCTCGTCTGTTCAATAGCTCGACGGAGGCTGGGAGAGAGAAGAAGAGTCACAATGGGTGGACGCCATGCCAGGAGCATGAAAGACTCACATCTCGAGGAGCTTGGGTGAGGGACGAGGCTGCCCATCCGCGGAGGCAACGTGAAAGGCTGGATGAAGCCAGTCTGGAAACAGGCCTAGACCAGGCCTGCAGAGTGGTACGGGAAGGCCGCGAGGCAGCGTTGTGATCCACATATGCTCTCCTTCAAAGCCACGCATGGGGGCGACTCGTCTCGATAGGGGCAGCGCAGCTTCGTTGGCTGCACCTTGAATTTGCGAAGACCCAGCTTCGGAGACTTGAGACCCATCGTCGCTCAGCTCATCTTCTGCAACGTCTTTGAAGTCGTCCGAGTCTGCACATTCGGATTCGGCATCGTTCTGGTTCTCGCTCTGGATTGCTGCCAGCATTGATCCGACGCCTCGTTCAACATCGGAAGGAATGGCAGACCAGACACTTTCAAGCAACTTTGGGTCGACGCCCATCATCGATTGCTGTAGATGCCGGTTCAATGCAGCTTTTGCAGAGTTTTCGTCCTGGTCAGGGCAATCGACGAGCTTTTCTTTTCCATTCTTGCGCCTCGCTGTCTTGGACGAGACCGAAGCCTCTTCTGCTGAGCCGTCGTCATCATCGTCGACACTGTCTCTCTTTCCCTCTTCGTCTTCGCAGCAACACTCGTCAGTGTCTGTCGATCGATAACGCTTGTATCCCCGTGGCGTTTTCCACAGCTTGGTGTCGGGCGAGACCGAGGACGTCCTTATAATTTGGCCGATCACAGGAGGCGAGACAGGTTGCTGCGCAGTCATGGCAACATTGGTTCTGCTTGGAATCGCATCACTAAGGTTGCCAAAGGGGACGGGTTGCTTGCTTGTCGCCTTGTCGCCCTTCTCCCAACTTGTTGTGTTCGTCTCGATGACCTGGTGGCAAGATTGTGCGCCAATGGCTTCCAAGTCACCTGTCAATGGACCAGTCTCGAGCAGAATCGAGGCCCCATGCATCCCATTGTCCTTGTCTTCTTCTGTGATCTCCAAGACAATGGGCGGATGAAACACTTCGCCGACCTCGTCGTCAACCATCTCAACCTTGGCATTGACTGGATCTAGAATGCTGGCACTGTCAGCACCGGGCGACAAAGACGACAGGGACGTAGTCGGCGTCTTTTCGGTGCTCGACGCGCTCGACTGGTCGCCACTCGAAATGGTGGGCGACACCGGTGGAGTTTTCTTGCCCATGTTGTAGCGCCCTGGGGAATACCAGGGAAGGCCACTTTACGGGAGGGTGGAGCTGATAGACCCGCCGCGATGGTCAATCGTGTTCGTAAGGAGGTAAGAGGGAGGAAAGAGAGGAAGAAGTTGCTTCATCTCCAACTGCGAGCTGTCGAGCCCCTCCGCTGCGCCGCGCACAGACCTGTCCGTGCATTCCAAAGCCCCCTCTGTATCTATTGCTCTTTCTATCAGTACACCATATACAGGAGACAGTCTATAAGCCCCACTTCTGTAAGGCGTCTCTCGTCGATTCAAAGGTGATGAACTGGAGCCGCCAAGGAAACGACAGCCGTCAGCCAGTCAAATTCAGAGAGGAAGGCGAATGGCGACAACTCACCAGGACCGCATTCACCGGCAACGCCCTGGGCAACCTCGTCAGTCTGGAGCGTAACGACAAGCATTTGGCTCTGCTCTGCTCACCGGACAATCGTAGGTCCAACGCCGGCAAGAAAGGCCTTAGATCCGCCTTCGCGATACGTCTGCGCGGCTGCACGGGCAAAGGCGCTCTTCGGCGGCCACAGCGACGATGACCAAGACGACGGAGGCGCGTCAGTTGCCTGAACACGCGTCTTGACGACATCAGCGCCAAAGGTCGATAGCCAGCCGACAAGGCCCGCTAACCCTCCCGAGAGGGCCAGCTCCAGGCTGGTCAGCCTACGAGGTTGGCCGTCTCGGCCGTCGTGAAGGGAAAGTAAGGCTCGATTGAAGACTTCGTATGCCTGCGTGCGCCTGGGTTCAGCCGCTGGAAGCCAGTCATGCGCCTGAACAGACTTACGAGAAAGTAAGGGCCCTGTGCAAGAGTAAGAAAGGGAGAGTGGAATCAGGACAAAGCGAACGCGGAAGAACGAGACGTGAGCGATGACCTACGTAGCCGAGCTGTTGCATCGCAGATAGGTCAGTGAAGCGACTCTTTGTTTGACACTGCCCATAGAGGACTCACATCTCGGATGCAGGTGCAGCCAAAGCCGCGATAGAGGCCTCGAAGACCTCCTTTCTTCCAGATGTCGCGCACGACATCGATTGTCCGAGGCTCGGCAGTCGGCGGTCTCTGGACAACAGAGGCTGCTGTAGACGGAGTAGCCCCTGAGGCAGGGAAAGAGAGCTGCTGCCGGATCTTGATGAGGTCAATTGGAGATGTGATGAGGCTGATCCAGACAGAATCACCGTCAGCCTTCTTTGCACCTAGCCTCGGTGATGGTGCGAAGGACTCACGCTGTGACGACGCCGCTCGCGCACCCGGCAAGAAAGATGTGCATCAAGCTCGTTGGCTCCTTCATCGTCGGCTCGCGGCTCTCCAGAAAGCGGAGTGCTATCCCATAGACGCCAAAGACGGATGCATTCATGGCGGCCACGCCGAGCATGGGCGAGGTGATGCCCTTGAACAGGCCCGTCACGCTCTCCTCCCTGACGATGGTCCGCAGCGCATCCAGCGCGGAGCGATATCGCCGCCCATCAGCGACGCCATTCTGCAGCAGCAGCGGGGTCGTTGACGTCGTCGGAGCCGAGGGTCTTGCACTTGAGCCCTTCGTCTCTTGGGCTTGGGCCTGGAGTCGCGTCTTGACCGTGTCGAAGGGATGGCCGGCCACGAGGCTGGCGATGCCTGCCACGGTGCCCGCGACAAAATCGACGAGGGCCGAGGGCGGCGTCACCCCTTCTGCCATATTCTCCTCCCCTTCCGCCCTGTCGGCTTCCTCGAGCTTTCTCCCTCGCCTCGTCCACCACACTACTACCCTAATGTGGCTCCGATCAAGAAGAATCTCCTATCGCCGCTCCATTCCCCTCTCGCTCCACGTCTTCCGCGGAGATGACAAGCCCTGTCTGACAGCCTCGACTACGTCCGAATGGCAGGTGCACTTCCACAGCCGAGCTTACGGACGTAGGAGCAGCTGCAGCTAGAAAGCCAAATTCGAGATGAAACAGGAGAGACGCCGGAGTGGCTGGCTGGCTGTAGCACACTTTCTTCTTTGACGGGCCAGTTTTTCCGGTAAACCCAACTTCTTCGCGTCTTGGTCCACGCTCGGAATTCGGATGCGCTGTCGAGCCGGACTACCCTTGTCTGCCATTTCTTCTTTTTATTTTGGGTGGAGGGGCAGAGAGAGAGGGAGGAAAAGAGAGAGGGCCGAGGCAGGTTTCTCCACGGCTGCGAGAAGTGGCGCGGTGGGGTCCAGTCCTCCGTATAAGAAGAAAGCCGGCCAGTCGATCGACCCGTCCTTGCCACACATCGACCACTGGAATCAATACAACCCATCATGGCAACGACGCAGCTTCCCAAGACGAACAAGGAGTGGATCCTCAACGAGTACGTTAAGGGGCCCATCTCCGACAAGACGTTCTCCCTCAAGGAGTCGCCAGTTGAAACGACGGTACCCGACGGAAAGGTCCTCGTCAAGGTTCTCACCCTGGGCCTTGAACCGGCCATCAGGCCGTCTCTCTCGGATGAGCCGAGCTACCGAGCGCCTCACCCCCTCGGCACCGTGAGTCACTTGCCTTCTCTTCCCTTAAGCCTTGCTTCACAACGACTGACCGAGATGACCCACTCAACAGCCGGTTTGGGCATACGGAATCGGCGTTGTTGCCGCGACGTCCACGCCGAGCACGCATCCCGTGGGAAGCAAGGTCGTCGGACTTCTGTCGTGGTCGCAATATGCTCTCGCCGATGCCACCGCTCTTCGGCCTTACAATGAGCAGATCGGCCTCCAGCACCTCTCTGCGCTGGGTGCACCCGGTCTGGCCGCCCACATCGGTCTCTTCAACAATGTCGGCATGAAGAAGGGCGAGGTCGTGCTGGTCAGCGGTGCAGCTGGTGCAACTGGTTCCATTGTGAGTGCCAGTTTCGTCTTGCTCAGCCATCTCTGTGGGCTGATCGATGCATACACGTATTCATCAGGTCGTCCAACTCGCCAAGGCCGCCGGTGCATCCAAGATCATTGGCGTGGCCTCCAAGAGCAAGTGCCAATCTGTCGTGGACAACGGAGCCGACGTCTGCCTCGACTATGGCGCTCCCAGCTTCGAGGAGGATCTCATCAAGGCCACCGAGCGAAAGGTCGATGTCTTCTTCGACAATGTCGGAGGCCTCGTCCTCGACGCTGCGCTGGTGTGCATGGCCAAGCAGGGCCGCATCAGCGTCTGCGGTGCCATCTCGGGCTACCAGAGCATCGGAGGCGACAAGAGTCAGGTGTACGCCCTCAAGAACCACACGATGATCCTTCGTTCTGTCCTCACAGTCAAGGGCTTCATCGTCATGCCTCCCTACACGTCCCAGGAGGGTATTGGCAAGGCCGTTGCCGAGCTGGGAAAGGCCGTCGTGGAGGGCAAGGTCAAGACGAGGTCGGTATTCCGCGTGCTTGCTCCAGCTGCGTTCATCTAGGCTGACCCTTTTCTCCTTCTCTTGTGCCATCAGCATCTACAAGTTCCCCGAAGAGGGCGTCGAGCACGTCCCTGCGGCTCTTCATGGCCTCTTGACGGGCCAGAACACGGGCAAGATGACAATCAAGATTGCCGATGAGTGAACAACGAGAATTCTCTACCAATGTATTAAAATGAAACGACGAAATCGACAAAAAGAGCTGGCATGTATGCACCCCTTCTTAAGAAGCCCAGCGTGGATTGTGCTGTGATTAGGCGGCTCCTCAATATGTAATGAAGCGCAGGACCCTATTGGGTTGCTCAATCTTTGCTACGTTTCCCTCAGCCGACTGTCCATGGGTGTAATTGGACAGCGTGATGAATAGGCAGCAGGTGTCTCTTTCTCTCAGATACTCCCCTCTTCTCCTCCGTCCGAAACGTCTTCCCTTCCAAGAGAAATCGCGTCGCTCGCTGTGGAGCACCCCCTAGAACCTCAGCTTCGTTGCACTTCTCCACTCCACCGAAGAGGGAAAGGATGATGCGGTGATGGTGGAAGACAAAAAATTGTCGAAGTCCGTTTCTTCTCTGCAGAGGCTCAAATTTGCGTGAGAGCGACATTCTTCGACACGTGACACAGAAAGTTATTGGCGCGTGCGTCTCTCTCTCCACCGGTGACCCTTGTGCGGTCCGTGCCGGATCGCCTCCACCGCCATCCGCATTCGCTCACCTCGCCGGCCTACATCCCCATGTCGTCCGAGTCTGATCTCGTGAGTACTGGCGTTGGCAGTCTGAAGCACAAGCAGACAGTGGATGGCTGATGCTGTCGTCGTTGCAATCTTAGCCGCCCTTTGCCCAGGCCACGGCAGGCGCTGCGGGGTCTGTCGTGTCCAACACCATCGTATACCCCCTGGACCTCCTCTCGACGCGCCTCCAGACCCAGTCCTCGTCGTCCTCGTCGTCGTCTGGCAGTGGCAAGGGAAAGCCCGGCATCTATGGCGCGCTGTCGGAAATCGTGCGGACAAAGGGCGTCGGCGGCCTCTACCAGGGCTGGGCCGCTGACTCGATGAGCAACACGCTGTCCAACTTTTTCTTCTTTTACTTTCGAGGCTTTCTCATCGAAAAGGTTCTTGCGCGCAAGTCGGCCCGACAGGCCGCGGCGCCGACGTCTCGAGGTGAGAAGTCGGCGACGGCGGCCATTACCCTGAGCGCGGCCGAGGACCTGGCCGTGGGCATGCTCGCGGGCATTGCCTCGCGCTTCTTTACCACGCCGCTCAGCAACGTCACCGTCCGGCACCAGACGAGCGCGACGGCCAAGGAGAAGGAGGGCACCAATGCCAAGGGCAAGGAAAAGGAGGTGGAGAAGCGCGACAATGACAGTGACAGCGACGAAGAGGGCGAATACGGCGACGGGCCGGGGATCGTCGAGACGCTCAAGCAGATTGTCGAAGAGAAAGGCGTCGCAGGTGAGCAGGAGCCAGTCCCGTTGAGGTCCTGTTCCATTTGCTGACTGCTACAATGGCTCCTTTTGCTAACAGGGCTCTGGTCGGGTTATGAGACGGCCGTGCTGCTCAGCATCGCGCCTGCCCTCACGTTCTACAGCACCTCACTGATCTCGCAGGCCTTCCTCCCGCGCGCGTCGCGCGACTCCCCCTCGTCCTGGCAGACGTTCCTCGTCAACGCATCGGGAAATGCCACGTCGACGGCGATCCTGTTCCCCCTCATGCTCAGCAAGACGCGCCTGCAATGGCGCAGCCCGTCGGGCCGAAAGGTGTACCGGAACCTAGCCGACGTCGTGCGCAAAACGATGCGCAGAAACGGCATAAAAGGCCTCTACCAAGGTCTCGAGTCGCAGCTGCTCAAGGGCCTCGTGTCGCACGGGACAACGATGGTCGTCAAGCAGCGCGTCGAGGCTCTCTTTACCTTCTTGTACCTCGCCCTGCGTGCCAGGAGCAGACGGCTGGCTCAGCAGGCAGCCTGACCCGAATGCATGTTTGTTCTTTCCCATTCTTCTCTTTCCTTAGTGCTCACCTTTGAAAAACAGCCAAAGGCAGGTAAAACATCGGGAGAAAAGGAGAAGGAGAGAAAGAAAGAAAGAGGGCAGACAATGAACAGATAAGGACACATTCCATCCATCAGCAAGAGCATACATATGATCGCATCAGGCCCCCCTCTTTGCTTGGGCCCGCGCCAGGCTGCTCTCGGGCATGGCGTCCGGCCGCGTGTTGGCCGCGCCGACAGCTACGCCATGATCGTCTTCGATGCGGTCGATTTCCTCCTTTGCCTCTTTCCAGCTCTCGAGGTTGACCCTGCAGAACTCGCGGTGAAGCTTTGCAAATTGCAATGCCATGTCTCTAAAATCGGCCACCTTTTGCCGCTGGAACCGGTCCAGGTCCGCCTGGATGGCCTGGGTGGCGTATTTGAGATCGCCTGCAGTGAGCTTGAGGGCTTCTTCCAGCTGGGCGCACTGGTCCTTGAGCCGGGAGATGGTGTTCCGCCGAGTCGCCTCGGGATCGACGTCCATGACGCTGTGGAATGTCTGGCTGAGCGCACCGAGCAAGCCACCGCCACTGCTGCCGCCGCCTCCAGATCCATGCCCAAGCCCGCCGCCCGCTGCGCCAGAGCCGCGAGCACCGCCGGCACTGCCCCCCATGCTCGTGCCCCTGCGTCCATGTAACGAGCCGCGGCCCAGGCTGCTGGCCGCGGCGCCGAACGCGCCTCCACGGCTCTGAGAAGCGCTGCCGATGCGGCTGTTGGGACCGCTGAATGCACTCCCGCCATTGGTCGCCGTCGGCGGGCTCTGCGGCCTCGAGCTCGACGGGCTTCCATTCACGCTGGGGTCCGTCCACTCCTCGCTGTCGCCCAGCGTCGATGCTGCCTTTTGGTTAGGACTCATCGACGTCGATGCTGGTGGCGATGGCTCGTTGTTCTCGGCCGCTGAGCCATACAAGCTCTTGCGCATCGTATGGCTCCGGCTGTTGACGCTGTCCCAGACGCCATCCCGGCCGAGCGCCGGCTGCGTCTGGTTGCCGATGCCCGTGTGATTGTCAGCGACGAGACCGCGTCCGCCGCTCTCGAGGGCAGAGTTGAGCCGGTTGGCCTCCATCTCGATTCGCTCCAGCTCCTCGAGCTGCATCCGTTTGGCTTCCAGCGCGTCCTCGGCCAGCTCGAACTGAAGGTGCTTGAGGTGGCGCCACTTGAGGAGCTTCTGTAAGATTGAGCCAAATTGCGAGTATTCGTTGAGTGGCTCCGTGAAGAGAGTCTCCCATTCTTGAAGCTGTCAGATGAGAGGCGTGAGCGGCGAGCCAAAAATGCAGGAGCAAAGGCCAGACATTCAACGTACCATGCTCCCAATGGCCATAAACGTTGAATCGGCTGCCAAGCCCGTCTTTTCAATGGCTGTGGCCAGCGGACCACTCTCGCTCAGGCTAAAGACGTTGAGCACGGCACCCAGCTCGGCATAGTCGCTCGCCGCCTCGCCCCACCGCCGCACCACTCTCCGGTTTGTCTTATCGAGGCTCGTCTGGATGTGGTTCTTGAAGCGCTCCGTGAAGCCCTCGCTGTCGAGGAAGCGCTGGTTGGGGTTCCTCAGGGGCGTCGAAGTGCTGTTGGGTGGGATGGGGAGGGCGAGATAGGCCGGCGAGGCGTGCGGAGACGAAGGGTCCTGCGCAGGCGCTCGGAGGTTCGACTTGGGCAGCGTCGACAGCGGCGGGCTGTTTGTAATCTCGTGCCAGCTCCACCGTCCATCGAGGAAGCGCCGGAACACGACACTCTTGCCCAGTCTCTCGTGGTCCTTGACCCTGTTGAGGAAGACCTGGAGCATTCGCCTCCTCCGTGCAATGATGGTCGCGTCCTCCTTGGCCCTAGACTGCTTGGCGGCATAGTCGCTCAGGCTGTGCTTCTGCGGAATCGGGGGCACAATAACGGTCGGGTGCAGGGCAACGAGAGCGTCCCGCAGCGATGCAAACTCGCTGTATCGTCTCTTTGACGAGAGCGACTGCGCAGTCACCAGCGTCAGCCTCCTCTGCCTTTGTCCATTGGTATTAGCCCCTAGCTAGACTCCCACTCACCCCGCAACGAATCAAATATGCGATAAAGGTCCCCGCACCGACACCATCCGACGTCTTTTGGGCATCGATGATCTTTTGATAGCCAGTGATCAGCACATATAGAACCAGCATTGTGTGACGAAGCTCGCACGAAACTCACTGCAACAGGCTCGTCAGGGATCTCGGGCGCAGTGCCTGCGTCAGGGAAGGCGGACGACTTCAAGCACGCAGTGAGCACCACAATACGCTGCGAAAAGACGCTCAGCATCTTTATCCACTTACTTGTAGCGACGACGTCTGAGCACCCCGCTCCGTCATCGTCGATGCTGGCCCCTGCTTTGCGCTCGAGACTGGAGCTGGAATCGCCGACGTCTCGCCACCCCAGCCTCCCTCGTCGAGGTAGGCAGCACCGCCCGACTCTGCGCCGGTCTCTCCCAGCTGTGCAGTCCTGAGCTGCTCCTCCCTTGAAGCATCCGTTGTCTCGACTGCCCCCTCAGTCCCTGTTGGCTGTGCTGCTGGTGCTGGTGCAGCTGATGCCGCCTCCCCTTTTGTCTCTCCTTGTCCCTCTTGGCGCGCTTCCTCCTCGTCAATCTGAAAGGGGTCGATCGACTCGGATCCCTTGCCTTCCTCCTGGGCTCTTGACGACGAAGACATTTCGTCGCTGTCGTTGCTTGCCAAGAGTGGAGCGAGAGCGGAGGCCAAAGGACAAGGGGGGAGGGCTGCTGAGGCCCGCTTTGACGCGCCACGTGAGTAATTTCTGGCTCCACTCCACTCATGAGCGCTGGGGCAACGTTGAATGGTAGAGTGTGGTCGTAGGAGCCGAAGACGCTTACTGTTAAGAGAAAGGGCAGGGTGGGAGGGAGAAATATGGCCTAGGGCACCTTCCCTGTCTCACAGGCAAGCTTCCACACCAGCATTGACGACGAGAGGTTTTCAACACCAGACTTGCCATGAGTAAACCAGGCCATTTACTTCTTCACGCCTTACATTCTACTATCAAACAGATGGCCTGTCACTGTAAGCAATCTATGAATGCTGCGAGGCAGTCTCCACAAGGCTCAATGCAGGCATTGAATCCCACATGGAGTCAAAGTCAAGTTTTCTCAAGTGTTTTTCGGCCTGTTCAAAGAGGCGAAGCATCTCCTTGCGGGAAGAGAGCTGGCCTCTGACGGCGCTCTGGTCGACCCACACGACCTTGCGTAGGTCCTTTGCCCTAATCGGTTCAGTTTCAAAGTCATCGAGACGGAAGAGGTAAGCGGTCAGGTGATCTATTCCTGAGGGTTCTCCCTTCTTGCCTGCCTTTACGGTCCCACCTTCGGTCTTGAAGGGCCCCCCGAGACGAACGGCCTTGGCTTTGTAGCCAGCTTTGAGGGCTATGATTCAGCACCATGTCAAGAAGAAATTGGAAGCAATGAGGAGGGTAGAACCTACTCTCTTCCTTCAACTCTCGTCTGGCGCAACGCCGCGCGCTCTCCATAACTCCGGAGCTCTCGCTCTCGCTCTCACTCTCGTTCTCGTTCTCGTTCTCGTTCTCGTTCTCGTTCTCGTTCTCGTTCTCGTTCTCGTTCTCGTTCTCGCTCTCGCTTTTGTAGTCTTTCTCGCTCTTCGATTCCTTTTTGTTCTTCTCCTCGTTCTTGTTCTTCTTTCTCTTTATAGATCCTCGGGGGAAAATAAGGCCCTTGTCTTGTTCTCCAGTTTTGTGAGCACCGACGAGGACTGGGGATATATGTCATGATTTTCAGACATGCCGCCGAACAAATTTCTGATCGACTCACGGAAATGCCTGTCTGCTCTCATCACGATAGCGACGCACTTGGCGTGGCTAGCTGCTGCAAGGCCGCACGAGGTGACGGCAACGACGGACAGAGCCATCAAGAGGTTGAAGAGTCTCATCGAGTAGCCGAGTGGACGTGTGGTCGATATGGCGTGCTGAGTTTGGTAGAGTTGACTCTCCGTCTGAAGGACCTGCCTTTCAACGAGAGAGGAGGGGGATGTAATGCGAGGGAAGATTGAGACGAGGGAGTGAGGGAGGATGAAGAAGTGAGACGTGTATTCATCGCTTTTTAAAGCTACCTGGCGAACCTTGATGGGCGAGGGACCCTTGCGGTGCTTCAGGGGAGACCAGGTACAGATAAGGTGGGCGTCCCGAGGCCGCCATTCTCAGGCGTCAGAGTGTTCGGGGCTCGTCGTGACGCTGCTGGATAGCGTTTACAGGCCTGTTTATCCGTTTCCCATGTTCGTGGTACTTTAGCAGCTGATGCGCCACAGAGAAGAAAGAAAGAGAGAAAGATAGAGGCGATGCCGAAGATCCACAGTGAGGTCTCTTCCTCAGCAAGAGGCCAGTCGCAATGAATGAGAGCTGGTGCTTTGAGCTGCCCAAGCTGGAAAATTAATGCTTGCTCGAGCTGCTTGTTTGGCCCGTTCCGGTGGCGCACACGGATCTTGCTCAGCGGCACGAGAGCGAAGTCGATGGCGACATGGGCCCTGCGTAAACAACGAGTGGTGCCAGCGCCTTGGATCTCAACTCGAGACGTCCATCGGCAAGAGCTCGGTCTGTCAATTTGCTTTGGGCTGAAGGGGCTGTTGATCGAGGTACCTTGTACGCCGAGGTCAGAGCACGCCACAAACAGGGTGCATAAGGTGCAGTGCAAGCCCCGGGGCAGCTGCCGTATTTACTCCCTCGCCTTTGTCTCGTGCGAGACGGTGTGTCATTAAGGGAAAGCCCTTTTGAAGTTGCCAGCCCCGTGAAAGAAGCGACTCCTGCAGCTGGCTCTTCCGATTGCTTCTCGGATCGGTGAATGCGTCAACCGTCTGCACGGGGCCACCGTTCCGGGTGAGGGGCCTGACCACCATGCCGACAAGACGGCTTGCTACATCGACGTCATACGCCATCAGAGGCCCAAGCGTTGTTCTCTCTTTCCCATCGGGGCGTGTGGCTAGCCAGGCAACCACTTTGTCCTGTCTCTCTGTCGTTTGGTCAAAGAGAATGTGGACGGTGGCTTCGGCCAGGATCGAGGCGTATAGGGACCATCGCTGAAGCCTGCCTCCTTGGTCGCACATGTCGGCCAGCTGGCATTGCACCGGATCCGGAAGCTGGTCTAGCCTCGTCGAAAGGAAGCCCTCTCGAGCATCAGGCGCAACTGTACCCGGCATCGAGAGCTTGTTGCAACTTCCTTCTTCCGGCACGAAGCCCTCACGCTCGAAGATTGCCTTGCTCATCGGAGAGGCACCAAGGAAGACGCGGTCCACGCTGTCGTTGGATTGCTGCACATCCGCTAGGAGCCACCGAATGAGTGCCACACCATAGCCACGACGACGGTGCTGGGAAGGAGTGACAAACATGGCCAGATAGAGGGCACGCCCGCCGACGGAGGTCAAGACGCACGAGCAGAGGATGCGCTCGTCGTCCTCGTCGTCAACCAGGCAGAGATAGCGCGTCTGCGGGTGGAGGATCATCCGCCGCAGCATCTGTTCATTGAGAGGGTATCGCGCCTCTGCGCAGTGCGATGCGATGGTCGCTAGGTCGCCCTCGCGTACCTCACGGACGTGTGTCATGCTGCTTGCGAGGCCTAATGTTCGGGAGGTGTTGGTCCGAACGAGTCTTAATTCCTTCTGAAGTCGATATTCCACGTGTCGGAAGGATAGCATTTTATTAGCTTTGGCTGTCTCCTTTTACAGCAAGCGCCTTCTCGTCGTCGCACGACCTCAAAATCAAAGCAAGGACTGGACTTGACTGCACTGGACAGGCTTCCATTTCAAGGTCAGGTCAACGATTACGATTACCTTCACGACTTCGGCATAGTACGACTCAGAACAGCCGCCGATAGCAATACAGGCAAGGGGGAGGGAGAAGGTTCAAGGATGATTGTGCGACCACTTGCCAGCCTGCTGCTGGCCCTCGGGACGGCGCTGCTGCTCCCACTTCTCTGCGCGACACCAGCCTCGGGCGCAGCGTTGACGACGATGCTTGCGCCGCACGAAAAGTCGTGCTTCTACGCCTGGGTGGACAAGTCCGGCGAAAAAGTCGGCTTCTACTTTGCCGTGCAGTCTGGCGGTTCCTTTGACATTCACTACGAGGTCCACGAGCCCGATGGCCGTGTCATCATCGAGGGCCAAAACGAGCGGCAGCTCGACATCATCTTTACTGGCAACCGTGTGGGAGAGTACAGCTTCTGCTTTGACAACGACATGAGCAGCTTTGCCGACAAGATGGTGACTTTCTTTGTCTCGCGCATTTGGTGGCTCTATTGGGAAAAGTAGCTGATTGCAACAATTGACAGATCGACTTTGACATCACCGTCGAGTCGGAACCTCGATTGGATCTGCCACTGGCGCAGGCAGCGCTGCTCTCGGCCTCGTCTGCGCCGCTCGAAGAGTCCATCACAAAGGTCGGCTCCAAGCTGACGCAGATCGTACGGACCCAACGATACTTTCGCACATGGGAGAACAGAGGCTTTGCCCTCGTCAAAGGGACCCAGTGAGTAGCCACACACGTGTCCCTTGTGATGTGCCCGGGAATCATAACTGACCAACTGTCTCTTCTGCTCAGATCAAAGATCTTCTGGTACAGCATCATCGAGTCATTGGTCATGGTGGCCGTGGCCGTGGGGCAAGTGTACATTGTCCGGTTTCTCTTTGAAAAGGGCAGCACCAAGCGCTACAGGGTTTAAATTACTATCGTCCTTTGAAAGCCTCTTTTGCGCATGCGAGCCACAAGTCGTCTGTTGCGCAACATCAGAATTTCAGCTCAGAGCAGCATCTTGATATGGCATAAAGAAGACTCACCACCAAGACAGTGAAGGTTGTCCACCACGATGCCTTTCCCCTTTTTCCGGATCTCTTGTGTCCCTTCTTTGAGCACGCCGATGCTGAGCGCACTCTCCTTGTCCTGTGCCATGACGGCCACCGCTGTGCCCGCAGGCAGTGCCTCCTCGTCTGGTGGTAATCTTCCTCCGGCTGTCAAGAGACCAGGCGCCATGATGTTTGCGCCCGAGAGAAGGAATTTGATGGCACCTCTGTCGACCTGAATCTGCGGCATAAGGAAGGGATCTGCTCTCGAAAAGTTCCATGGTCAGGCTGGTTAGAGTAAAGAGATGAAGGGAAGAGCTCACACTTGTGAAGAAGGTGGAGCGTGGGGAGGTAAGGACCGTCAAAGTGCTGGAAGAAGAGCGCTTCGCCCTTGTAGACAAGGAACGAGACGTGCTCGCGACTGTCAGGCGCTTTCACGTCAGTTTCAAAGCCAAGGTGTAGAGCACAGAGAAGGAGAAAGAAGGGAGAAGCGCACCTGAACTTGACCAAAGTGATGCCCTGCTTCTTTGGCCAGATCGATTCGAGGAGCACGCCATCGTCCTTTGCCAGACTCGGGTACTGCTCCAGGAGCTTCGTCCGCATGCCCCTCTGCACCGACGACTTGACGGCTGTCGACGACGAGATGTCGCCCTTCTGCGGCGAAAAGGATTTGAAGAGCGACATGGCGTTCTTTTCCCCTTGGCGATGTCTGGTCGTGCGTCGTCCGTTGTCGAGAAGACTCGTCGAAGATGCAAATGGAGGTTGCGAAATTTCCACGTGGATTGGCTACGCGCAAAGGTCTTCCTTCTCGCGGGCGCGATAGAGCCTTCTGAAGCCCATCAAAGGTCTGATCCAAGAGGGCGAGGATGCGAGTCTGATCGGGGGGCTTGTCTTGCCTCTCGACAGGTTCACGAAAGAGAGCGAGACACAGCAAGAGAAGTATGAGGAGTCGACTGAAGCTCTTGCAGCCAGGTGAAGCTCTTCCTCTGCGTCCTCGAGGCAAGAACTCCCCACTGCGACATCTCTCTGCGCTGCAGTACTCGCCAGAAGCTGCCTGCATCTCTTCGCACCCAGATTTGCAGCACGAACAGCTGTTGCACGAAAGACAATACCCAAATCGCATTCCCCGCTCTTTCTTTTCCCGCGTCGAATTCGCCAACAAGTGGCCCGCCTTGGTCGAGCATGACGCCGACGACCAAGGAGTCGAGGCATCTGGAAAGGACCGTAGAGAGGCTAAAGCCGTCGGGATCGACCAGGTCGCTGTAAATGTCAAAGGAAAGGAAAGGGCGTCGGAGGAGGAGATTGCCTCGTGGAGCCTGGCCGACGACAAGGCGGACCTATTGGCGCTGGGTTACAACGTCGACCTCGACCGGATCGAGCTCCGGACCCTGGCGATGGAGCTTGAAACCAGAACGGCCCAGTGGAATTGCAACACGACCGAAGAGCACAGCAGCTTGTCTTCGACTTCCTCAGCCTCGTCGTCGAGAGGGCTGCAGAGCTCGGACGTCTTATTTCGGCTCCTGTCCTGGACCTTGGATCACGAGGGCCCGGCGGTATACGTTGCCAAGAAGGGACAGGCAAGAAGCAGTCCGACGTCCACGCTTTACAGCCGACTCGTATCGTGGCAGATCCTGCAGCTGGCCCGGCTGCCCGCAAGTGCATGGAAGAAGGGAGGGGGCCTGGACAGTTGCAACGACGCTCTCTGCGCCGAGATCATTTCCGATGACGTGTTCGACCAGGCCTTGCGGTTGGCAGATTCTGCGGGCAGATTTGACCTGCTGGGGTTGCTTCTCGAGAAAGCGACGAGACGGGGCGCTCCACGGACCTGCCACGAGCTCCTTCAACGATTCTTTCACCTACGCCATGATCTCATCGACAGCGACCCTAACCGGCTTCTTCCCCTACTCCAACAATCTTTCATTAATGCGGACCAGTGCAGAGGCCTGCCCAAGGAGCTGTGCACCAGGATTCGCCACCTCATCTTGAATCTACCTTCTTCGCCCCACCCGACGCAGCCGGATCATGGGACAGAGGCTGCAGCTGCACGGGCAGAAGAATTCTCCATCGCCATGCTTCGAGCAGCGTTGCATTCGCACTCGCCCTTGGTCCGCAGGCCTGAAGCAGTCGCGCCTCAGAGCAATGCCCGCCGTAACGCCTCCCGTGAGCAAAGACGCCTGAGATCGACCATCATGCGCCTCTATCGACTCGCGTCGTCGGCCACGCCGCCTCGAGGCACTGTCTCGGCTGAATGGGTCGCCAGGGCGATCCGAGCGCTTTCCAGCCGCGCAGTCCCATCTGAGTCGTTGGTCGATCTGGAAGCACACGGCATAGAGCCTTCAATCAAGAGTGAAGGGAGTGGAAAGGACCCACGGGAGGGGACAGTGCTTGAGAACACAGTGAGCGTTGCCGCTGCCAATGTCGCGTTTGTCCGTCGCATATATGAGCGGGAGATTGTCAAGCGCCTGCGACTCGGACAAAGCAGCAGGTCCCTGCCAATAGCCAGCGTCCGGCTTCCTTCACAAGAAGAACATAGGGGCACGGTCAGGGAGATAAGGGGGAAGGAGGCATGGTGGACTATCCGGGCGATGCATGCCATGCTCGACGTTGAGCTCAAGGTAGCCTCCTCGCTCCTTCAACAATATTCATCTCTGGCCGCGTCCGCATCGACATCGAGACGCCCTCGCATAAGAGCCGAAACCCAGTCGATCATCCAGAGCCAGCTGCAACGCGTCACGAGGATCGTCAGATTGCTCACCCAAGTCGAAGTAGAATTGCGTTCACGGAGTGAAGGGAGTGAGGAAGACGACGACCGCTCTTTGCGTGAAGAGGAGTGGGCCAAGGCGAGAGTCGACATGGTAACCACGAGACTGCTGTTGATAAGAGGAGAGCATCGACGCGCCGTCTCGTACCTCGAGCGCGTGGTCAGCTCTGCCTCCCAGCCCAGACTCTCGACAGCAAGTACGGCGATGGCTGCAGAGCAACGGCTCACACGCGGCTGTCTGAGAACGAGAAGGATGCAGCGCTTCACCATGATACATCTCGTGCAATCCCTCTGCTCCCTTCTTCTCGCCAATGGACCCAAGCTTAGCGTGGTCAGTATTGCTGAGTTCGACCGCGCTCTACACCTCATCAATCGATCCGTCTTCGACGTCGACATCGAACGCAATTGCTGGATCCGCAGAGAAGCCAAGGAAGAGCTAGCCCTCATGTATTGGCGACTGCTCAGTCAGTCCTCTTCCGCTTATCGAGCGCAAAAGAGTCTTTCGAGGGCCAGTGTAACACAGAAGGCCGCGTTCTGGACAACGATGATGCGGCTCAGAGAAACCCTCATCGGCCTTGCTTCGTCCGACTCTTATGGCAACGGCCTATTCGTCATTCGCACCCACTTCTGGGACAGGCGGGTGGATTTCATCGACAAAGCCTTGGACATCGCCGGAGAGCAACAAGAGGAGCGAGAAGAGGAGATGGCAATCCTAACGGATATCCTGTGCAGCGTCGAAAAGAGAGAGAAGGGCGACGACGAGGCAGCGATCAGGGAGCGTGCGATGGACAGGCTCGATAAGGTGGCATACAGGAGGGCCAAGGTTGAGAGAAAGATGGCTTCTACATGAAATTGGCGAATGATAGCTATTGTACAATTTTGAATGCAACACGGCCCAATGCTTTTACGGACACATCTCTTTAATCTCTGTTGTTTCCAGAGTTGTCAGCCAGGCCCAGATGAGGTTGCAAAAAGAAATGAATGAGAGCAACTCACGGTTGATGACGTCCATGTACGCCACGCTCGCTGGGCTCTCTGGGAACTCGTCGACAAAGCTCTCGCCCGTGTCGCAGCACCTCCCGATTCTCGGATCAAGTGGGACGCTTCCCAAGAAGCGCAAGTTAAGCTCCTCGCACAGAGCCTTTGCTCCGCCAGTGCTCGGGTAAAAGATGTCGCTGCGTCCATGACAGGCAGGACAGACGAACCCAGCCATGTTCTCGACGACGCCCAAAATTGGGACGCCGACCTTTCTGCAGAAGGAAATCTCCTTGCGGACGTCCTGGAGAGACACCTCTTGCGGCGTTGTCAGGAGCACCGCGCCGTCCAGTCCGCCCGAGTCGCGCAAAAGAGAAACGATGGAGAGGTGCTCGTCCGACGTGCCCGGTGGCGTATCGATGAGCATGTAGTCCAACACAGACCCTTGCCTATTCCCCTCTACCTGCTCTCCATGCTTGTTCTCTTCCTGCTTTTGTTGCTCTTCCTCCTCCTCCTCTTCGAGCCCGCCGGTCCAGTCAACATCGAGCAGGAATTGCTTGATGAGCCCATTCTTCTTCGGCCCTCTCCAGATGACGGCGCTCGTGGCGCTGGGAAGCAAGAAGCCGATGCTCATTGCACAAAAGTTGTCGCTGACATAGACGGGCGACCAGCCCGAAGCCGAGGCGTGGATCGAGTTGTTTCCGAGGCCCAAGATCGTCGGAATCGAGGGCCCGCAAATGTCGATGTCCATGATAGCCGTCTGCTGCTTGCGGTCCCGCGCGCACGCCCACCCAAGCTGGGCCGTAAAGGTGCTCTTGCCCACGCCACCTTTCCCAGACATGATGAGGATCTTGCGCCGCACCTTGGACATCCGTGCAGCAATTCGCGGCAGGTCAGGGTCGGGCCCCTTGGGCGTCGAGGCACACGTCGACTGGTTGGGGCAGCCAGCGCAGGCCGAAGCTTTGCCGGCGTCTTCGGACTCGGTGCCAGGGCAGTGCGCAGGCGCGTTCTCGGGGACCTGATCGGGGAGGGCGCGAGCAATGCTGCCTGGCGGCAAGACGGACGAGGTCATACTGCCCGTCGTCGGGTCCGGCGGGACCGGCTGCGGGGAGACGATGGCCATGGTGATGGGGTTCTGTTGGAGTGAGCGAGAGTTGAGAGTGGCGAGGCTGGGCTGGGCCTTACGACCGTAATGAAATTTCTGAATCCTCTCCTCCACGTGTTTTGAGGCGCGTCTCTGGGATCTGGTGGTGCAGGACTAGCTAGGATCAGCCTTCGTCGCTCCTCACTCGCAAAACAAAGAGCACGCACGTAGAGAGCAAGAGGAAGGGGAGCGCACAAGATGGGCAAACGATCAAGCGTGTCCAAGTTTCCCGTTGCGCGCATCAAAAAGATCATGCAGACCAACGAGGACGTGGGTAAAGTGGCGCAGGCGACACCCGTCGTTGTCTGTGAGTCAGATGGCGCGTTCCCTTCTTTGGAGAGTGCGGGACAGCTGAGCCCAAGAGTGTGTGACAGCAAAGGCACTGGAGATGTTTATGCAGAGCATCGTTGATGAGACAGTCCGGCAAGCGCGTGACAAGGGGTCAAGAAAGCTGACCTCGCAGCATCTGTAAGTTCTCCGCCGCATCGCAATTGCCCACGTCGGGAGAGCTGAGTCTGAGGTTCCATCCTTGCAGCAAGAGGGCAATCCACGAAAATGAGACATTCGACTTTCTCAAGGACATTGTGGCCGGTGTGGCGGATGCCACAGAGGAAAAAGGAGAGGGTGATGGGTCGAGGGCAACGAAGAAGAGGAAGACGGTCAGCAAGGTCGAGGAGGAGCCGGAAGAGGAGCCAGAGGCTGATGACGACGAGGACGAGGACGAGGAGAGCGATCAATAGTGGACTCTATCTTTACGACTGCGTGACACATATCTCTGTACGAATATAATGATAGCAAGTCATCTTCAAGCGGCGGCTGCGTTGAAGGCGGCCTCGGGAGCAGACGTCTCGCCGTGAGGAGCACCGTGGTGAAGCGAGACGAGCTTGCGAAACAGCCTTGCAAACCAACGAAACGACCACGCGCCCTGGCATGCTCCGTGATACATCCACACCTGGAGCAATAGCGTGCATCGTGCATCGAAAAGGGTAAGCCATATCGTCACAGATGAAAGGTAAAAAGTGGGGCAACCTACATCGGCAAATGAGCGAAAGGTGATCAGGAGGAACGTCCCAGTCCAGAGACGGGCGACCGTTTGTCTCATCCAGGGCTTCTCGATGAGAAGCTCGACGTCTTTGCTACCGTAGAGTAGCCGAGCCAGGCGACGCTCAACCTTGTTCTCCTTGAACCACGTCTCTGCAATGATTGCAACGGCACTCCAGAGAAAGAACCTCGTCGCGCCGAAGCCACCAGCGCCAAAGCCGACTGTCTTCCTTTGGTCTCGCACTTCTACGAAGCGAGCAGAGGGGTAGAAGCCAATCTCGTGGATCATGCCAGAGAGGAAGAAGGAGGCGAGAAGGGCAGCAGGTCGGCCCAGACGCGGATACCAGACCGAGGCGAGGTCGTGGGCCGGCTTGTGGGCGAGCGAGACGAGAATCGGGCGAAGGTTGCTGTGCCAATGCTTGGACCAGAGGGCGCCCGTCGTCGTTGCCATGTAGGGCCTGTTGAGCCACGTCGGGGACCAGTTTGCCAGCACGAAAATGGTGTTGGTCGAAGGAGTGACGAGGACGGCTACAAGTGTGAGGACGACGTAGAGCATAGAGAGACTGCGAACAGCTCTTGGATCAGATCAGAGGCAATCACCTTCTTCCCGAAAGGCCAACCACTCACGTAGCCATGGCCAGGGTGATGGTCGACATGCCGACTGGAGGACGCTCTACGTCATCTTCCTACTTGAGGCATGGGACGGACGGGGCTCACTCACTCAGCCAAGGTCCTAGGCCAAACCACCAGTCCCTGTATGCATCGGTGCCCTGACCGCCGGGTCCGAATTTACCCCAGCTTTCCGTCCCCGCAATCGAATCGAGGAAGTCGATGAAGACAAGATGGCCGAAGACCTTGGACGCGAGATTAAAAACGGCCTCTCTCTTGATCTGTAAGATGTCCGCTTGTGTCGATTGTCGCTTGACATGCTCATTGAGAGCCACCGCCGTCAGTCCTGCGGGAGAGGCAGGAGGACCATGCTGGCTGAGGGCCACGTTTCGGCGCTGCCAGTACAACTCAAAAGCGAGGCTGAGCGTGCTCCTGGGGTACATCTGGACCTCATCTTGGCAGCCGGTCGCTTTGTTCGGCCGTGTCTTGCTGTTCAGCCGCATCGGACGGCACTCGAGGCCATGCAGTCGAAACTCGACGTCGTACTTGACGGGGCTGGGCAGGTAGGTGTTGCGCGGCTGGGTGGCCCACATGTACATGTGCAGCACCGCAAGAAATCGGGTAAAAGGCCAGATGTAGTTGAGGCGTCGGGCCAGGACAATGTGCGGGAGAAATTCCTGCAGGGCTGACGGTAGCACCTGGAGCATTCGTTGGGGAAGGTACGACCGCGGATCAGTGGGTCGTATGGCGAGAGAGGACGTCGGTACAAAGAAGAAGACCGTGTAGATGGTGGCGAGCAAGAGGAGGATGGGCCGCCAGCGGTAGTGTGACGCGGCTTTGTCCGTTGTTGATTCGGAAAGGAGTGGGACGAGAATGAGGAGCGAGAAGACGAATTCAGTCAGCTGAACCTGGACCAGGATGCGCAGCGACTGCCAAGGATGATCGAGAAAGTCGAGGTCGAGCGCGGGAAGGAGAAAACGAGGGAGTGCGCTGTATGCGGTGATGAGACGGGCCCGACTGGCCACAAGGGCCAGTGCCACGGCAGCAAGAACAGCAAACGAGGATCTCATCAAGTTCGGTGCCTCTTTTGCGCGGTCCTCTTGCGAAGATCAAAGGGAACCTTTATAAGGGGCCAAGCCTCGCCGCCCCATGATTTCCCCCAAGGGTATACGGAGAGCTCAGATTTGTTGGTCTTACCGCGTGCAAGGTCCGCCAACGCCGCTATTCCCCCTCCATCTTTGAAAAAGGCAAGGTGATGCTTGCATTGGGTTGTAAAAATACATCTTCTATCGTCTAAAAAAGCACGAAAGAATCTATCCCTTTCGAGAGCAGCGTAACGGCCTTTGCAGTAAGGCGCATCGTCGTCATCGTCGTGCCCGTGCCCATGATACACCAGGCCTGGGTGAAGAGACAGATGAGCTGGTCATTGTTGCTGCAATAGCGTCCTTCGAAAACTCACATCCGTCATGATGGTGCTAGTGGCAGTCAAGTAGCCAAAGGTCCATAGCCAGCCCAGGACGGCTCTCTTTCTGGCTCCCTTGACCAGTGGGCCCGTCTGCGCCTCTGCCCTATCCCATAGGCTCTCAAGGATGCAACCGACGCCCTGGAGGAGAAAGAATCTCGTCGCAGCAAAGTTGTTTGCGCCGAAGCCATACCGACCCGCATCGAGGTGACCCAAACGACCGTGGGCCATGCCCTCCTGTCCGACCTCGTGAAGCATGCCCGAGAGAAAGAAGACGGCGAGCGTGGCCAGCGCGGCTTCGAATGTGCGACCAAGGCCGAGGGCACGGCTCAGCGCCGAGACGGGCCGGTAGCCGTAGAAGAGAAAGGAGCGTCTGAACATGGCATGCCATCGCGTTGTCCAAAAGGCACGCAGCGACGTTGCTGTGTGCGGTCTGCTGTACAAGTTTGGATGCCAGTTGCACAAGATAGAAGCAGCGTCGTCGGCGCTGCTCATGCACAGGTGGACGGCGATGGCGAGATTGTAGCCAATCTGCATGGGAATGATGACGACGAGGGCAAACATGACGCTGATGACATAGGGCCCCGCCCCACCGAGCGGTCCGCGACGGTAGGCCCAGATGGAGCCGCCACGGGGTCCGTCTGGGGCGCCGAGGAGCTTGCTCTTGATGCTCGAGTCGCACACGTCGAGGATGGCCAAGAGCATGAGGCCGTTGAGCAGCATCCTTGTAATCGCCCGCCGCTTTCTCAAGCTGGCAGAGGCAGAGGGCGGCTTGCCATCGCGGGCCTGGATCTGCTCGCTGACGACCAGCGCCGGTCGGCCCGCAGGCGACTGCAAGCCCCACGCCCACCCGAGCCCGCGAAAGGACAGGCAGAGGGCGAGCTCGAGCGGGACGCGGCTGCCCGGAAATGTCGACGGTAAGTCACCCTCATCCTCATCCTCCTCCTCGCCCTCCTCCTTCTTCTCTTTCTTCTTCTTCTCTTTTCTCTTCTTCTCTTCTTTCCTCTTCTCCGCCTCCTTCTCAGCATTTTTTGCTTCGTCTGTTGCGGCCTGCGCTCCGTCATCGACGGTGATGTGCCCCTCGGGCTCCATGCCCCGCACAACGCCGCCGCGCCACGCGCCCCTGGCGCTGTTGAGCCGGCATCGCTTCACAAGTGCCCACTCGAGCACCCTGGCCGACGAGTAGAGGCTGACGATGGAGAGTCCAAAGTTGGCATACTCGACGGCGATGGCCGACTCGTGCGGCGTGGCGGGCTGCAGCTCGATGTCGAAGCAGTGCGTATAGGCGATGCGGAGCTGGAGCACGATGGAGACGAGTGCGAGGAGGATGCGGAGCGGGCGCGACCAGGCCGCGTGGCGCAGCACGAGGTGCGCAATCGGTAAGGGGGCGGCCTGCACCCAGACGGCCAGGGCGAGCAGGCTCTTGGCGTTGTGCGGTCTCCGCTGCGAGCGCGGCGTGATGAGCCACGTCCAGAGCGACGAGGCGCGGCCCAGCGAAGACCAGTCGACGAGCGCAAGCCCCACGAGCACGGGCATCGAGCAGAGCACCGCCGTCGCGGCGCGGCTCATCGCCGCCGACGACGCTCCCGCTCGTCTTCGAGCTCCGTTGCCTGTCGTCCCCGCCATTGACGTTGTTGTTGGGTCCGTGAAAGGGGCACACTCAAATAGGATCGTCGTCTTTCCTTCTCTTTTAGTCTAATTATGCTCGGGTCGCGTCGTCGGTCGCGTCTTCGGTGCAGCAGCGCCGACGCGCATTAATGAGACACGCCCTCTCATCTCCCCCCTTTGCTCAAAGTCGAGTCTCGCCTATATTTGTTGTCTTCCATTGCGAACCACATCCACGGTGAGGAAGGGGGAGAGTCAAGGTGCGGAAACATACAATAGTAGAATAGATAGACAGGTAGCCACCGTGAGAGAGGACAAGGGAGAAAGAGAAACGTCATACGTAGTACAGTTTAAAGAAAAGCAAGAGAGAAAGGGAGAGAAGGAGAGAGAGATGCTGAGGGGAATGTCTAGGCAACCGCTGCCTTGGCCGGTGGAGCCGTCGCCGGCGGTAAGGTCGGAAGTGTCTGCCGCTGGGTCGACGAGGGGGTGGCCTCGCCGCCTCCAGCGCCGCCCACGCCCCTGCCGACCTTGGAGAGGAATCCGGCCAGTCTCGGCAGGTCGACGCCCTCCATGCCAATCGACTCGATGGCGGTGACGAGCTCGTCGAGCATGCCCTCGACCTTGTCCTCGGACACGTTGCAGCACATTGCGACGACCTTGCGACACTGCTTGAGCTTCGTGGCACTGGCGCCCTCGAGGTCGTGGATGCGTCTCTGGAGCTCCTCGACACTACTTTCGTACCACCGCTTGAGCCAGCGGAGCTTGACGAGGGCATCCTGCGAGCCTTCTTCAAAGGGCACCTCCTCCTTGAAGCGCTCGGCAGGCGCGAGAGAATCCTCATCGACGCTCATGTCGCCTGCTGCCTTGTCTTCTCCACTCGCCTTCTTCTTCTCCTTCGATTGCGACTCGGTCTCAAAGGCCAAGCACTGGGCGATGAGGACCTGTGTGGTCTCGTCCTCTTGGGTCTGCTGCTGCTGCTGCTGCTGCTGCTGCTGCTGCTGCTGCCCGCTGCTCTCGTCGACGGTCTCGTAGCCCATCTCGGCCCGCAGACACCTGCTCAGGTTCTCGCGCCTCATCTTTGCCTCGTCGCGCTCCACGACCTGGGCCTGGCCCACGTTGATGCGCCGCCGCCTCGTCGCAAGCTCCCTCGTGGCACTCTGCAGGTGTTTCTGGGCCGTCTCAAAGGCCTCGTCCTTGTCCTTTTGCTCCTTCTGAAACACGTCGGCGAGGTCCGAGAGCACCGTCGTCATTTGCTCGAGCACGTCTTTGCTCTTCTGCACGGGCGCCCTTGGAGGCTGCGTCAGGCTCGTCACGACCTCGTTTGCACTGCTGTTTGTCCGGTCGCGCTTGTCAGCAGCAACGGCAGCAACGGCCGTCGCAGCATCGTCGTCATCGAGCGCCTCGATGCCCCAGTCGGAGGGCTTGATGCGCAGGTTGTTGGCAATGTCCTTGCGTGCACCGACGTCGAGGAGCATCTTGACCATGCTTGCGTTGCCCACCCGGGCCACGATGCCGAGCGCCGTCTCCCCGTCGAGGTCCTGGGCATCGACGAGACTGGCAAAGCGGCCGCCCTCATGGCGGCTGATGTACTCCAAGACGCAGGCGAGATAGTAGCGAGCGGCCTTGCCGCGGCCCTGGAGCGCAGAGACGAGGGCAATGTGGTGGAGAATGGTTCGGCGGCGGTAGTCGCGCGTGTGCAGGCTCTGTGCGAGGAGCTGGAGCAGGACGGGAAAGGTGCTCTTGTCGTACGAGTTGATGACGAGGACGGAGCGCTGGAGAGGCGTCTCGCCGGCATGGTTGCCCGCAAAGGGGCTGGCGCCGCCGCTCGAGGGAGGACGCGCGACGAGCGTCTTGACGAGGGCCAGGTTGGCCAGTGCGCTGGCCCAGTGCAGCGCAGAGTGTCCGTGGTCGTCGATGACCAGGTCGATGCACGGCGCTGGACCGGCCATGTCGACGGTGGCCCCATTGGCGAGCGGCGCCGCCGCCGCCGTTGGCCCATTGCCAGCGGCAGACGCACCCGAAAGGGCATGGTGACCAGCGAGGCTCGCATCGTGGCGCAGCTCCAGCAGCAGCTCATCGAGTGCGCGCTGGTGGGCGGGCGTGATTGTCGCATCAACGTCGACGGCGGCGGCGGCGTCTGCAGCAGCAGCAGCGTTGTCGTCGTGCGCGACCGCCTGGTGGTGGACATGGACAAAGAGGGCCTGGAGTCGCTTGTGCATTCTCTTTTCGCCCTCGTCGCCCTCGCGCATCACCTGGGGCCGGTCGGCGAAGCGGGTGCCGGCCAGCTGCAGGCTGCGCAGGTGGTCTGGTGGGCCCAGCGACACGCGGTGCAGCTTCGTCGGCGGCCGCACGCCTCGCAGGGCCGACGTGGGCGACGTGCTCCTGCCCAGGGCATTGAGGTCCTTGACTGGCGACGGTCCCGTCGCGGCCGCCTGCTCGGCCCGCTGCCTCTTGTCCACCCGTCTCTGCTCCAGCTCCAGCTCTTCGTCCTCGGTGTGGTCGACCTGGTCCAGGCCCCTCTTGTTGTTGTTGTTGTTGTTGTTCGTCGTCGTCGTCGTCGTCGTCGTCGTCGCTGATGCTCTCGAAAAAGACTCGACCTCGGTGGTGGCATTGGGTACGCCGGCAGCAGCGGCAGCAGCAGCAGCGGCAGCCATGCCCTGGGGGGTGTAGCCATAGGATGCATACCCGCTCAGCGTGTCCCTCTGCTCTGCCGTGGAGCCAGGTGGGAAAATGTTGGGAAAGGGCGAGGGCGCGTCGAGGTCCGACGGTGGGCGCAGGGTGAGGAAGCGAGGCTGGAGGTGGCTAGGCCCCGTCGCGCTCGCGCTCGCGCTCCCTGGGCCCGACGAGGGTTGCGGCGATGCAGAGGCTGGCGTCGCATGTGGCGAGGTACCCACGGCTCCCTTGGCGGCGGCCAGCTGCGCAGCGCCGGGCCCAGTGCGGTAGTACATGCTCGCCGAAGGAGCGTTGGGGTTCGGTCGCTTCCTGGGTCCCGCCACAGGCACGTTGGCCGCCGTCGCTGGATCAAAGTCGAGCAAGGGCTGGAGCAGATGGGCAACATTGTACCGCGCCGACAGCTCCTGAGCCCTCTTGAGCGGGATCCATGTGCCCTGGTATTTCCCGTAGCCTCCCTGCACCTTTTCGTGCTCGCCCGTCAGGATCTCCTTTTCCAAGATCTTTGTCCGCTTGGCCTTTTCGATGCCTGCAATCTTGAGAATCTGCGTCGCATTGAGGTAGCCATCGGCACGGCGGCGCATGCATGCAATGCCGCGCACCGTCAATTCGTACACGGGCACCGACGAATACGTGGCCAGGTACACTGTGGGCGGTTGGCCAGTCGCTGGTGGTGGTGGTGCTGCCGCAGTGGTGTTGGTAAGGATGCTGCTGCTGCTGCTGCTGCTGCTGCTGCTACCGCCAGCGCCAGCATTTACTCCTGCGACCGCTGCTGCCGGCATGGCCGCACTGCTGCCATTCATCGTCGTCTGGCAAATTGGCTATTCTCCACGTCGAGGTTGTAAGTCCGATGCAGACCAACGACGATGCCGCCTCTCCCCTTTTTTTTTATCCTCCCTTTTTTCAGCGTTCGATCTCGAGCGAGAGGTGAACGGTGTTCGTCTCGCTCACAACGACGCGACCCACGCGTCGCAGCCTTACTTTAACGAAAATAGGGCCATGTGGCAAAGGTTGATTGCAGGGATGCGCATAAAAACTCGCTCGCCCGACACTTTGTCATTGGGCTGACTTCTGTCATTCTCGTCGGCCGAGAGAATGCTAGATTTCGGCTGATCCCAATTCCCTAGATCTTAGAAGGTTGGCGCTGGTTAGGGGTAGGTCCGTTAGGGTTAGGGTGGGTTAGGGTTAGGGTTGGGGTTAGGGTTAGGGTTGGGGTTAGGATTAGGATTGGGATTTTGATGGTATTCCACCTTTCTGGAGCGAAAATCACTTTGTCATAGGCATGCTGAACTGGGATGGCGACGCGCTCGAAATTCGAATCCCACATGGCTTCTCACTTAGTAGAACGCTCGGCCGAGCGAGCTTTTAAGCGCGTCCTTGATTGCAGTCGGTCGGTCGGTATTCGGAAGTGGAGTCCTGTCCAGCCTTTCCAAGTCAGGCGCGCCCCCGCACTCTCAGAAGGCTGCTATTGTCGACTTCACAGCGAGGGCGACTCTTCAAGCAAAATGTCGATGGTGAGCGTGCGAGATGGGTGGCATTCCGGTCGCGAGAACAGGACTGACAGGGGCAATGCAGAACGGGTACATGCGGCAGATCTTCCTCGACGCCCTCATGCAGGGCAAGACGGAGCATCTGACGACCCGCTATTCCAAGCTTCGCGAGCAGGCTGAGCAGAAGCTGAGCTCCGAGGCATTTCTCTACGTCGACGGAAGCGCCAGCACGCAGAGCACGGAGCTCAACAATCGCAAGGCTCTGGATGCCTACCAGATCGGTGAGCGATGACACTGTGTTTTGAGAGGGCGGGGTGATCTTGGGCGGCGGCCGCTGACCCAGAGAGCAATGTGTGTCACCTGCAAAGTCCCTCGAATGATGGCTGGCGTCGAATTCTCAGAGTTCAGCACCGAGCGTGAAATCTTTGGACGAACATTTGCGAATCCGCTCATCATCTCGCCCATTGGGGTCCAAGGGCAGCTCCATCCAGACTCGGACGTCGCTACTTCTCAGGCGGCCAAGGAGGTTGAGGTCACCTTTTGCCTCTCTAGCGCCACCTCCACGCCCATGGAAGTCGTCATGGAGAAGTCACAGCACGAAGAGGCCTGGTTTCAGCTCTACTGGCCCTCCGACGACGACGTGACCGAGAGCTTGATCACGAGAGCGAAGAAAGCCGGGTACAAGGTCCTGGTCATCACCCTCGACACGTGGACCCTTGGCTGGCGGCCCCAAGACATCGATGCGGTGCGTGCTAGTAGCTCCACTCTGTGGGAACTTCCTCTACCAGGCTAACCTTGTCCTCTCTTTCTCTCTTTCTAGGGCTACAACCCTTTCATCAAAGGCATGGGCTGCGCAAACCTCTTTTCGGACCCCGTCTTTGTCGAAAAGTACTGTGAGGGCAAGTCGCCCCTTCGCGACGGCGCCACGGCCGACGACGTGCAGCAGGCCGCCCTTTCCGTCGCGACCCAAGGGCTCCTGACTTCTGGCAAGGCACGCACCTGGTCCGAGCTGGCTCAGATTAGGAAGCTGTGGGGCGACGGACCCATCGTCGTCAAGGGCGTGCAGACGCTCACCGACGCCGCCAGGGCCGTCGAGGCCGGCGTTGATGGGATTTGGGTCTCGAACCACGGTGGAAGGCAGGTTGACGGGGCTATTGGGAGCCTACAAGCCCTCGGTCCCATTTCGCAGTATATCAGAGGCCTGCCAAAGGACACGAAGCGACCGGTCATTGTGTTTGACTCAGGCATCCGGTCCGGTGCGGACATCATGAAGGCCGTCGCGCTTGGAGCTGACCTCGTTGGCATCGGGAGACCGTATGCATTCGGCCTGGCATGTCGGGGTCAAGAGGGCGTCGAGGCCGTGCTCAAGTCGCTCATTGCCGACTTTGAAATGAATGCAGCCTTGGCGGGCTGCAGGACCATCAACGATCTCGGCCCGCATAGTCTTGTCAAGTCAGGCGAAGAGAGCAGGCTGTAAGCTGATCAAGTAATGTGATTGGCTGTAGTGTATGGCCGAGAAGTTGTAGACGAAGCAACGTCTAATGATCACATAACTCTCTTGGTGCTTTCCGTGTACATGGCAAATGGTGATACGAGTCACAGTAAGACTGAGGACTTCAGGATGGAAGAAAGAAAACAGGAAGATATACAAAGCAGCATGACAAGAAGGCGCAAAGACGACTGAGAAGAACGGGCGCAGTGACGGACATGACTAGAAACCGCTGGTGTAAGGGTGTGGCGGCGGATTGCCCTGCTCGATGGCCATGCTCAGCCTCCTCGCTGGTGAGACGACGCTGGGTCCCGAGCGGTGCATGGGCAGGCTTTCATCGGTGCGGTTCGAACTCTGCGAGGTGAGCGTCTGTTCGCGCGGCGCCTCCAAGGCCGGTGTATCGGTGCCACGCGCCAAGGCGTGCACCATCATCTCCTCGTCATCGTCTTGGTGTGCTGCCTTTCCCGCGCTGCTGACCGACGTACTGCTGGGCTGGCTGGGGCCATTGGTAGGGCGGCTGGTTGTCTGACCTGCCTCCTTTGCCGAAGGGGGCGGAGTAGTGTAGGGGTCGTCCTCCTCGAAGCGATCGTGAATTGTGAGGACGTGGATGCCATTGTCGGCCGACGTGGTCTGCTGGTCGCGGTGGTGAGGCATCTCGATTTCCTCCTTTCGATTTCCTTTGAATGCGCCGACGCCGATCTTGGAGGCGAAGAAGTTCTTGGTCGTTCGGACCTTCTTACCGGCATTGGATTCCACATCGCTGTGGAACACAGGCTGACCATTGGTGCCAGCAAGACGGTGGCGGTCGCTGGACCTCCTCTCGTCGGCCGTGTTGAAGCTCTCCTTGGTCTGCAAGCCTCGCTGAGCTTGTCCGTCTTCAGCCTGTCGGAGGTAGTAGTGGCTATTGTGGCGCGTGTTCTTCGTGCTGTTGTGATTGTTGCCGCTCGAGGCCGATGAGAGGTAGCGCGCAGTGCCGTTGTTGGTGGCAAAGGCGCGGGCGTTGAGCGTCGCGAGGAGCGAGTTGACATAGAGCTTTGACAAGGGCAGGTTGAAGATGAGGTGGAGCGTGGTGGTGCTGGCGAGGAAGAGGATTAAGTCGATGATGGCAAAGGACGCCGTCAGCACACCAGTTTGGAGCGTGGCGCGAATCAGCCTGGTGATGACGTCGTCCTGGATAGACGATGTTATCAGCTTTGATTCTGCTCATCCCTGGAATCTTCTGTCGTGGAGACTTACGGTTTGGCTGAAACCAGTCTTTGAGCGCTTCAGTGTCAGGATGAGCGACGTCGTGACGATCGTGTCGGAGATGGCAGCGCCAGCAAGCCAAAGGATGACAGCGACCTGGAAAGATTGGAATTTGGCGAATTCTTTCACTTTCGTCACCTCGATTGTCGTCCAGGTGGCGCCGCTGATGCTCATTATTCCCGTCAGGGCGATGATCGTCGGGACGACCCATGCCCAGCGACCTGGGGTGAGGCGGTAGACACGCCAGGCAAAGAAGAGTTGGGTCATGAGGCCGATGGCCGAGACGAGAAAAGGGTCGGCGGCAAAGGTCGAGTTTGCAAAAGCAGAGTACTCGAGCATGCCAAAGTGGCTGATGAGGTAGTCATAGAGGAAATGAAGGTCGAGCACGGTGTTGAGGGTGTCGAGGAGAAAGAGAAGGGCGACAAACGAACGAAGCCAAGCCTTGTCTGCCTTGAAACGGAGGAAGCTGGACCTCATCATCAGTCTCCACCCTTTGCCAGACAAGGTTTCTTGTTCCACCCACTAGATGTAAACCTGGACGCATGAGAAGCCGTAGAGCCAGACGTTGAGAACAACGCCGATAAAGATGCAACCGAGACTGAGATCTACTCCAGCGGGACCCATTGCGTTCTATCTTTTTTGTCAAGGGGTTGTCGGCGGTGCGTAGTGAGGGTAGGAGTGCTGTAAGGTGATGAGATGATGGGGTGATGAGGTGAGGTTTGAAGGACAGGAGAAACGAGGGAGTGCGTTCGACACTTGAAAGCCATGTACAGGGCCAATATATATCACTTTCCCTTCACGACTCAACCAGCAACCCGGCAACCAAGAGCGGCGGCATCTGTGACATGCAGAGCAAGATAGGCGACTCTCCCTACCACTTCTCTGAGATGCAGGCGTACAGACAGACTGCCTTCGTGATTCTTTCTTTCGCGGCAAGCCGCTACACCCCTCACCGCCCCCGCCCCCCTTTTTCCGTTTTTTCCCATCATTGTGTCTTCTCCTCGCTTGCAGCAACAGACTAAACATCACCGCGCCATTCTAAGCTCCTTTTTTCTCGGGCACTGATTTTCCGTGTGGTACCGAAATAGACATGCAAGACGACAGGACAATTCGGAAGCTGGCTTCAAGAGTATCATGTCCTTGTTTTTCTGGATAACTTGGGAGCAAGTACTGCATACGGAAGCACAAAGATCTGAAAATCTCTTGCGGAGGCGTTGAGGAAAGGCTCAACTGCCTGTTTGAACCTGCTATGCAAGGACCAGCAGAGAACGACATGGACGCTCTTTCATTCGGGGAAGAAGACGCAACAGGAAAGACGCAACAGCAGAACGTAATTGTAGAAAGTCGTCTGCGCTGATTTCACATCATATAGCCGGCCTCGTCTACTACATGTTAAACGGGTATTAATTATGCACGCGAGAGGAGCGAGCAAACCTTGATGGAGCAGGGGTCGAATTCTAGGGTGCATCGGTATGTGTTGAGGCGCAGTGAGCGTTATTTTTTGCTGCTCTTCTCAAGCCAACGCTAGCTTGGGTCTTGCAGAGTTGTGCCGTCGCCAATCCGGTGGTAGCTAGTGCAGTCTCCTTGCCTGTCCAGCTTTGCTTCGCCTGCCGCGGACTGCGGGCTGGGGGCAGCCTGCGCTACACAAAGCAAGAGAAAAATCGGTGCTGATGTCGGATTCGAGCTAACTTGATTTGATTTGCCAGATCGGGAGCAGCACTCGAATTTGCTACGAGAATTCACATACATCAGTACTTCTTTTCACTCTACATAGCGCCACTGCAGCTAGAGTAGTAGTACCTTAATACGCTAAGCTGAGCTTAAAAGCAAGAAGGTGGCCCCTACGCTCGCCTTCCTCGCTCCCTTCCACTTTCGCACCCTTGTTTCCTCGGTCATCGGACTTGCCCGACTGCTTCACATTCGCCTCTAAACTGCTTCACTACTCTGTACGTTGTTTTGTGGTCTTTCATTAGCCTTGCCGCGCCATTGACATGCGCTTAATTGGCCCTCTGCTGTAAAGCACAGTACGCGGCGGTAGATTAAACGCCAAGGGTCGGAAAGGCTGAGAAATTTGTACCGTACTAGATCTTTCATACCCCCTTACTTAAACACCCTTGTCACGGCCGCATGCACCTCATGAAATTTGCTGACCCTGCCTGCACACGCATGTACCCTTTCCCTACCAGACGACTTACTTCGTACTGGTACTAGCACTACTATGTACTGTACAGTACGTACTGTACATACTACTTCCGGGTATTTATCTTCCGTCTTTTAGGCAAAGGTAACGATTTTTGCCGAGAAGCGTCCAACTGTGCCTGTTTCTCACTTTGGGAACGCTGTCGCTTCACGAACTGGAGGAGAGCAGAGGTCACCAAGTCTGTCTCAAGAAAATAGTCTTCTTTCGGTGGTGTGGGAGCAGATGATGCCCATGAAAGGAAAGCAAGTCAAGATGTAGGGGGTTATCAAGAGTAGATTCGCTTCGTGTCCCGATTCGTCTGGTGCAGCGGCAACTTTTGCCGGCTTCAGATCGCATGAGAGATCGCTAGGCTTGTCGTCCTAGGGCGTTGTAAAAGCGTCGCAGATGTCCTGAGCCAGCACTTGCGGAACCTCGTAGAATGCAAAGTGGCCCCCTCGGTCACTTCTGGTATACCTGACGACATTGTGTGACCTCTCCAAGACGCTTTTGGGCGGCATTGGAAAGACGGGGTCGGGAAGGGCAAGGATTGCGCAGGGCACTTCGACCCTCTTTCCCTTGGGAAGCAGGTTGGATGCCTCGACAACTTCGCCAGTGTAGATCCACAGCGACGACGGAAGTGAATCGGTGACGAGGTAGAGCATGACCTCGTCGATGAGACTGTCGATATCGAATGGGCCTCCTTCGCTCTTCAGGAGCGCAGCTTGCGACGGAGATTGGGACAGGTCCGCCCAAGCATGAAAGGCCTCTAGAATCCAGGCCGCTGCGCCAACCGGACTGTCAGCCAAGGCATAAGCCAGCTTGTTTGCCTTCCATGCGTGGATCTGCCCATAGGCGCCTTGCCCTCTTGACCAGCAGTCTGACTCGAGCTTGGCGAATGATACCTCATTGGCGTCTGCATCGGCGGGATGTCGACCGTCCCGAGCGGCGGCGTCGTAATGGCGAACACTGTACTGGGTAAAGTGCACGCCCAGGACACTGTCGGCATGGTAGAGACCTAGAAGGTCCGCCAGCATCGAGCCCCAATCACCGCCATGGACATAGTAGCGGTGGTAGCCCAGCGACTGGGTCATGAGCCTGTGGAACACGTGAGAAATGGCCTTCGGGCCCATGGGGGTCTTTGGCGCGGTCGAAAAGTGGTAGCCGGGCATGCTCGGCACGATTAGATGGAATCGGTGTCGGAGACTTTCTACCAGGCTACTGAGACTGTAAAAGGAGTAGGGCCAACCGTGAAGGAGGAGCAGCGGTGGAAGGTCATCCTTGTCGCCTTTCACGTGGACAAAGTGCACGTCAATGTCATCGATGTTCGCCTTGAACTGCGGATGACGGTTCATTCGCCTCTCTCTCTCCCTGAAATCGTAGTCTTCACTGGTCCAATGCTGGCAAAGGTGCCTCATAAACCGGGTAGGAGGCCCATGCCGCCAGTTTCCATCATTTTCGGGCGATTTGAACGCAGGCCAATTGAAGCCTCGCACCCGGTCGAGGATCGAGTCGACTTTGGCCTGAGGGATTTGGATCTCGAATGGTCGCGGTTCCATTGTCGTTTTGCTCATTCAGCTGATGGGTAATACATTTGCAGGGAAGGAAAGAAAGACGACCATTTATAGCCAGTAGGAGACTGTGAGAAGCTTTCAGGTCACCTCCGTGATTGCAACGGATGTCCGACATCCGAGATCCTGACCTCCCTTCCGCTCGACGTCACCTCCGAGAAAGAGAGCTGCAGAAAATAGTCTTGCACAGATACCACTTTGATCTACTCTCTTCCCGCACCCAAGCTCCGGGCGTGTATGAGAATTTTCTGGTGAATGAGAAGCTTGCTTGGAAGAGACTCGAGACAGTGCCGTGGCCATCATCGGGTCGAGGCGTTAGGAGGACGCGCGCCACGTGGTTTTTGCTAAGCGCCAAGAATCCGCGCGTTGCGTCACCGGCGTGCAGAACTGAGGTTGACAGGAGCAGATTGTTCTATTCGTGTTTGGGCACCGCCTGGGGCTTGGCGCGTTTGCCCCAGATTGGCAGAAGCCTGCTCGCTATAAAAAGCCATTTCTCCTGCTAAGATTCTTTTCTCTCAGATCGATCTCAGTAGAGCACGAAGCAGAATGCAAAAAGGGATCAACACACCAGAGGAAGCCAGGGGAAGCGGGGGTGGCCGAGCTGGAGGGCTGCTGGCCGTCAAGTCAAAGAAGCGTCGATTGGCACTCCACATCCCCAACGCTTACCCTCGCCAGATGTCGAGAAGCCCGCCCGCTGAGTCTCCTGGCGCAGCAACGACATCCTCGGCAGCTGTGCATCAGGATCAGGCACAAGGACGGGCGCAAACACCGTTGCAGGAAGAGGTGGCGCCGAGGACGGCAACGGCAACGATGACGCTCGCCAAGATCGCAAGCACCTCATCAACGAGCACCGACGCCTCGGCGGGCTCGCCTACCAAGGTTCCAGGCCAAGGGCAAGAGCCAAAAGCGCAGTCACTCTGGAGCGCAATCTGGGGCAGCTAGGAGACGGCATCTGCGGACGGTGAGTCTGCCGTTGGGTCCTTTGGCCGGACGGCTTCGCTGAACGTGGCGTAGTTGGCAGATGTTAAGACGATACCAGGATTCTCCGAGGCTTCTCCGAGCAAGCAGTAGTAGAAGATAGACATGTACATGCAGCAATACCCATTCTTATCCACTTCGCCGCTGTGCATACTGTATGTTATGGTTTTGGGCAGGCATGTCCCAAGGCATCGCATCGAGTCATGCTTGCTAATGCCTGCTCAGCCCATTTCTTGTTCTTCTTGAGCTGAGTCACAAGCCCGCGCTCCACTGCCGTGACGAGGCAGCAGCGAACGGCGGCAGAGAGGAGCGAATCTATGGGTGAAAGGCGAGAAGGGTGATGCTGCAGTCATGGGATGCTTACATCCACGTGACCATTTACGGATCTACCGGGATCGGATTCAACGGCTTTGAGGCAATAGATCGATAATGATATATTAATTTTTGTATTGACAAGTAACAAAATTCGGTAGTGATCGTGGATGGAAGCCGGTGCACTCTTTCAAACGAGGGGGTGGGCTGCTGCACTCCACTCCAGCATATATAGCGCCTGCCTGGCACAAGCCGACTCTTTTCCTCTCCCTTTCTCATTGTCGCCCGAAAAAACCAAAAGGACAGAACAAAACAGCACAAATGGGTTACAACGTCGCCGAAGAGGAAAAGATCTTCCAGCAGGAGGTCCAGTCGGTCCAGCAGTGGTGGAAGGAGCCGCGATGGGCGCACACGAAGCGACCCTACACGGCCGAGCAGGTCGTCTCGAAGCGCGGCACCATCAAGCAAGTCTACCCTTCCAACGAGCAGGGCAAGAAGCTCTGGAAGCTGCTTGAGAACCGCTTCGCCGAGAAGACGCCCAGCCACACCTACGGCGCCCTCGACCCGGTCCAGGTGACGCAGATGGCAAAGTACCTCGAGACCGTCTACGTCTCCGGCTGGCAGTCGTCGTCGACGGCCAGCAGCACCAACGAGCCCGGTCCCGATCTTGCAGGTGAGTGTTGGTTGCTGCTGTTTTAGCTTGATAGGAGTGGTGCCTGACAGCCGTTGATCGACTCGGCAGACTACCCTTACAACACGGTGCCCAACAAGGTCGAGCACCTCTTCATGGCCCAGCTCTTCCACGACCGCAAGCAGCGCCAGGACCGCCTCTCGCTTTCGGCTGCGGACCGATCCAAGACGCCGTACATTGACTACCTGCGCCCTATTGTTGCCGACGCCGACACGGGCCACGGTGGTCTGACGGCCGTCATGAAGCTGACGAAGCTCTTCGTCGAAAAGGGTGCCGCCGGCATCCACATTGAGGACCAGGCCCCAGGCACAAAAAAGTGCGGCCACATGGCCGGCAAGGTCCTCGTGCCCATCTCGGAGCACATCAACCGTCTCGTCGCGATCCGTTACCAGTACGACATCATGGGTGTCGAGAACCTCGTCGTTGCGAGGACCGACTCGGAGGCGGCGACCCTGCTCACCTCCAACGTCGACGAGCGCGACCACCCCTTCATCCTCGGTTCGACCAACAAGTCACTTGATCCCCTCGTCGACCTCATGAACGAGGCTCAGCGCGAGGGCAAGGACGGTGCCGCGCTCCAGGCGATTGAGGACGATTGGACCAAAAAGGCTGGCCTCAAGCTCTTCTCCCACGCTGTGGCCGACCACCTGAAGGCAAAGGGCAAGAACGCCGACGCGTTCCTCAAGGAGAGCAACGGATTGAGCAACCGCAAGGCGCGAGAGGTGGCAAAGAGGCACGGCGTCGACGAGGCCAGCGGCTTCTACTGGGACTGGGACGCTCCCAGGACCCGCGAGGGCTTCTACCAGTACCAGGGCGGCACGCAGTGCGCCGTCAACCGCGCCATTGCCTTTGCCCCGCACTCGGACCTCATCTGGATGGAGACCAAGTCGCCCATCCTGGACCAGGCAAAGGAGTTTGCCGAGGGTGTCCACAAGGTGTGGCCCCAACAGTGGCTGGCTTACAACCTCTCGCCTTCCTTCAACTGGGACGCCGCCAAGCTCTCGACGGAGCAGATGAAGAGCTACGTATGGGACCTGGGCAAGCTCGGCTTCGTCTGGCAGTTCATCACCCTTGCCGGCTTGCACTCCAATGCTTACATCAGCGACCTGTTTGCAAAGGGCTTTGCAAAGGAGGGCATGAAGGCCTACGTCGAGGAAGTACAGCGAAAGGAGCGGGCCATTGGCTGCGATGTCCTGACGCACCAAAAATGGTAAGTGATCGAGACTTGGCGTCTTTCTGAGCAATGTATGCGAGACTGACAAACTATTCTCTCCCCACAGGTCGGGCGCAAACTACGTCGACACCCTCATGACCGACGTCCAGGGTGGTATCAGCTCGACGGCGGCCATGGGCAAGGGTGTGACCGAGAGCCAGTTCAAGTAAAGCACTCAGCAGTAGTAACAATCGCCGTAGTAGTCACGGATGTAGTAAATCTAGGACCTAGAATCGCATTTATTTCTCTCCAGCACTGTGTTGCCTTCACCTTGCGCTATTGTTCATCTCTTCGGCTACTGGCTGCTGAATGCTGCTTCATCGGCCCAGGGTGCTGCGAGAAGCTGCGATCGATGCATCGGGGAGTGGGCGACGACGGACGCGCGGGGAAATGCCACGTGGAATTTTAAGCTTTCTATAGACGGCCCACTAGGCAGCTAAACCTCGCCTTCCATTAGGTAGAAGTAGAGTGCGTGCACCTTTCAAGCGAACGCTGCTAGCTCCCAGGAGCGCGCTCGAGAACCCACACTACGTCGACGAAAGAGAGAGCGAGAGAGCGAGAGATGACGGAGGCGGCAGCAGCGGTGCCGACAGTGGTGGAGCTGTTCAGCACATCGATTCTAAGCAACCACAAGGTCCGGCACCGGCACGAGCGTTTCGTGTCCGTGCTCCAGATCAAAAAGGTCCCCTTCATCTACCACGACCTCGCCTCAGACGAAGCAGCCAAGAGCCGATGGCGGCGAAAGGTGCGTTTCTCACAGATGCCTATGAAAGGAAGGGTGGACCCAGGGGTGTTTTCCAGACAAGAATGCCGGCGATAGAGGAGCTAACAAAGGTACGGCATACAGGCAAAGGACCCACAGATCCCCGGCGTGCTCGTCCACAATGAATGGAGGGGCACCTTTGAGGAGTTCGAAGAGGCCGTCGAATTTGGTGAGCTCGACCTCTTTCTAAATATCGATGTCGAACGTGCCAAGAGGGAGGCTGCTTCGGGACTGGCTGTAGGGCCGGCCGTGGCCGATGGGAAGAAGGAGGAAGAGAAGCAGACGGAAGGGTCGGCAGTGACACGGGCCCCTAGGGATGAGAGTATTCGGAAGACATCGACGACGACGACAAGCACTCCTGTGCAAGGAGCGCCTAGGCTGGCTGGCCCAATCGCGCCCAGCGCAGGGGCAGCAGGTCCCTCGATTCCGCTCGCGCCGGCTGGCTCGGGAGAGAGGAAGGAGGCCGATGCTGAGCGTTTCTTGGCCAGCCTCGGCATCGACGACCTGGATCTGACCGAAGAGGAGATCAGTGAGATCCTCGAAGCTGGCAAGGAGAACAACAGCGACATCTCCAAGCCCACCGAGGAATCGAGTCAGGAGAAGGCCGCCGAGGAAAAGTCGCAAAAGTATCCTGGTACGCTAGGCCTGGGAAACTCAAAGGGTGGTCCGGTGGTGCCGAGAACGTACATCCCCTCTGCAGAGGCCGGTACTAAACCTCTCCGACTGGCAAAGATGGGCGGTGGCGGTGGCGGTGACAGGCGCGCGCCCTCGGTCACCTCGCCCAGGCAGAGGATCGAGTCTGAAGGGAGCAAGGGCTCGCCGGTCCATGCCAGGTACAATCCGGCCTCGACGTCGTCCAAGGCGCTGGCAGCCGAGGCACAGGCTTCGGTGACCTCCAGGGCCTTTTCGTCGCAGAGGCTCAGGGAAGCTGTCTCGAGGGGCGATGACCTCAAGGCAGCCATGTCGACGACGAGGACTGCGTCTGGCACCGACGCAAAGGAGACAGTCGTCGGACGAGAGGATCTCGACTCACTCATGGCCAGTCTTGGCCTGGGAGACAACATTAAGATGACCGACGAAGAGGCAGAGGCCTTTTTGCTCGACGGCACCGTGCCCCTGGGCTTGGGAACCGGGGGCGACCGGCTCATGAGGGCCGGTAGCGTGGCAGACAAGGCCCGGAGCGAAGCGGCGGCGCGAGACGTCGCCAGGAGAGCAAAGGAGAAGGGCTATGGCAGCCAGAGGCAGAGCCGTGCCTCGCTGATATCACTCGATGTCGAGGATACATCACCGGGAGAGCAGAACGAGGCGACAGGAGACAGCTCCATCGTTGTCAAGGAAGAGGAGGAAGCGGAGGAAGCGGAGAAAGCGGAGGAGGAGCCGCCGCTGCAGAAAGAAGTAGCCAAGGTGACGGCAGAGGACAAGGAGGAAGAAGGAGGAGGTCCGAAAGGGACGATGAGGGAGGATGATACGAAAGCGAAGGAAGAGGAGGAAGAGCGTTTGAGGCTCGAGGCGGAGGCCAAGGCGGTCCAGGCTAAAGCTAAGGAAGAGGAGGAAGAGCGTTTGAGGCTCGAGGCGGAGGCCAAGGCGGTCCAGGCTAAAGCTAAGGAAGAGGAAGAGGAGGCGGAGATAGCTAGAATGACGAAGAAGAAGGAGGACGAGGAGGATGCAGCAAGGAAGAGGAAGGAGGAGGAGGAAGCTAGAGTGAGGAAGGAGAAGGAGGAAGAGGAAGAGGCCGCCAGAAAAGTGCAAGATGAAAAGGCCAAGAGAGAAGCCGAGGAAAAGGCGAGGAGAGAAGCTGAGGAAAAGGCCAAGAAAGCGGAAGAGGAAGAGGAAGGAAGGAGGGAAAGAGAAGAGAAGGAGCAAAGGGCAAGGCAGCGAGAGGAAGAGGAGAAGAGACAGGCAAGGGAAGAAGAGTCGACACCCCGTGCAGCGCTTGTATCGCTTCCTACTGTCGACGAGTCGACTGAGCAGCCGAGCACAGCAGGTGCTTCTGACAGAGAAAGCGCCGTGCTAGCCTCGACGGCGAGCGAAGCATCCGCTAAGCCCGCGACAGCCACCGCTGACGCCAATGTACGAAGGTCTATCGCCTCTTCCTCCTCTGCCTCGTCGCGCTCCTCGTCCTCTGTTGCCTCTCCTGCTGTTCCCCCTCCACTCGACATGGAGGCCGCGGCTGCCATCAAGCCCGTCGCTGCAAGCGCCATTGGAGAGGAAGGATCAGGAGACGAGCACGACAGCAAGGACGCTTCCCTCTCGCCATCAGCATCGTCTGTCAGGTCCCCGCCGCGATCCCCCGGCAACGCCCTGCAGCGACAGCAACCGTCTTCTGCGAAGCTGTCACCGCAAACCAGCCGGTCGTCGTCGGCGAGCAACAATCTTCGCCACCAGACGTCCTTTGGCGAGCGTAGTCCTGCAGAGGGGAGAAGGAGAGCAATGGACGTGCCCCGCAGGCAGGCGTCCAATGGATCGATGGGCCAGTCCCCCTCTCCACATGCGCGAGCCGGAGAAAGCAGTTTCGACCATGGCAACGGTCCTGCATCGCTCATGTCGCCGTCCAGCTCCTCGGACCGCATGTCACAGTCGTCGCCGGTCAAGTCGCCAAATGCCAAGAAAAAGTTTTCGATTCCCAAGCCCTTCTCGTCGCAAAGGAACAAGGACAAGGACAAGGACAAGGACAAGACTGGACCTTCTTCGCCGAGCTCGTCTGGCGCCATTCCGTCGGCTCGGAGCGAAAAGACGCTGAGCATGATTTTGCGAGAGGCAGACGAGGCCATGAGGGAGCTCGATGAGGGTGGACCGGGAGACGACGACGACGACTATGCGGATCTGCTGCGTGGTGGCGACGGCGACGATTTCTCAGTCAACGAATTTGCGCTCGACGACGACGACGAGGACGCTGAGGCGAAGTGAGCTGAAAGTCCTTCACTCCAGCTTTTCTAGTCCCTTCTTTGGTGGCATTATTTGGACTCAATAGCAATCATTTGGATGCTCGTGGAATTGAGAGATGATATGTGCATTGAAGTCAACAAGTTTGGGTATGATTGTGTAAGAAGATGGGATCAGATGCCGTCGGGCTCATCACTTGGCTGTCGGTCTGTATCGGACTGTCTTTTAGAGAAAGGAGTGCTGTTCATAGCCGCCTGTCTCCTTCCAGACGACGAAGAAGCCGAAGAGGAAGACTTGGGTCCCTCCCTGCGTCTATTCTTGTCCCTGTAGGAGGGCTTTTGAGCCATGAAACCTGTTTCGTCCTGCATCTCACCCGGCGCGGACGACGGAGGGGCAAAGTCGTCGAATCCTCCAGCCGCTGCATCGGCCGCTGCTTCGTCCACGACCATGTCACTTTTCGGCAATGCTTCGTGAACGCCTGCGAGGGGACTTGTAATCGTTGGCGATCTGCCATTGGCTACGCCGCGAGCCGAGGCAGGGCCCTCTCTCGCCGCAGCCGATGACGAACCTGTGCTTCTTGATGCAGTCCGCTCGTGCCGTCGAGGCTTGTCCCGGTACGACATTCTAGTACCGCTGTTGCTGTTGCTACCACTGCCTGCACTGCTGGGAAGCTCTGGCGAAGGCAGGACGGGATTCAGCCTCTGCTGATCTTGCCGGTGTCTCGTGTACCGGCTGCTACTGCCAGCATTGGACCCGCTCCTCCGTGACCCAGAGCCGTCGTGGCTTCGACTTGCTTGCGATTGGCTGTAGCTTCCCCCACGCTCCCGGTCCTTGTTGTTGCGGCGTCTTGCCTTTTTGCCAAACGCCAGCCCAGCAATGTCGGCCTCATCTTCGTCCTCGTCCTCGTCCTCGTTCTCTTCTTCATCAGCAATGGCCATCTCTTCACTCTGCTGCTGCTGCTGCTGCTGCTGCTGCTGTTGGTGGTCATAAGGTAGGAATTGGTGTGGGGAAAGGAGGTCGTGGGACGGTTGGGGAGATGAGGTTGACGGCTGGTCATGGTAGTAGTAGTGATGGTGGATCACTTCCTGCTGCTCCTGTGGCGACGGACCTTCGTTGTAGAAGCCATAGCCCTCGGGACCGCGAGCGAGACCGTACTGCTGTTCTTGCTCCTGCGACCACTCTCCGCTTTCGGGCTGGTAATGCTGGTATTCGCCGTGATAGTCGTCAGCAATCGAAGCCGCTGCCGCTGCGTCGTCTTCGGGCGCGCCCTCTTCTGCAAAGTCGAAGCCTCCGGCGGCAGCCTCTGCCTCTGCCTCTGTCAGCTTCCTGCTCTGCCGGGCAGCCTCCGCCTCTGTCTTGATCCGGGCCAGGCCTTCCTTGACGGCTTTCCTCTCTGCCCTTCGACGAGCCTTGGCGATAGCCGCCTCCTCCTGCGCGGCCAGGGCTTCCTCCTCTTCTTTCATTCGAGCTGCTTGCTCTTCTTGCGCCACTCTATATGCGGCTGCCTCCTCTTCGAGTTGCGCCTTTCTCTTGGCTGCCTCTGCCGCTGCCTTCTCGTGCTCCACTTTGATTCTTTGGGCTTCCTCTTCTTCAAGCCGAGCCTGCTCCTGCTTGGAAAGCTCTTCCTCGTCGCCTTTCCCGCCCTCCTCCCTCTCCTCCCCCTCTTGCTCCCTCGAATGGCTCAGCTCAGCAATGGCGTCGTCGTTGAGCATGCCTGCATCCTCGTCGCCACTTTCGGCTACCGCTTGCCCCTCGCTGTCGCCAACGCTGCTGCTGCTCGCGTCGACGCTGTCGATACTCCTCTCCCTCTCGTGATGGTGTGGTGGGTGGCGTCGGCCTTCTCGACCGAGTTGCTGCTGTTGCCCCTGATCAATCTGGCCTTTGGGACGCCCAAAGAGGCCACACGCCATGATTGCTTGGCCATCCCGGACCAAACCCCAACGTTGGGCGACCGAGGTGCCCCTGAGCCTTGCCCTTGCAGCACCTCGCCGTCGGCTGCGATCGGCAATATTGCTCAAGAGCGAGATGGCGTCCGAGTCGTCATACGACGGTGCCTCGTCGCGCAGCAGGCCCTGTCGTTGCTCGTCGTCGAGGGCAGACGAACGAGTGCCAAAGCATGAGCCTACGACGGACCCGAAGCATTCTCGCACTGACTCGCTGACGCTCGACATCCTCAAGTCTGCTGCTGCTGCTGCTGCTGCTGCTGCTGTGAAGAAAAGGGCGATCGAAGAGGCAAAGGCCGTGTGTATGCGAGTGTGTATGCTGTGAAGGGCGAGTCGGCCGTCAGAGGAGCGAGGGCAGAGGCCGTCGTGTCAACGTGAAACCGGATCTAAAAAAAAAAAAAACATCAACACCAAAAGCAGCGAGCCCGTCCGTACCCCACGCGTCGCCTTCTCGCCTTTCTTTTTGGGCTTTAATTGCCGGTTGCCCGGTGGTGCTCTGCGCGGCTCCCATTCCAGTCACGTTGAGAAAACTGATGATGGTGAGAATCGAATAAAGGAGCAACTTGATGCTCAAGCTTGCAGAGACTGCACGTGTGAGAGGACGCTGTTGGAGGTTCATGGCGAGCAATCACCTCCGTCTACGCCAACCACGGACCTTCGTGGGTCGGGCTCTCTCACGGTCACGCCCCGCCGCCGCACCAGCCGCCGCCGCCGCCGCCTCTTTCCCTTTTCACGGTAAACTCCTTGTTTTGCCTCGCCGATTGCGACGCACGCGCACGCGCACGCACCTGCGAAAAAGTGGCAGTAGCAGAGCAGCAGCATCAGCAGCAGCAGCAGCAGCAGCAGCAGCAGCAGCACAGGCAACAGTAGCGCGAGCGATTGTGTGAACAGCAGCATGGGGGCTAGAAAAGTCGCAAGAGAGAGGCATTCGGACCGATCGAAGCCACGTAGGCCGGCCTTACCTGCTGCTCTCGATCGTCCTCGGGAATCTTCCTTGTCGTCCTCGTACCTTTTAGACTAAAGCGATGGCAAAGGTCCTCATCAACAGCCCTGCCTCGATGCAAATTTTTCTAGGGCAGCGCGGGCCGCGGTAGGGGAAGAGGCTCGAGCCTTCATGTACCGCGCGCCGCTCAGGGAACAATACACACCGCCTCCCCCCTTGTGCCTCTCTCTCTCTCTCTCTCTCTCGTGTTTCTTTCCCCCCACGCCCTCGCCCTCACTCCCTCCATCCGTTCCTCCCCACCCTGGCTTTCTGGCTTGGCTTCTTGCTCTCTTTTTGTATTTCCTTTCTCTGACAGACGTCCGTCTCGCGTCGCTCGCCCCGATCTTTCTCCGAGTAGAGCGGCCTGCAAAATCTTCTCTTCGGGCGAGAGTAGCCACCTATCGGAACACACGGCCAACAGAGACGGAGGGAGCGGCGGGCCTTTTCGCAGTTCTCCTCCTCCTCCCTTTTCCCCCTCGCTGGGCCCTCACCTTCAGTGTCCTCTTTTCCCTCCGTTTTCTTCATCTTCTTCCCTCACACTCACACAATTTCATACCACACTCACTCACTCACTCAGACACACTTTCTCTCGGTCCCTGGCATTTATTGTAGAGAAGAAGGTGGAAAAACGAGGAGCGTTTGGCCGCACGAGCTCTTGACGGCAACGCAGACCTTTCGTCTGCCCCAGCAGCTAGCGTTTCGCCATGTCGTCGTCGCTATCGCCGTCGCAATCGCCTCCTCCGTCATCCTCGCCATCACCATCAACTTCCCCAGCGTCATCAATGCCCGATCGGACTTCAACGTCGTCGTCAGCGCCTTCAAACCTGCTGCCACCACCTTTTTTGGCGCCCTTGTCGCCGCCTTCAGAGGTTACCTCACAGCAGCCTCAGCAGCCGCCGTCGGGGTCCAGGCATCAGAATGCTGGTCTGATTTTGGGTGCAGTCAGCTGCGTCGTAGCCCTCGTCTTCCTCATCGCATGGAGCTTGTGGATCTTCTGGCGACGGCATCAGAAGCGTACCCAGTTGCAGGTCGACGCCCAAGCGCAGCGCAGTCGCCGTCATCGTCGCCGTAGTCGAGCGCTTGAAACTGTCTTGTTTCATCGGTCTTCCAGTAGTCAGCACCAGCAGCAGCACCAGCGGCAGCAGCAACAGAAAGGAGCTGCTCACCACAGGCATCGTCACCAGCAGCAGCAGCAGCAGCAACAGCAGCCTACGCTCCTGCCACAAGCAACAACGTTGTATCCGTTGCCCTCATGCGCAAGGCCTTTGAGCCATCACGGAAGCACCAACGGTTGCCCATGCCATGGACGGGGGGGAAGCGTAACTGTCGCCATTGGCCCCGGCAGTATCGGTCCAAGCCACGAAGGGTACCAATCGCCTGATGCCTCGTGTCCATACCACCTCTCGCCCACGTCCCCTCCCCGTTGTCCGCTTTCCCCGGATGCTGCCACGCCTCCGTCGCCAAAGGGTAGTGCCAGCAGAGCTTCGCTGGGAACAACTTCGGGAACGTCGAGGATGTCATATGGCAGCCACTGGTCAGAGTATCATCAACAGGCTCAGCAACAACTCCTTTTCCATCAACAGCAGCAGCAGCAGCAGCAGCACCAACAGCACCAACAGCACCAACAGCACCAACAGCACCAACAGCAGCATCACTATCAGTTGCCGCAGCCCCAGCAGCACGGTACCACAATAACACCTCCTGCTTCGACAAAGCACGCTGAAGCACAACAATGGCTGGCCGAGGTCACCACCGTCGAGACTCGCAGGCAATGGCGCCCAGACACAGCGCCAGAGCGATCAATGACACCTGCACAGTGGCGCACGGAGCACGCCTCGCCACCGACTCCGCCTGCTGGAATCATCCAGCCGCGTGCGCCATCCTCAGCTTCACCACGAGCGAGCCAGTCATTGCCGTCCATACCCAGACTGAGCACCCAGGAAGAAAAGCAGGAGGAGAGGGAAGACAGCAAAAAGCAGCAGCAACATCGTCTTCCCAGCAAGGCTGCTTCATCATCGCGACTTCGTGATCAGGACCGCATTGCAAGGACTTCGACGCTGATGAAACCTACCAGCGAAGCCGTCGATATCTCAACCGTCACCTTTGGCACGGTCCAGGAGAGCGAGATGTGGCTCGCCGGCTCGAGTTCATCTTGTGGCGACTGTGCCAGCCAGCTCTCTGAAGTCGAGGAGGAGGACGAAGAGCATCAAACACCTGTTCGTCCCCGGCCTCTGGACGAAGGGGATGCCTGGCCTCCTTTCAACGGGGCGATGGAGTATAAAGCGCCGCCACCCAGGCCTCCTGTGGAAGCAGAGCAGGACCAATATCAGCACCAGCAACACAGAGAGCACCAACAAGAGCAAACGCACCAGCAAGAGCGTGAGCACCAGGACGTGCAGGGCTGCTACGATAAGTATGGGCATGGAGGAGCGATGAATGGTGGGGCGGCAGCCATACAGCCAGGCTCGAACTCTTCTTCTCGACAGTCCCTCAGGATGTCTTGCCACCCCTCTGGAGCTTCAGCTGCGCCCTTTGTCCAGCAGCAGCAAGTTCGGAGCCCTACACTCCCTGGCTACATTGACTCTTGCCAAGGCTGCTACCCCCCTCCAGTCGCGTATCAACAATCTTCCTTCTCATCAAACACCGACGCTGGTCATCGTGAACTGCAAGAATACCATGAGGAATGCCATCAAAGAAGCGCTGTCGAGAGGCACCAAGAGCATGGCTTCTACTCCATCGCATCCTCATCAAATGGAAGCATCACAAGCCAGCTCGTTCCATTTCAGGGTCAGGGTCAAAACGCAGCCGACCACCAAGCATCACTGCATCGGCCTATCTATCCCCAGCAACAGCTGTACAATCTCCAGGACGTAGCAGCCTCGTCTAACAGCACATCTTCGTTCATTACGCCTGTCGCCCGACCTTCAGTCTCGAACCCTGAGCTTTTCTTGAGCGGTAATGTTGAGCTTGGTGCCAGCATCAGCACCGGTAGTCAGTCCGGGCCTGGCTCCATTCCTGGTCCTCGTCCCGGCTCTGGCTCTGGCCCTGGCTCTGGCCCTGGATCTAGCTCGCCTCGCACAAGAAAACTTTTGCGCAAATATCGAAGGAGAAGCAAGACAACGCACAGCGAAGAAATGGGAGCAGGAAGAGCATCGGTCGAGAGGGCGTCTTTTGTCGTCGAGACAAGGCACAATACCTCGCCATTCAGTGCGCGGACAACTGGCCTGGGCAACAGCATTGGATCGCCCAGTCGTCCAGGACCTGATGGCACCATCGGTCGGGGGAATCCCGGCTTTATCGTCGAGTCTCGACTGAGGGGTTCGAGGCCGACGACGTCTTCAACCGTTGGATCAAACGCTCCGTCATTCTATTCGCACTCACAGGCTTAAAGATGCTGCGAAGCTGGATATTTGGGGGCCAGGCGGGCAGAACAACGATTTTGATGTACAGTACAGTACTTTTGGCTTCTTTGAGGATCACGGCACACCTTCCCTTTCACCTTTGTCATCAAGTCAGATCTCCCTCACCTCTTTGTCTCTGGCGGTCAGAAACAACAGTCTTTTTCACAAAGCGTGGCACGATGCGCACCCTGGAATGCGAGCTTTGGCTACTTCTATTCTATTTTCATTCATGAGTGGCTAGGAGCCTTCGTCCTTGGAGCAGAGATTGTCGTCCAGCTCGCCCATTGCAACGAGGTGGCTCATGACACCGCCGACGAGATGAAGGCTGCCCGTGACGAGCGCTTCAGACCCTTGTCCCTTTTCCATGACGAGATGGACTGCATCCTCAATTGTCGGCATAACGTACACGCTGGTCGCAGACGAGGGGTAGAGGGCTTTCCACGCGCTTGCCAGTGCATTCTGAGCATCGAGATTCGGCTGCGTACCGTCGAGGACTGAGGTGAGGTCCGAGGAGGAGCCGGTGCGACCGGTCGTGTTTGTGCAAAAGATGATGTTGTCAAAGTAATCGCCCTGCGCCTCGCCGCCCGAAGACGACGACGATGATGAGAAAAGACCACCGACCATGCCTCTGAGAAGCTCCTCGCTGTTGCGGCCGTGCGTGGTATTGAAGATGAGGGTACGGCTGGTGCTTGATGACCGGGAGCCAAACCACTTTGCGCAGCCCTCGAGCGACTCCTTTGTATGCGCTCCATCCAGGTACCACACCGGACCGGCGCCGCCCTTTGTCCTGACGATCTGACAGCGTCCTGGCCAGCGAGCACTGGCCAACCCTATCCTCTCTGATTCTGTAAGATTGTTTGCCCTGACTTCATCCCTCGACAAGAGAGGTGATGAGGGCGAGAAGACTTCAGTGCCCGGCTCAGATTCGAGAAAAACTCGGGAGAGGAAGACAGCCAACTGCGCGTTGGACGTTTGGTGGTCGCCGTCTATCCCGAGCTGGACACCTTTCAGCGTGTCTGCGTCGGAATGGGAAAGGAAGCGGAAGGAGGATGCCTGCGCAAGGCGAGCGTCAGTTTGAAAATGACACGTTCAAAGAGAAAGAGCCTCCTTTACGCACTCCCACTTTCTGCGCTTCCCTCTCGATGACAGACCGTGCGGATTGCGAATCCTGCCATACGCTTGCCGCCGGTACGCCCTTCTTAAAGATACCTGCTTTTTGTGCAGCAATCTCTTCGAGAGTGTTGCCCAGGATTGCCGTGTGATCCAGTCCCAGGGTTGTGATGCCTGTGACGGTGGGCTTGGGGACAATGTTGGTTGAGTCGTACCTGCCTCCGATACCCACTTCGAGAATGGCGCAGCGCACATTGTGTGTGAGAAAGATGTGAAAGGCGAGCAGGGTGAGAAACTTGAAGTAGGCGGGCCGCAGCGGGGTGTGCTCTGGATTCGCGATCTGCATCGGGTCCAAGTTAGCGAAGAGGGGGAATGGAGACGCTCGACGACGGCAATGTACGCACCGTCGTGTTGGCACCTAGCCTGTCCCAGACGTCCCAGAATGATTCTGAAAAGACCCTTTCCGAGACAGGCTTGCCACCTAGCCGGATCCTCTCGCGAACCTTGACCATGTGCGGAGATGTGTAGAGGCCAATGAGCGGCGGCGGCGCTCCTATTCCGTTCGTCGAGCTCGAGGGCGAAGATCGCAGCAGGGCGTCGACAAATGCAGCTGTGGAACCCTTGCCCTTTGTTCCAGTGATGTGCACGACGTTGAGCCTGTTGAGATCCGTCTGCTTCCATCCAATCCTCTCGAGGTACTCGACCATCTCGGGCAGCGCCAGGTGGTCGAACTTGCCTGAGTTTCGACGCGTCCGCTCCACCGCCTCGGCGTTGCTCTGCAGTGAGTTGAGCGCCATGATCGCTCCCGCATACGTTCGGTCCGCCATGACCATTGCCGGTGTCCCTGTTCTTGCTAGCAGCCGGGGCAGCGACCCAAGCATGGAAAGGAATCAGCTGGCTAACGTTCAGTCGTTGGGCTTCCCTCTATCCTTATTTCTCGACGTTTTTTAAGGCTCGATCGAGCGTCTTTCGGCTGCTCGTCTTTCGGCCGATGCGTCATGTGTTTCCCCTGTGGAGAAAATCAACAAATGTGCCGACGGCAACATCAGAGGGGCTTTTTGGTTGACATGGCTCACGAACTTGAACGACGGCCACGAGGACGATAGCGAGGACGAGGACGATTGCAATCTGGCTTGGTCATACAGGCTTGAACGGCCGTTGTGCTCGATGTTTGGCAAAAAGGCCCACCCGACGTATCATTACCAGGCTTCGTGTCCTTGACTGCAGCAACAGCAGCAGCAGCAGCAGCAACAGGCTCTGAACCGACATTCTTTTCTCACTCCCTTGCGAGCTGAGGAGAGAACCAGGGGGAAGGAGGAGAGGGTGGAGGGTTTTGCTCTCTTCGTCAGCGTCGAAGGGTGCTGGAGGCGAGGCGAGGCGAGGCAAGCGAGTGGTAAGGATCGCAACGGCTGACGAGAAGACAGTGGAGAACATCCCCACATGCAGTCACAAGGTGGTAGGCTGGAGCCCGAGGCTCCTCACAACGGGACCTGTGGCGAGTGGCAACCGGATGAGACAGCTCCTTCCTATCCACCCTCTTCGTCAGAAGCTACGGGACTCGTTGCTCCTCGGCCCATTTACGCTCGACCATTGCCCTTGTTACGGCCGAGCTCCGATAGCAGTGATCGATCTCCACAGCTAAAGTCGCCATCTTCGTTTGCCGAACAAGATAACCGACATGCAACGCCGGTCCTTGACGAAGAAGGAGAGGAAAGGGGCCGCCAAGACGTTGACGGCAAAGAGCAAGCGGCGATGACATCGACGAGAGACTATGCCTCCATCCTGCCCGTCAAGGGAATCGATGGAGAGGCCGACTTGGCACGGGACAAGCTCGAGAGGATGAAGCGGACGAAGGAATCCAAGAGGCGATGGAAGGTCCGCACCGGTGCACAGGGCCTCGTGCTCGCCCTCACGGCCGGTGGAAAGAGTCGGAGGCGAACCGAGTATGAGATTGGGCAACAGCAGGGTGAGTTGCTAGTGAGATGCAAGGCCGATGAGACAAGCATAGGCCTACAATTCATTATCCCCTTTATGCAGCCGATGACGAGTCAGTCGAGAGCATGGATCTGAGTAGGGCATTTGGAGAGGTCCGGTTGGCGATCAGCAGCCTGCCCGATTACCCTGTTCTAGCTGTCAAGGGTGCTCGTCATCGTGCCAGATTGGCCTTGGCCCGGAAAGACACTGCCAAGGACACTGGCGAGTCGACAGAAGCAGTGGCCACCACTTCTGAGGGCGTGCCGAAGGTCCGTCAGTCGCTCGCCCGAAAGCTCACCGCGCCGAGGAGGAAAACGTCTGCGTCGGCGGCGGAAGAGCCGCCAGCAACAGCGCTTAGAGGCGCCAACGAGGCGCTTGTGGCAGCCCAGACCGATGGCACACCTGCCATCCATAACTCGCTCGCTGGAGCACAGCAGCGAGACCTAGACGATGTTGAAGAGGAAAAGCCAGCTGAGGAGAGGACTGTCGACGAGGCGACAAAGCAGGTCGACGAGCCCAGCAACGGCAGCCAAACAAAGAGGGTTAAGCCAGTCATTGCAAATATTGTCACCAACCCCGGCCAGGCAAAGACTGAGCGACCGCATCTAATGGTGCAGTCTCCCAGCGACGCAAACCATCTCCTACCACCTCCCGACCTACTTGACCTCATGGAGGATGACAAACATTCAGGCACCCGGACGATGGCCGTTAAAGACAGGTTGGACAGGACAGCCTCGCCTCAGGGGCTTGCTCCGGCTGAGGGGCCAACCGCTAATGAGGTCTCGTCGCTCTCCGATGAAGGGTCTTCCATGACCGACTGGCCGGAGGGAGGCGAGTTGTCCGAAGACGACGACATCGACGATGACGATGACGATGACGACGACGACGATGACGACGACGACGTTGATGACGGTGACGATGACGATTCTCTGCTGGGGGCCGAGGAGCCAGATGTGGACGAGGACCAGTTGGTGGCCATGCTAAATCTCGAGCATGGAGAGCAGCTGTCAAAGAAGGCTAAGAAGAGAGCCTTGAAACTGGCAAAGGCCGCGCGGCGCAGGGAAAAGAGAAAATCCAAGGGAAAGCAGATGGCCGAGACTGGTTTGGAAGACGACAATGTCGCCATTGCGGTGGGTGAGCATGGCTCCAAGGAGCTTCTTCCAAGGGCAATCCGAAAAAGCTCTTTGGGCACCCGCGTCAGCTCTGGACTCCACTATGCCTCGAGCCAGAGCCGCAACCGACGAGCCATGGAACGCTATTCGCCTCATCCCAACGCCAGTGGCACTCCGTTGATGAGGAGCCCTCCGCGCTCGGCCGCTGCGAGCCGGACGAATCTAGTCGAATCTGCTGGCAAGGGAAGCAGCTTGTCGAGTGTCAATTTGCCGTCAATGGCCACTGCCACCACCGGCGCCAACACCAATGCCAACACCAATGCCAACGCCGGCGGTTCGATCTCGAGAAGCTCCACGCCAGCGCAAGCCAGAGAATCGATGGCGAACAGCAGTCGACCTAGTTCCATCAGTGAGATAGTCGACGGCTTGAATGCGGTCGCGGACGCGGACGCAAGGGCAGCGTCACCCTTCCTGGGTGGCGACGAAGGCCCTGCCTCACCGCTCAGTGGTCTCGAGAGTGTCGACTTCAGCAAGAACCTGTTGCAGAGGTGGAACACGGCCATGTCGTCGTCTTCTCAGGGCAGCCGGGCAGGGACGCTCCGGCGAAAATACTTTAGCTTGCGCCGGCGTCAGCGCAACCACTCGGACCTGGTAGAAGAGAGCGGCGCCTCGACGCCAAGGGAAGAGGAGAAAGACGCAGAGAAGGAACTCGACCGCCTTCTTGGCAAGCTCGTGGCCGAGCAGGAGCCCGAGGAGCTCCAGGAACGTTATGAGTACGACGTCCTGTACGAAAACCAGAGGGGGTGAGTAGCGTAGTCGATCCTCCCACTGCGAGGCAGGCACAGAGAAGTAAACGAGGGGAGCTGACCACCTCTGACCAACAAGATTACTCGTCTTTGGGATCCCCAAGTTCACGCCCAGGATGCTGTTCCAGTGGGACCCTGACCCGTGGGTCAATGCAAAGTACGGCAATTCTGTCTACAACATCGTCAACGCCCAGCTGCCCGACCCTTCTTGGGAGTGGGTCCACCCCGAATGGCTCATCGACATGAGTGGCGACGTCGATGAGTCCGGTTGGCAATACGCCCACAACTTTGGAAGGCTCACCATTCCCATCTTTTGGCGTCCGACCGAGGTCATGCCGCGAGCCAACGTAGAGGGAAACGCAGAGATGAACCGTCGCTTTGCCAAGCACATGCACAGGGAGGCCAACCGCGAAGACGACGGGCTCGAGGCCCTTGTGCGATCTGCGCGGGTGACGAGCTACAAGTGGACGGGTGAAGCGACGCAGAACACATACGTCAGGCGAAGGAGATGGATAAGATTAAGGAGGCGAAAGCCGATCGTCCATCAGACGCCCGCCCCAACACCGGCTACGGAGATGCCCCAGAGCAGATCAATGACGACGGCAGATTGGACCCGGATCATGGCATCTCAGGCTGCTGGGCAGCCTAGCAAGGGTACCCTCCCGTCCGATTTGCTCGCTTCGTCTTCATCCTCGTCTTCGTCCTCCGACACCTTGTCCGATCTGGAAGAGGACGACACCGACTCGGAAGACGGCTACGCCCCTCCAAATGCAAAACCATCAACATTCTATCCACGCAAACTGGCCGGCAATCTTCAGAACGGGCCGGATCCGACCGAGATGCGAAAGAGCAAGGAGCAGGAACGGCGAAGGAGACACGCGCGCGAGTTCACTGGCACCATGCGCGAACTCAAGAGCCTGCTTCCAGCCATCATGGAGCACAAGAGCCGCAACGGCCACCAGCACCACCACGCTTCCTCCCGTCGAAGTAGTACGACAAATGGGCCCTCTTCCATGACAATGGAGGACCAGAAGCACATGTGGCTCAGCCAAGTTGACGCCCGCAACCCGTTCATCAGCTGGAACATCGTCAAGCGACGGCTCGAAGACGACGACATGGCCTTTGCCAGCACCTCGCTGAGGGCCAAGGACAGGCGTTTTGCCCAGCGCGAATTCGAAAGAAAGCGAGAGTTGCAGAAGAGGAAGGCTGCTGCTGCTGCTGCTGCTGCCGTAGACGAGAGCAACAATGGTGGCATCCCGGCCCACGAAGAGGAAGCGCACAGCCTCACGAGGGAGGCTCTCATTGAGATCAACTTCCGCAGGGTGTCACGCGTCCTCCGTGCATGTAAAGTTGACCGGCAGAAGTTGCAGCTTTGGCGCCTCTGGCTCGGCGTTGACGAAATCGGCCCGCACGTGGAAGCGAGCCGGGACCAGGACCTGTTGGACATGGGTTTGAGTGCCGGCCCTGCCGTCGTCGACGAGGGCGTGATCCGTGCCAAGGATGCAGCGGCACGGCTGGCCAAACGCAAATGGAAGGCGAACTGCGCGCCCCCGGACGTCATCGACGTATGGGACGTCCTCGAGAGGAGGTTAGACCGAGTGCTGCTTACGTTTGAATTTCAAGGCAGCCGGGCCTCCCTACTTCGTCTACTCCTCACCATCCATGCCACGTCGCACAGCGGCCATAGGTTCGCCCACGGCTGGAAAATCGAGACCGGCGATGTGACGGTGGAGCCAGACGCGCCCTCCAGCCTGTCCCCAGAAGTGCTTGCGCCAAGCGGCAGCAGCAGGCCGGCCAATCGATCGACTGCGCCTCTGGGCTATGCGTCGGAAGAATGGCGAGCAGCGCGACTTCCGAGGCTGGAATTTTGGTCCGACCTCGAGTCGTGTGCATACGCTGTGACCGAGTTGCCAGACCACGTTGGCAATGAAGTCTCGCCAATCACGGATTCTTCCGCTACGTTGCCCTCATCCCTGCTTCCCCGTGTCAGCTCCGTCACCGGGTCTAAACCTGATCTTGCCGACGTTCACGGGTGAGCTTTCGTTGACACTCTCAAATCCTGGCCTGTATCTGACTAGGGAGTAATATCCTCTCTACACAGCTTATCACAGATGCCGAGCCCACCACCAAGGTCCAAGACGCCGCAGAGGAACAGCCTCGTCGGCGCTTCTCATCAGCCCGTCACGGGCTCCCTGGCTGGTGGGCCGCCACCCCGAAGATCATCAACCGCGTCGCCTGACCCGTCCTTGCAGCTGCTCAATGCGAGACGGCACAGCTCCAGCGTTCGCCTGGCACCGCTGACGAGCATCATGAACACTGCAGATATTCAATCAAAGACTGCCTCTGCCTCGTCTTCTCCGCGCCAGGTGCCGTCATCCTCGTCTCCCGCCACGCTCGTGGCCAGTCAGCTGGACGCCGACCAGGCCTTTCTCCACGACCTGCTCCAATTGCCTCCCAGTAGACGGCGGGAAGCGCTGCTCAAGTCCGCCCCTATGATTTCCTCGCCTCCTTCGTCAAATGCTACAGTGCACACCGACGACAAGGCCCTTGTCAATCTACCGACGACGTTTGAAGATTAGAGCGCATCTCTTCCCTCTCCTTCCTCTCTCTCTCCCCTGTCTCTGTTACTCAGTTCCCGTCCTCAACGTAGATCACAGTCGGGTAGACAGATATATACCACTCTTTTTCATAGTCTCTCGCATTACATTCAAAGGATCTTGTTCATCTAGCCACATCAATCCACAACAATCAATAGCGTATCCCTGCTCCCCCTGCGCCGGCTACCCTTCTCGGCTGCGGCTGACTTCCCTGAGCCATGGTGCTGCTCGGGCCGCCGCCAGCGAGATTCGCAGGCGCGCCGGTTTCCAGTTTCTTGCGAAATTCCATCTTTTCCACTTTGACGTCGCCACCAATGAGCTGGTAGACGTAGGTGACGACAACAGCGCCTTGGATGTCAAGGACTGCTCGTTATCATAATCGGGCGTCAGCTTGGCTATTCATGATATGTTGGCCGCTTGTACTCACGCGCAAAGCTGGGCGTGGGGCCGGGTGCCAGCTTCGGCTCTCTCGTGCCCTTTGATCCTTTGTGCTCAGCCTCCTCCTTCTTGACCTGTTCCACTTTTCCGTCTTGGACCTCCTGTTTGTCCTTAGACTCTTTGTTGATGACCTTGTTCATGTCGTCATCGCCGGGTGTCGAGGCAGACTCAGCCTCGCCCTCGTCTCTCTTGCCATCTGCCTTCTGTTCTTTTGAACCCCTTTCCGGCCCCTTTCCCTGCATTACAGCCTTTGCGTCTTCCTTCTCGCCTCCCTCGTCGGCTTCCTCGTGCTTGTCCTCGTCGTCTTCGTCGTCCGCTTCTGCATCTGCTGGATCTCTGACCGGCCAGACGGCACTCCAGGCGCCCGTCGCGCTGCCCGGATTAACAAAGAAGCGACCTTCACGCTCGAATGCGTCGAATTTGTGCGTGCTCCCACTCAGCAGCACATCGACGTCCATCGCTCGGGCAAGGGCACAAAGGCTGTCTGTGTCACCGGCCGGGACAATCTGGTGTCCGTGCAACACACCTATGCGGAGTGGGGGGTGGTGCAGGATGAGCGAGGATGGAAAGTGGACATTGTCGTCCCAGTCACCACGGACGACGTGTACATCGCCGGCGACGGTGCGGAGGTAGTCGAGCGTCTCGCGATCGCAGACGTTGCCGGTGCAGACAATTTGCTGGATCTTGCCAGGGACCAGCAGCTTGCGGAACTTGCTTGGCAGATCCGATGCGCGGTAGGGCAGATGGAGGTCGCCGATGACGAGCACCAACATTCCTATCAGAGACCTACAAAGTCACCCAATGATCGAGCTTATGATCGAGCTTAGGTTCGAACACACACAGGAGCGACGACGCTCAGGCCAGTTGATCTGTCCAGCCTGGGGCCACATGGACGACGCGTTTGAATTCCGCCCTTGCATCCGTGCGCTAGTCTAGTAGTAGTAGTAGTAGTAGTGTAGTAGTGAAGGGATGACGGCACCTCAGTCAATCAAACGTTGAGGCAGCGCGGCTGGATCATAATATCAATCAAGCAAAAGCTCCATGTTTTTGTCGTGCTTGATGATGATAGCGACGATCAACATGGCGTCTAGAGATGCTTGAGGAAGTTGCAATTCAGTGATTGTCGTCTCTTCGAGACACAAATAGTAATGAAAGAACGAGTTCCAGTCGAGGGATCCCGATTGAGGACATTTCTGATTTCGTTACGCACGCACGCGAATATATCGAGACTCGCAGGCAAATGCGAGAGGCCAAGTCGGGGCTATCTGAACTGCTTCAATCTCCTTTCTCGATGGACTGAAGTGCTTCTCATTCAAAGTGCGACGAAACCTCACCCCTCACCAACACACCACTATACGCCTCCTTCTTCTTCGACAGCTACACGACTGCTTCTCTCACCACCGCCACCATACGCCATCTCGGCCAGAGCCTACGTTGTGTACCTGTCTGCTCAATCGCCTGGGACTGCTAGCTCGTTTTTTCCACCCCACGACGTTGGGCGTCGTCACTCTTGGCGGTGGTGCCGGTAGTGCTTTTGGCGTGTGTGAGCCTGCCTGCTTGCTGTGTGCGCATACAGAAGCCGGCCAGGGCGTGCGGAGACCCAGACGATGAATACTGCGTCACTGCCGATGACGGGCGCTACCACAGCGCACCCGGGACCATCGACGTCGCCAGCTTCTCACGCAACGGGTTCGCACCACCCCGATGGAGCCGCACCGCCGCCCGTGGCCGTCGCATCACAAATGGTGGCCGCTGGCCATCGAGCCATCTCGCCACCGACCCCGGCCCCTTCGCCACAGCCCGAGCTTCGCTTCCTCCGCCTCGCCGGCAGTGCAGCAGTCGACGAGCTGAGCAAGGATCAGTCGGATAATCCCCAGACGCAGACGCTCTCCAAGCACCTCACCGACTCGTTCCCTCACCTTGACGGGCGGTCGCGCCTCGCCTTTCTCACACATCTCATCGACTACTGCACCCCTCGCGAGCTTGCCCATCTCTCGTCCCTCATCTCACCCCGTCTCAAAGTCGACTTTCTCGCCGCTCTTCCCATCGAGGTGTCTCTGCACATCATTTCCTTCCTCGATGACCCCAAGACCCTTGCGAGGGCCTCTGCCGTGTCTCGCTTCTGGCGCAGCCTCGTCAATGATGAGCAGACGTGGAAGGTCATGTGTCTCAAATACCGATATCGCGATTATGCAGGTCGCCTGATCACCCACCACTCGCCTTCGCTCTCCTCTTCGGCCGCCGCCGCCGCTGCTCTGGGTCTCGACACACCCGATCAGAGCTTTGAAAGGGCCACGGGCAGGGTGGACCAGCGAAGCAGGAGGAGAAGACGAAGGAGCAGCGCCAGCAGCACCACGAGCTCTGCGACGGCGAGCACAGGGACCAGTATCCACTCCGACGAAGATGTACCCCACCGCAATAACGAAGACGGCCACGGCAATGGTGCCGCCGCCGCCGCCATCATGTCATCTACGATGTCAACATTGCCTTGCAGCAACGCTTCGATCCCCAAGTCGGTTCTGGAGCGCCTTTTGGACTCGTACATGGCTCGCGGTCTCGATGCACCCTCTGCATTGTCGGAACTGCGCACATTGCACGAGCTCTTTCTCTCCAAGCGTGCAAGGCAGGTCGACGTCGAGGAGAGGCGACGACAGCTCCACGCTCTTCAGACGGGCTCTTCTACCGGCTTGCTCCAAGCTCCTCTGCCACGCATCGAGGCGACGAGCATGAGCGACGAGGACAGAAGGTTCTACGAAGAGCTCGAGGCTGCCGTCACAGAAGGTCGCACCACCTTGGGTCTCGATCAAGCCGACACCACTACCGACGAGGGCAGCTATCGTCCCTCCGTCTCGCCTTTGAATGAGGCTGGGGCGAACAGTGCGTCATCGACGGCGACGACGACGGCCGCGGGCTGGCTCAGCTCGACAAAGACGCCAAAGACGCCTTCGGCTCCGAGGATCGGCGGCGAGGACAGACCGCCTCCCCTGGGGTCCGTCTCATCTCCGAGATCCAATGCAGCCCCAAGCTCCATCATCTCGCCCACTGGCAGGCTTGGAAATGTCACGAGCGGGCTCTTGCATTCACTGTGGGACCGTGGTGCGCCTCGTACGATGACCAAGCAAGATGATGGCGACGATGACGAGAGCATGGACGTCGACGACGAGACCGGCGTTGATTCGTCATTTGCCACTGCTCATTCCTCCGTCGAAGCCCAGTACTCCCATGGCGGGCATCAACATCAGCAGCCTCTCTCGCAACACCACGGTGGAGCAAAGAGGGCAGGCAAGGCGCGGGCCCACCAAGAAAGCAGCGGTGGCGGCAGCAGCAACAGCAACAGCAGCAACAGCAGCAGTGGTGGCGGTGGCAGTCGAGGAGCGGGAGAGAGTAGATCTCTGCCTATGCGAAGCTCGAGGAGAAATCGCCCACGCAATTTGCAAACCTCGTCTTCCCTCCGGTCACATGTCGCATCCCCTGGTCAGCAATTGGAAGGGTCCTCTTCATCTTCGACACCCACTCTCGACTCTCTGGGCATTGGTCGACCCTCCACGGGCCTCTACTCCGGCCAGCGACAGGCCAGGGCTGTCACTCTCGCCGAAAGTCACCTGATGGAGTCCTCATCGAGCAGCATGGACCTCGACGCCTTTGGCTTTACTTTGGCTGCGTCGACTGGTCCTTCGGGCGCATCGAAACGAGCGGCTTCTGCCACTTACGCAAGACCATATGGTCCGTCATCCACCTCTACCATCAATCGCAGGCGAGGAACTCCGAGAAAGCCATTTAGCTACAAGACGCATTTCAAGCTGGCCTACATGACGGAGAACAATTGGCTGCGTGGAGGCCGCCTCTTGACGCAGCACGTCTCTTCTGATGCTGCTGCTGACGCAGGTTCCGTCGTGACCAGCCTCTCCATCGACGATGAATGGATCGTTGTAGGCATGGCTAACGCCAAGATCCACGTTTTCGATGTTCGAACCGGTCTCTTTGTCCGCACGCTCGAGGGTCACTCTTCAGGCATATGGTGCCTAAGTCTCATCAGCGCTTGCAAGCCCCGTCAGCCTTTGGCCCAGCCACAGGCGCCCCAGAGCCCAACCTCGAATGGCGGCGCTCACGGCGGCGGTGGTGGTGCTTCCTCTACAGCTGCACACGAAGGACCTAGCACTGGCTCTGTCTCGAGCCCTTGCAACAGCCAGCGTCCCCTCTACAACCCCACGCCTGATCTCAACCTGATCCACCACGATCCTCGTCCCACTGCCAGTGCCTTTTCCCCCGAGGTTGCCTTTGTCAGCCTACCGGACAGCCTACCGCAGGACGAGACGCATGGGATGCCTCGCTCCCGCAGCACACTCGGCCTCGAGACGGACAGCAAGAGACAGCAACACTCGTCGTCCTCGTCGCAATCCTTCTCGATGCACCTTGGACGAGGCACTGGCGACTTTGATTCTTCGCCCCCCAATTTCACCAACTGGGATCAAGAGCAAAATAGTGGCGACGATGCCAAGCCCAAGACCAACAAAAGCCGCGGAGCTGGCCTTGGCAGCAATTTTGGAAGTCCCTGTGGCAGCGTTAGCGGCTTTGGCAACGAGGGCGCTATCGTCGTCAGTGGGGGCTGCGATCGCGATGTTCGCGTGTGGGACCTCACCACGGGCAAGTGCCTTCACGTCCTTCGTGGTCATAATTCTACAGTGCGATGTCTCCGAGTCCTGGAAGGTCGACCCCTAGCTATCTCCGGATCGAGGGACAGCACGGTGCGCGTTTGGAACATCGAGACGGGCCAGCTAGTCCACCTGCTCTCAGGACATCTTCATTCTGTTCGTTGTCTGGATGTGGCCGGCAACAAGGTTGTCAGCGCCAGCTACGATGCCACATGCCGCATCTGGGACATCGATACAGGCGAGTGCCTCCATGTCCTGCGCGGACACTATCATCAAATCTACGCAATCGCCTTTGATGGCGTTCACGTTGCCACAGGCAGCCTCGATTCGACGGCCCGCGTGTGGAACGCGGAGACTGGCGAATGTCTCGTCGTGTTCCAAGGTCATACCTCGCTGGTGGGCCAGCTACAGCTGAGTGACAACATTCTCATCACTGGAGGTTCCGACGGAAAGATTATGGTTTTCTCGCTCGATACATTCACGACGGTCCACCAGCTCCTGGCTCACGAGAATAGCGTCACTTGCCTTCAGTTCGACGATCGCTTTATCGTCACCGGCGGCAACGACGGTCGCGTGAAGCTGTGGGACTTCAGGACAGGAGAATTTATCAGAGAGCTCTCGGAGCCCGGCGAGCAAGTCTGGAAGGTCTCGTTCAGAGACGACAAGTGCGTGGTTCTCTGTCGGCGAAACGACCGGACAGCCATGGACGTCATATCATTCCGCCCAATCGAAGAACCCTCTTCTTGATTGGGTCTGCTCATAAAGCTTTCGTAAAGACATCTCGGGTCGATTTCATTCCACCACTACCACTCCTTCTGCTTGCAACCATGGCAGCTCCATCTATCAATCATCGTAGTCATCTGTCCGATAATAGAATCCCAATGTTTGTTTGTTCACCCATTCACAGCTTACATTGCTCATGAAGACGAGGTAGTACATGACGAAAGCCTAACGTACACGATCAGAGCTCCTCTGCTTGTCCCTTTGGAATTGTGACATTCTTGATCCCTCTCCGTGTGTTTCTGGGCAGAGCGACAGCGTGGTCGAAAGTAGCAATGCCCCACCCTTGGCCTCCCACCTTGGCGCCACCCAGAATAGCCAAATCCCGAGCACCTGTCTCTGCTTCCTGGTCGCTAATCCTTGGCCTGTCCGACAATCGTTCCATCCAGGCCCGCGAGGGCTGCGTTGAGGAGGCGAAATGAGCCGCTTGTGTGGCTGGTTCGAAGATGCCCACGGGCCTCGCTCGCTTTTTTCTCAAAATGTATTCTCGCCGTTTCCCTTCTTTCGCCGCCGTTCCATTCACCTCTCTTGCCACGTCCATGTCGACGTCCATTCTTGGCACTTCCTCGTCATCCTCTTCCACTCCGTCTTCGCACTCCTCTTCCGCGCCCTCTCTCTTCTCGTCAGCAAACACCTCGTCGTCTTCCTTCTGGTCGTCTTCGTCCTCGTCGATGGACTCGTAGGGCCTCGGAAAAGCTTGCAGGCGCTCCTTTCGGTTCTCTGCAAGCTCGCTGTTCATGCCCCTGACCATTCTTGCCATCTCTAGCATCCAATTCTCTTCATTGAGGTCCAGCCTTTGCAGATTGGCCCTCCTCACATTCCATCCCCTCGCACGCTCGAAGGGCGTCGCACCAGAATCTCCAAAGATTGTAATGGTCGGATTACCTTGGAGGTCGCTGTTGTTAAACGTGAATGCGTCGGGTCTCCTCCGCGATCGATCACGAGCCATCTCAGCTTCTCTCCGTCGATCGGCGGCCGTTTGCCGAGGTCCCTCAGCCTCCAAAGCGGCTTCGACCGATTCGCCCTCCTTCTTGCCTGCGGCTCTGGCTTCGGTCTCGTAGTAGTCATCGATGATCATACGACCGCCTTGCGTAGTCCAGAGATTAGAATAACGACTCTGATGGATGAGCAGGTGCTGGAAAAAACTTACGTTTGACAACCTTTGCTCCGTGCAGCTTAAAGACGTTTCTGCAACCCAGCATCGTCACGTTGCGGCTTCTCAACTGTCCGCTGAGCCTACCCTGCTCGATTAGCATAACCTTCTCCCGGTCCGTGCAGCTGATTTTAATGAGCAGCGGATTTCGCCGGAAAAAGTAGAGGGAATCCCTGAAGCCAGAAGCTCTTGCGGCGTCAATGGAAAGAGCGTAAACGACTTCTGGGTCGGCGCGATAGGGAGATTTAAACGTCGCCATCTTGTATTCTCGGCCTAGCCTCTCCTACATCAGCAGCTATTTCGGACAAGTCGACTTCCATAGAGGCGGGACAATGTCTTTCGAGAACTCACCTCCAAGCAAATTCCCCTTCTCGTCAATCTTCTTTTCGCCTTCATCGTCAGTGTCGAGGCACAGCTCTTCGTTCTTGAGCAAGTAGTCGCGGCCATTGACGAAAACGCTCTGTTCCATAGGCAAGGGAACGAGGTCATCCTCATCCTCATCGGCGACTGGCGTTGCCACCGCTGTTGCTGAACCCTCTTCGCCATCCACATCATCAATCGCCGGCCCTTCATCCTGTTCCTCGTCCCCGTCTTCATCGTCCTCGTCCTCGTCATCGTCTCTTGTTCTCTTGCTAAGCAGCGAGCTTCTTGCACCACCACGACCTCGGCCCCGGCCTCGACCCCGACCGCGTCCCCTCGCGCGTCCGCGTCCTCTGCCCCGTGCTCCTCGTCCTCGGGCAGAGCCTGTGGCACCGTTCTCACCCCCATCGTCATCGCTCCCTCTCCCACCCGTACCGGGCATGCTTCGATAGACATGAGCTTTATGGGCCGGAACCAGTGTCGTCTGGCCATTATCCATGACAAGAACAAATTTCGTCTGTGCTTTTGCGGTGCCATTGGATGCCGTTACTTCGATCTGAGGCACCACCGCGTCTCCTTCAAAACCTCCGTCCACATCGCCCTCGCCATCGCCCGTGCCACTGGCTTCTTCGTCTTCTCCTTGTCCTTTCCCTACTTCTTCTCCATCTTCCCCGTCCTCGTGCTCTCCTACCTCATCATCGACCTGCTCATGCTGCGCTTCACCTCCTCGCTGATCTTCATTCTCCTCGCCGGGGGGTGGGCTGCTGAGCGAGCTGCTCGGCGCAACGTGAAGCGGTCGAGCTACACTCCTCCTGGATGACCTCCTCGTACCGCTCCCGCCTTGTTGTTCCTCTTCGTACTGCTGCGTCGACCGCAAGGCCAAGGCAGCGGCCGCTGCTGCTGCTCTTGGCATCCTTGTTCTGTGGACGAGGTCAAGATCAAGGCCGACGCAGAAGGCGCGTCGCGAAAGGTGGTCCTCTCGGCCGATATTTAAGCACCACGGACCGGTACACAGATTGCTGGCTTTTGGTCTCCTGCTTCTCTCTCAAAGGAAGCTGGACGGTAAAGGTTAGAGGCCCGCGTCGTCCGAAAGTCCTTCTCTCTGTCCTCCCGGACCCAGGCAACGTCCCTTTGAGACAGCGCCTTTTGTATATCGTCCGCCCTGCAACGCGGACGACAACATATAAACGTATGACCGGCAACACCGGCGACACAATGAGAGGATCGCTGCTCGTTGCCGTGCTCGTGGCAGTGGTGGTACACCTGCCTCTAGCGTCAGCCTGGTACCTCCCTGGATCCGCTCCTCGGTCATACAAGCGAGCCGATGTGGTGCCTTTCAGCGTCAACGCCCTGCAGCCGATGCCTGCGTCCCGGGGCAATCCTTATTCACAACTGCCGCCACCAGCGGGAGCGGGGACAGGGTCCAATTCAGCCATCAAGTCGATTATCAACATCGACTACTACCATCCAAAGTTGCACTTTTGCCAGCCGCACGGTGGACCTCACTCCAAGGCAGAGAGCTTGGGAAGCGTTCTGTTTGGCGATCGCATCTACGATTCACCCATCCAGGCTCACCTGCTGAAGAACGAGTCGTGCGTCCATGTGTGCACAGAGGCTGTTCCTTCCGAGGACATGACCTTCATCAACGATCGAATCACGGAGCAATATGCTGTCAACTGGATGGTCGATGGTCTTCCCGTGGCTACCAAGAAGATCGCTGATCGAACCAAGGAAATCTGTGAGTGAAGCTCGTCCGGTGGGTATCGGTGGAACCAAGAGCTGACGAGGCAGCAGTCTATTCGATTGGCTTCCCTCTGGGGCAGCTTTACAACGATCACAACCTCCCCTATGACCCGCCGGCGCTCAACAACCATCACGACATCTACATCGAATATCATCAGCGAGGCCCCAACGAGTACCGTATCGTTGGTGCTACCGTGTACCCCCGCTCGATCGACAGCCTTGCCGATGGGCGAACGCAGCCAGTCTGTGACGAGGTAAAACCGTTGCAGCTCTACCCCAAGACGGTGGCAGGCCAATCTACGTCCGAGAGGCATGTTGCCTACACCATCAACACCTATTGGATTCCGAGCGACACGCCGTGGGCGACGAGGTGGGACAATTACCTGCGCGTTTTCGACCCGAGAATTCATTGGTTCGCCCTCGTCAATTCCATCATCATTGTCTCCTTTCTCATCGTCATGGTGGCCATGATTCTTATGCGGTCTGTCTCTCGCGACATCTCCCGCTACAATGCCATCGACCTGGACGAGGACGTGCAGGAAGAGTATGGCTGGAAGCTCGTCCATGCCGATGTCAACCGCTCACCCCCGCGGCCCATGCTTCTTGCTTCGATGGTGGGCACCGGCTGCCAGCTGATCGCAATGTCGCTCGTCACCCTCGTCTTTGCCCTTCTGGGCTTCCTTTCCCCGAGCAATCGGGGCAGCTTGGGCACAGTGATGATCGTCACCTGGTGTCTTTTTGGATCCATTGCCGGCTTCTTCTCGTCCCGCGTCTACATCTCGCTGGGAGGCGAATCGTGGCAACGCCTGACATTTATGACAGCTGTCCTCTTTCCCGCCGTCATCTTCTCGTCGATACTCTCCATCAATTTCTTCCTCGTCACCTCCAACGCCTCTGGTGCTGTTCCCTTCGGTACCCTCTTGGCGCTCGTTGCCCTGTGGTTCTGCATCAACATGCCCCTTGTCCTCATCGGGAGCATCGTCGGCATTCGCACTGGTGGGTGGCAAGCTCCAACAAAGGTGAATGCCATCCCGCGCCAGATTCCTCCCACAGTCTGGTATTTGCGTCCCTGGACGAGCGCAATCATGGCTGGTGTTTTACCGTTTGGGGCGGCGTTCCTTGAACTCTTCTTTGTCATGAATAGCCTCTTTGGCACAAAAGGTGAGACTGGGTCGAGATTTGTTCACCCCCTTACTGCCTCCCTCCCCCCTTCCTTTTTACCGCTTTCGATGAGGATTTCTGATCATTGCCTTGCTACAGTCTACTATGCTTTCGGATTCCTCACTCTCACTTTCATCGTCACCGCTCTGGTTCGTGGCCCATATTACAAGTCGCTTTGCTTTGGCGATCTACTGATCCCTCCTTCCGAGCAGACAACAGCGACAGTCACGGTCCTCTATACTTACTTCAGCCTTTGCGCTGAAGACTACCGGTGGCACTGGCGGGCATTTGTCACTGGAGGTGGATCGGCTTTCTGGCTCTTCCTTTACGGCCTCTTTTACTGGGCCACCAGGCTTGACCTCGACGGTTTCAGCAACCGGATCCTGTATCTGGGATATCTCAGCCTGCTGTCGGTCTTGGATTTCCTCCTCTTTGGTGAGTAATTTGCAAGGGTGCAGATCAGATACGGTTGCTGATGGCACCTTTGACAGGCACCATTGGGTGGGGCGCCAGCTACATTGCCATTCGAGCGATGTACAAGAGTGTTCGCGTGGATTGAGATTTGCATCGGGTCCCTTCAAGTCTTGTAACGCCAATACTTCTCATTTAAAAGAACATCTGCTTTCATTGGCACAGGACGACGAGGGAAAAGATAAAGACATCACAACGACATCACACACCGCTTCTCTTCCCAAGCTTTGAACAACGCACCGTGAAGGAAGATTAGAAAGAACCGGAAAAAAAAGTCAGAAGACAAACCGTCAAGCTCAAAGCTCTCCCCTCGCCTCTTGTATTTGTGTTGGGCCAGACAAGGCGAACAAGGAAAGTCTCTTACTCGACTCTTTGTTTTCGCCGGCGCGTTCGACTTTTCTTGCTCCTTCTCTTGAAGTTTAGTATCGGCGAGGGGGGACGTCGTCGTAGCGGCCCCTGGGCGGAGGAGGAATGTCGTCGTAGCGACCGCGGGGCGGGGGCGGGACATCATCGTAGCGTCCACGAGGAGGGGGAGGCACGTCGTCGTACCTCGAGCCACCACGAGGGGGAGGACTGTATCCTCGGGAAGGAGGATATCCACCCCGGCCAGGAGGGGGGTAGTCGCGAGGCGGGTAATCGCGCGGAGGAGGGCGTCCGTAGCGGTCGTACGGATCGCGAGGCGGCGGCGAGCGGGGTGGTCCGTAGCGGTCATAAGGATCGCGAGGCGGAGGGGGGCCATAGCGGTCGTAGGGGGGTGGTCCATACCTTCCTCCACCTGGGGCCTCATCTATGAGAAGAAGAGACAAATGGCATGTGAGCAATCTTGATGGGACAAGCCAAGCATCGATCGACTCACCCCTACCCTTGGGTGGACCAAAGTAGCGACCGGGCGTGGGCGTCCTAGCACGGCCGCGGCGAGCCTGTAAAATCATACATTGATGAGCAGAGGGCGCCGGGCAGAGGCGAGGATATGAGTGCTCACCTTCTGGACAGATAGAGTACGGCCCATCAACTCGACTCCCGTCATGCCGGAGATAGCGGCCTCGGCAGCATCGGCATCGGCCATGGTCACGAAGGCAAAGCCACGAGGCTCGCGCGAATGAGGATCATACATAACCTGAGCCCTAAGAACCTGGTATAGGGTGAGAGTTTGGCCCACGTGTGTCAGCGTGAGTAACGAAGAGGCGAGCTTCTCATTACCTACCCTACCAAATTTGGCAAAAGCTTCCTCCAGCTCACGGTCCGTCACTCGGTGGCCCACGCCCGAAACATGGAGATTGTTTCCGGGGTTTACGTCACCCCTGTCGTCGTGGGACCTGTGGATTGCATGTTGTCAGCGACAAGAAAGGGGGCCGCAACAAAGTGGCGAAAAGACTCACCTTCCACGAGAGTCGTCGCCGCGGACGGGTCCAGGCGAGTTGGATCGAGAGCGCTCTCGACGGGGGGGCGACGCTCCCCCACGGGGCGAAGGAGACCTGCCACCGTTCCAGCCGGCGTCTTCACGAGCCGACTCGCGGGCGGCATCGTTCCACTCTGTTGCGGGAGAGAGGGTAAATTGCAAAAGAGGGAGGTAAGAGATGGATCAAGGGAGGAAAGAAATCATCATGTCAGTGAGTGTTGGACGAGCGTCGATGATTGATGAGAAGAGAGGTCGGAGCCGAAGCAGTTGTGAGGAAGCAAATTGGCTTCCAAGGATGAGGCTGGTGCACGAGACAAGTCGGTGCGAGACGACATGCGCGGAAAGCACGAGCAAGATCCGCGCTGAAGACTAGAAGTCTGGTTGCCCAGGAAGGCACGGATGGGGAAGAGTCGACGATGAATCGGTGCGAAGCTGATCATCGCCACGTCTTGTGGATGCGGGGAGAAAGTGTGCTATCGCGAGGACGGAAGGTTGAATGACTGGAAGAATCCGAACCAGTGGCGCCCAAGAGCGCGCAAATGATAAGGGCAGTGCTAGAATCCCGCCGCATTTCTCTCTCCACAGCAGACCCGATCCCTTGACTGTAGAGACAGGCGCTCGTCGAAAGAAGAGATGGAGAAAAGGAGAAAGCGGTGCGAGGCAGCAAAGAGGCTGAGGCGAGGAACGAAGCAGAGAATGCGAAGCTAACTCGAGGATTGAAACGCACCGTCGTTGTCAGCCATGGTCGCGATGGGTGTCACAGCAACAAATTTGTCGAAGGGTTCGAGGGGAAAAAGGAGCGAGCGAAGACGGTGAAAGCGAATTTGTCGATGGTGATGGCAGCCACAGGAAGAGCAAGCAGCACGGTGGCCGCCTCGTCGCACAATCCTCGCGTGGCGTCCCATAACACGTGACTTCTAGCTCCACCTCCCTGGTACTGGTGGGTGCTGTGATAGTTGTGTCCAAAGACTTAACAATAGTACGCCCTCGACTATCATGGCATCGTTCGAAGACGACGTAGAGCCGCTAGAGGAAAGTAGATCGAGAGGATCAACCCCGCTTGGCCGGGGGGGAGCAAGCACTTCCTTGCTGGGTAAGCATGAGCGTGATGAAAGCCCGGTGCCGGATGAGGAGCTGGACACCGAAAAGGGCAACCAGAAGATGTGGCTCGTCAAGGTCCCTCGATTTCTCTTGGAGGGGTGGACCAAAGTCGAAGAAGAAGATAAGCTTCTCGGTACCGTTCGAGTGTATGAGTGAGTATAGGCGCCTGGTTGGGAAAGTACACTCGACATGGTGGGGCAGAAGAGGGCAAAGAGCACTGAACTATTCAACACTGCTTAGCAAGGACCAGGATGGGCATACGAAGCTCGAGCTCCTTCTTCCGGAGCACCCCAATCCTGCTATCCCTTTACCCCCCTCACATCCGTACCTTGCCACCAATTATCCTCGTCATTATGACCTGAGGCTCACGAGCGAACAGGAAGGCGCACGGGTCCGAAATTTGTACGCGTTTCGAGAGAGGATGGAGGGGGGCGAAGACGATGACGACGAAGACGACGATGACGACGATCTCGTGGACAGCGATGGCGATGAAGACGTCAAGGGCAAAGCAAAGGCCGATGACAGGAATAAAAAGTCAAGACGTGAGTTCATGCGTGCAAATTTGTCCTTCCTGGACCATCCTTTGTGCATGCTGATTGCGGATCCTATCTTCTTCCCAGGCGTCGTGTCCATGGTCGGCATGATCACCAACGAGGCTGCACTCAAGCCTCAGATCACCGGTCCTGGTGGCTTGGTGAGCAGGGGCGGTAAGGAACTGGGCATCTCGCCTGAATATCGAGAGGTGCTCCGGAAGCGAAAGCTGGAAGCCTCAAAGCCGCGTCACAGCGTTAAAGTCCTTGACGACGACGATGCCTCGCGCAACAACATGCTGACGAGCGGTGTGGGAGCCGGATTCATCAAAGGACCCAGAGCCTCACTCATTGTAGGTTCAGGTGTCGTGATGTGGCTCCTCTTGTGGTTCCTGACCCTTCGTTTCTCTCTTTTGCTTCCTTCCACCCGTATGTGCGTTGGTGCTTGACAGACGCAGAATCGCAAGACGGGCAACCAGGCGGAAAAATTCGCGCGCATGCCTCGAAACGAGCTCATGGATTTGCTTTTCGAGTCGTTCGAAGAGTATCCCTACTGGTCCATCAAAGGGCTTCGAGCTCGCGTCGAGCAACCCGAAGTGTACCTCCGCGATGTTCTCTCGAGCATCGCCGATCTCCACAAACGCGGTCCTTACAGTGGCAACTGGTCCCTCAAACCTGAGTATGCTGCGCTGCGCAAAGATGCTGATCGACGGGAAAATGAAAAGAGGGGAGCCGAGGAAGCCAGTCGGCAGCAGCAGATGGGTGCTCAGGATCCAGGATCGAGGAGCAACGTTGTGAGCAGCAGCGGCAGCAGCAGACAAGAGATCAAATTGGAAGAGGGAGGAGACATTGGTGGAGATGACGAAGACGACATGGACGATGTCGCTTGAGGGTGTGCGCCTACGCAAATGTTTCTTGTAGTCCACAATGTACAGTACAGTACAGTACAGTACTAAAACGCCGACACAAAATTCACTTCTTCTCATTCTATCTTCCTCGACTGTCTTCAGAGGAGAGTCTCGAGGACCTCGAGGACCTTGTCGCCAATTTCCTTTGAGCCTGCATTGCCGCCCAAGTCCTTGGTTCTCATCCCAAGGCCACCGTCCTCCTGGGCGTCGAGAACCTTGCGGACAGCAGTCTCGACGGCCTCTGCCTCGTTGGGCCGTCCGAGTGAGTAACGCAGCAGCAGGGCGGCCGACAGAATCGTTCCAATGGGGTTGGCGATTCCCTGGCCGGCAATGTCTGGCGCCGAGCCATGGATGGGCTCGTAGAGGCCCTTGCAGGCCGACTTGCCGTCGGGGAGGCCAGCCAGCGACGCCGAGGGGAGCAGGCCGAGGGAGCCGGGGATGACGGACGACTCGTCGGAGAGAATGTCTCCAAACATGTTTTCGGTGAGGACGATGCCGTTGAGCTTCTTTGGATTCGACACCATAACCATGGCGGCCGAGTCAACCAGCTGGTGGTCCACCTCGACGCCCTGGGAACTGAATTCCCTCTCTACGGTCTCGGTGACGACGCGTCGCCAGAGGCGCGAGCATGCAAGCACGTTTGCCTTGTCGATCGAGTGGAGCTTCTTTGGCGGCTTCGACTGTAGAGCCAGGTAGGCTGCCAGGCGCGTGATGCGCTCGACGTCGTGCTTGTTGTAGCGCATCATGTCGCTCGCCTCGCCCGTCGATCCAGGCGTGTCCAGGTCTGCCTCCTGACGCTCGCCAATGTAAAGACCCTTGACGAGCTCGCGGACGACGATGATGTCGGTACCTCGGGCAATGTCCTCCTTGAGGGGCGAATGCTTGACGAGCGACTGCGAAGGGAACAAGGCGGGGCGCACGTTTGCATACAGGTCAAAGTGCACGCGGAGGGCCAATAGTCCCTGCTCGGGGCGAACCTTGCCTACACCCCACTTGGGCCCCCCGACGGCACCGAGCAGCATGGCGTCAGCAGCTTCGCATGCCTTGATCGTCTCTTCGGGCAGCGGCTTGCCCGCTGCATCGATGGCTGCGCCTCCAAACAGTTGCTGTACCACAGAGCTTGACAGTGAGCGACACTTGGGCGGGCGACAGCGCGAGTGACTGCACAACGACTCACCGACTGGAGCTTGATCTTGAAGTCCTTTGCCTTTTGCGACACGAGCTCGAGGACGCGAGCGGCCTCGCCAGTTACCTCGGGGCCTGCAAAGGAGATTCAATCACGCTGAGATGCCGCAACTTTTCGTTACTCAAGCAATGGACACTGGTCGGCCGCTACTCACCGATGCCGTCGCCGGGCAGCACGACCACGTTGTATACCTTTTCGGACATATGGGCGCCTTGCGTGGAGGCTAGTGCGATGATCGATGTGTTGAGAAGCAGGAAAAAAAGAGAGAGGAGGGAAAGGGAGAAGGGGTAGGGGAACAAGCACGATTCTTGTTCTCTCCTGCGTTGGTGATTAGTGGGGAGGAGGAGGAAGAAGAAGAAGATGACGCAAATTGTAGACTGGTGTAGCCCGCGCGGAGTGGAAGAATAAAATAAAATGTCCAATACTTACCTCCCTTAGGCCCGAAAAGGGCCGATGGCGGCGTGCAGAAGAAAAGGCTTCTTCGCGCACCGTGACTTCTCTTCAACATTACCGCGGCCGCCCAGTCCTGCGCGGCTCAACCTGCCCTGGTTGTCAGATTCATGGCCCCAAACGGCACGAGCGCAGTGGGCGCACAGCCTTACACCGAGGAGCAGCTCGATTTCTGCCGCAGGCTGCCAAAGGTGGAGCGTCACGCGCATCTCAATGGTTCCGTGCGACAGTCGACGCTCCAGGAGCTGTACAAGAAGACATCGGAGGGCACCAGTACGTCGTCGGCCGCTTCGGTTGCAATCGCAAAGGGCGACACGAGGAACCTCTCGGAGATGTTTGCCGTCTTTGGTGTCGTCCATCATGTGGTACGCGGTGCTGAACTGCTGACCCGGGTCACACGCGAGGTGAGGATGGTGCCCCACTGCAAAGTTCAACGGACCGTTCGGCTCTATCCCTCATCGCCACCTTGATTGAGCTTGCCTTCGTGTGTCCAGGTTCTTGAAGACATGAGCGCAGACGGAGTCGTCTATGCCGAGCTACGAACGACGCCCCGTGAGCACCAGGATGTGGGACTGGACAAGCGAGCCTACATCGAGGCAGTCCTCCAAGGTATCGAAGAGCATCGACGGCTAGCCAAAGATGGGGTCTGCATCGCCAGGCTTATTCTCTCCATCGATCGCAAGGATCCCGTTACGGTGGCAGAAGACACCGTCAACCTGGCCATCGAATACAGTAACAGAGGAGTCGTGGGCTTGGACCTGTGCGGAGATCCAGCTCTGGGCTGGGGAAGGTGGAGGCAAGACTGGGAGCCCGCCTTCGAAAGAGGCCGCAAACAGGCCGGTCTCAAAGTCACACTCCACGCCGCCGAGATGGCTGGCATGGACGAGGAAATGGCCGACATGCTCGCCTGGGGACCCGACTCGCTGGGTCACGTCTGTTTCCTCTCTCCAGGCGAGGAGCTCCGTCTCTTTGAGTCCAGAACGCCCGTCGAACTCTGTCTCTCTTCCAATGTGCTGAGCAAGAGCGTCGAGTCCTATTCGGCCCACCACTTTGGACGTTTTCTCGAAAGAGGCCATCCGCTGGCCATCTGCACCGACGATGTCCTCGTCTTCTCCAGTCCCCTCTCAAGGGAGTATGCCCTGGCCATGTCGACCTTTGGTCTGGACGAAGCCAAGGTCACTGACCTAGCTCGAGATGCATTTGAGACGAGCTTTCTCGAAAAGGGCCGCGATTACAACGAGGTGCTCGCCAGGTTGCGCGCACCCAGCTGAGGCCATCTTGGGAGTCACAGTACACGGGGATATTGATACAAGGAACGCATGCACATATGCCTACTTTATCCGCCTGGATGCCTGGATGCTTAGATGTTTGAATGCCTGTCTGGCAAGCCTTTCATAGCATCACATTCAAATTGTAATCTACAATGTAAGAGCTTGTCATCACGCCGTGACAAAGAGCTCAGCTGTTGTTTGCAATCACCAATGTCAGCGTAAGACGACTGGAAGAAGCAATGCCAAGGGAAAGAAGCTCACGAGTCTCGCCCTGGACAAATTTGGTCACCTCCTCGACGCGGTCGCACCAGGCGTTGAGGCGCGCCTGCAAAGCCTCGATCTGCCTCTTGTCTAGCACCCTTGGCTGCACCCACGTGATCCTGGCCAGTTGTGCGTGCTGGTCCAGGGTTCCCTTAATGAGCTTGAGGCTGAGGGCCTTCATGACCAGGTGCTCGACCTCATCCCGAGGAAGCCTCGTCTCGACGGCAATCGTCTCAAACGAAAGGGTTCGGTCGGTGCTCGCTCTGCGAAATACGCTCTCGATGAGCGCCATGAGGCAAATCTTTTGTCGCAAAAAAGGTTGATTCTCGGCCAGGATGGGCTCTGACGAAAGATGAGGGATCAATGACTCGAATCGGCCCAGATCACCAGAATTGAAGGAAAAGAGGAGTGTCGAGAGCCATGCGTGAGCAGAAGCGTCGAGTGAGGCAAGAATTGGGTGCAGAAGAAGCTCGCCAAAGTTGTAGATGGTGTCGCCGAGGAGGGCCGAAATGGCCAAATCGTGGGCCCTTTGAACCCGATCGTCTTGACCCAGGTCTGTCTCGATGTTGATGCAGGCAAGGTACAAAAGCGAGCTCTTGTAGTACGACGCATACTCTGCCTTGGTCTGTTGCAGCCATGGAATATTTTAGGCCACTGACATGCACACCAGGCCGGCAGGATTACGGGAACACACCTTGTAGTAGTCTCCGCTCACGCGGTAGAAGCTGGCATGAACCTTGGTCTCGACGCTGTCGAAGCCTTCGAGAATCTTGCCACATCTGTCCATGGCTTCCTTTGTCCCGTCCAAGTCGCCCAGCAGGAGCTTGAAGTGGGCAGCTTCCATGATAGCAAAGACGAAGGCCTCTTGCGTCGTGACTGTATCAACCTTTTCGGCAACGTCATCGAGGAATCTGAGCGCTGTCGACGGATCTTGGTATTGCTTCGAGACGACGACTGCGATTCCCACGAGCCGCAGCGGGTTGATTCTCTTGGTGAAGGAGCTGATAAAGTTATGATACAGGTCGGAACGCAGGGTGCCCTTTGCGCTGGCCGGGTCGTCAAGAAAAGCCTCGACGGCAACCGTGAGCTGGTACCAGAGCTTCTTGTCGTGCAGCTCTCGGGCCTTTGAGTAGAACGGCCGCAACTCTGACGGAGCTGAGGCTGCTGCCTTCTCCAGGTAGCCTTCGTCTGCTGCGTCCACCTCCATGGCCATGTTCAATCAAGATGGAGAAAGCCCGGAAGAAGCTCGGTCGCACTGATGCGTGACCGCGCGTCCTCCAACCCTATACAGCCACGTGGAGAGTTAGTTGATGTGCCTTGCTCGCTCGAGCCATGTTTCCATTTCATCCCTCCCTAGGGAACGATCTTCCCCGACCCACCGACCCATGTCAAAGCAGGCATGGAAAGACAAGCTGAGTCTTGCCCAAGAGACGACGAATCGGGCTACAAGGCAAGAGCTGGCGCGGGACTATTCGAGTGCCTATGAAACATATGTCCGCGCAGGCGATCTCTACCTGTGGCTCGTCAAGAACCGGGAGCCGACGAGCGAGGCCACTGAACTGCGCGAGCGTCTGCGTAGGGTTCTTGGTCGGGCCGAGGCGATCAAGCTGGCAGGAAGGGCAGCCCAAATAGTGGAGCGGAGGCTACTCAGCGACGGTGGGTATCACGGCTCTCCCTAATCACGGGGCCAGCGCACTCATTATTTGCATCGGGACCGGCCATCAGAGGAGCAGACAAGGGCTTTGGAAGCCTCTTCTTCCATCGATGGCATTCCTCTTCCTCTGTGGAAAAGTACAGACGACATTTCAACTTTGGCATATCAAGGCCAGCTCTTTGTGTAGGTATCGACTCGTCGATCCTGAGCAGCATCGATAGCTCAATCCTCACCGTTCACCAGGGACTCCGTGCCACAACCTGCGCTGGCGCCTGGCCAGGTGCAACAGAAAGCAACCTTTCGTCGGAGACACTCGTGGCTGAAGCAGCGTGACAGTGTGCCTCGATGGGCTTCTTCGCCACTCTACGACTATCGGACCCCCTTGCGAGGCCATCACATCGTTCAGGACGTCGTGACGGATTGCAGCTTCGTCGCCGCCCTCGAGGTGGCATGCGAGCACGACGCAACGTGGCACACACAGGTACAGCTTGAACACGCTTGTAATCACGCAGGTCTCTTCCCTCGCTGAACCTCTGCCAATCACAGCTGGCACACGCTCCTCTTTACCCTAAAGATTCTCGCGGATTTCCTCGGTGGTCCGAGAATGGAAAGCACTGCGTCAAGCTTCTCTTCAACGGAATTCCAAGGCAGATCGTCATCGACGACAGCATACCCTGCCGACCCGACGGTAATCCAGTGTGTGCCACCGGCCTTGGCGCCGATGGCTCGTATCACATCTGGCCAGCACTGCTGGAAAAGGCCTACTTACGTCTCCGCGGCGGGTATGACTTTCAGGGCTCTAATTCTTCCATCGATCTGCATGCCCTTACTGGCTGGATTCCAGAGCACATCGGTTTCCAGCATGCTGGCTTCCAGCGCGAAAAGGCCTGGGATAGGCTCCGTTGGGCATGGACGCGAGGCTACATCATGGTCACTGCTGGCACAACGCGAAACATGGCGTCCAGAAGGGCGCCTGGACAGGCCTTTCTGGTCGACTCGCACAACTATGCAGTTCTTGCCATCGACGAGGAAGAGGGAGAGCGTTGGCTTACGCTCATGAACCCATGGAGAAGGTCGCCGTCCGAAGAAGATGCCTCGACATGGACGGGCGAGATGCGAGCCTCGCTCGAGAATTTCCAGACCAATTCGCCGTCTTATCTGGACCGCGAAATTATCCGTATAACTTGGAGCGAAGCATGCTCCAGGCTTGACTCGCTCTACCTCAATTGGAACCCTGCCATAGCAAAGCACGCCCTCACAGTACATTCCCATTGGCGGAAAGTTGATGGAAGTGACCTTGGTCAGAATCCTGAGCAAGCGCCAATAACGACGACGACGAAGCCGACAACCATGACAACGACGGCAATTGTAGGACCGAGCCAGCATTCGTCTTTCAGGCTCGCCATAAATGTGGACGAGTCAGATGTTTCCGGCGCCGAGAAAACTGACGTGTGGCTCCACCTTGTTCGGCATACAACTCAATCCAGGGAAGACGAGGTTCAGTGGATTGCCATTCACGTCTTTGAGAGCGAGGCTGTGAAACATAGATTGCTGGCTCATGGCAGCGACTATCGCATGGTGAGATTTGCCATGCTGCACTCCCGCTCCCTGATAATTTTGTGCAGCCATTGATGCCATCCGTTCTCCTCCCTCCTTCTACCTCCTTAGGGCACCTACGTCGACAGCACCCACAACATCGTTCGCTTCTCTACCAGTGCCCACCGACGGTCCGTCTACACCGTTATAGTGTCGAGGAATGGGTGCAACAACGACGCTACCTTTTCTCTATCTGCCTTTTCCGCCGCCAAGATCGAGCTTCACGATATCCCGAGGTCGTTCTCCTTCTCTCAGCTTGTGCAATCGGGCTGGTCAGGAAAGAGCGCAGGTGGTAATGCTGCCAGCTGGGCATTCATCCATAATCCGCAGTTCCGTCTGACGGTACCCCAAGCGACGAGCCTCGCCGCCATGGTCGAGACGTCAAAAGACCTCCCCGTCCAAGTACTCATTGTGTGGTCTCGACGGGGCAAACGCATCTCTCACGTCTCGGAAGGCGACATAGTTGCTTCTAGCGGCCTCTACAATTATGGCTTCGCCTTCGCGGAAGCCAAGAAGATTCAGGCGGGCGTTTATTCCGTTATCGTGTCCACATTCGAAGAGGGGCTGTCAGGCCTCTTTGCTCTCAAGGTCGAAAGTGAAGGCGAGATTGTGCTCGAGGCCATCGCTGCCGAAGGCGCTGGAATGTTTCATAAGACGCTAAGAGGTCGTTGGGAAAAAGATGTGAGCGCCATGGGAGGGCCGTCCCACGGCCGCTACCATTGCAATCCCCGCTTCATCGTCGACGTAGACAAAGCCTGCCGACTCGTTGTCAGGCTCAGACCCGAAGTGAAAAAGGGAATAGCTACGCCCTATCTCAACATCGCTCTTTTTCGGGTCAATAAGACCCCTCGCTCTGCGTCCTCCATCTCTCCGGCTGCGTCACCACCCGACATAGGCGCTGAAGTGGCCAATTCGGGCTCATACGCCGACTTGTTATCTGGTGTGGCCATAGAAGATGCGAGGTTAGAACCAGGGACCTACTCTCTCATTGCTAGCACCTTCACACCTGGTGTCGAGTGTCCATTTGTCATTGATCTGTACTCTAGTCTCCCGACGACCTGTAGAAGAGCCCATTGATGGTGAGATGAATGTAAGGTCACGTGTATTTTCCTGGCGTGTTTGGCTGGAGGGAGAGAAAAATCTGAAAGAGGAGGGAAAGGAAAGAAGTGCCCCCCAACGTTAACAGCAGCAGCAACCAACCGAAGATGTCGCTGCGAGGCCCTGGCACCATGATCACAAGGTCGCTCCGGGCAGGGCAGACCTCACTCACGGCTTCAGCTTCGGCCTCGGCTTCGTCTTCGTCAAGTATCTCTGCGCCATCTCCTTCACATGCTTCGACCACGCGGTTATTCACAACGAGTCTCGTCTCTCTGGGAAAGAGCCGGCCGGGAGAAGGGAAGGACGCCATCAAGAAGGCACGAAGACTGGCAAGACTGGGCTCGGCGGCCAATACGGTCTCGATTAAGGAGAAAAAGAAGCAAGAGGCGACGCTCGAGCTCGAGGAAGCCGCCAAGCTCTTCAGAGTGAGTGTCATTCCGATCGATCCCTTTGTAGAACGGACAAAAGGAGAAGGCGAAACTGAGTATGATGTCACAAAAGGCCGTCGAGGTGGCCAGAACTCAAAGTGCCTACGAGCTTCACGTTGTCACTTCGGTCTCATCGCACCAGGCCAATGCTCTACGAGGCCGTCTGTCGCTGCCCAAGGATGCCCGAACAAAGTCGGAGCGCATCCTCATCTTTGCCGAAGACGGTTCCGAGGCTTCGGATGCAGCCAAGCGTGTGGCTGCAAAGGAGGGAGCCACCATTGTCGTCGGAGGTTCAGAAATGATTCAGAACGTCGTGGATGGCCGAGGGGCGGCAAGTGGCGACTTTACAAAAGTGCTGGCAACGCCGGGATTGCTGCCTCTAATTAGCCGGTCGCTGGCCAGGAGTCTAGGACCTCGAGGATTGATGCCGAGCGCAAAGCGTGGAACCGTCGCTCAGGGTTCGCGGGAGATGGAAGAGGCCATCATGCAAGCAAAGGGTGCCATGGACTGGCGAGGGGATCGCAATGGTGTTGTTCGAGGAGGTGAGTTTGTCCGCTGCGGTATCGGATGTGAAAAAGAGAGAGAAGTTCCCATGCTATACCACCGCTAAGCACAATCTCAACACAGCCGTTGGGAGGATCAATTTCACCACGCCCGAGCTTCGAACGAATATCTCAGCCTTTCTTGAGGCAGTCGTCGATCGAGTCTCGGGTGGCTTATCCTCGAGCAACCAGCAGCCCACTGTGGCTAGTGCTTCCGGAAAAGGCGTCGATAGGAGCCCGGGCGCTTTGAAGCGAGCATCGTCCGTCATCAAGCAGATTCATCTCTCTTCGACCCAAGGGCCTTCCGTTCTCTTGACTCTTTCCGAGGTGTATTAAAAGAACAGATTCTCATAATCGATTTCCCATTTACCCTTGACCAAGGTCGACGGTGATCGGCTTGCCAAAAATGTCAGACAGCTCGTTCTCTAGAAGGTCTCGCATCGTTGACAGCTCGCCCTCTTTTATCATGAACCAGGTGTCCTTTTGTCGGTCGTAGTCGAACCTCTTGGGGCCGCTGGGGGGTTTGTTAATTAGTAAGAGCAGTCTTTTCACATCGACTTGAGTATACATTTAGTCTTGGAAGTACTGCAAGACCTACCTTCGAGGACTCGAGAGCCAGATTTGCTTGTTGGGTGGCTGTTTATTTATGACGTATGTGCCGTTGCTCCCCAGTCGGAGGTTGAGGACGCCAGACTGGAGTGCGTAAGTTGATCAGGTGAGCAGACTGTCAAGCTCAAGAGATCAGAGAAATGGTCTTCCTCTCACAGAGTACTCAGCCTCGAACTCTTCTGCGTCGGGCCCGACGTACTCCTCGGTGAGCACCTCGAGGCAGTCGGTCAGCGAATCCAGGCATCGATCCGAAAGCTTGTGGTATTCATCGGATGAGATGTCTCTGCCAGTCACGCCATTGTATGTTAGCCTTACGGCGCGGCGAACTTTTCAAAAGGTTGTAAATCCCATCTCACGAAGCTCTGTATGGTGCCGTCCTGGATGAGTATGGGTGGGCTGCAGTCTCCGAGGCGGGGCAAAATCTTGATCTTGTGACAAGGGGTGTGAGCCGAGACGAGCAAGAGGCTGTGGGCAGTGCCCTTGCAGTGGCCACGATAGATGAAGAAGGAATCTTGGCGCCCCTTACACTTCTGGAAAGGGGCTGGAGCATTCTTCTTGCGGAACCCATGGTGCTGCCCCAGAGTCCAGAAGCGTGAAGATGCCTAAATATGAGAGGCAATGGGATGGTGGGATCGCGCGCATCACGTGCGCTTTAATGAAATTTAGACGCCCAAGTCGCCCCCCCCCCCCCACTTTGGGCCCCCGTCTATCTCACCAATTTGAACAAGCATGACGGACAAGGAGAAGGTCGCGGGTAGGTCATCGATGTCTTCTGTTGCTATACCCATGTTGTTGACACCCGGCCTCTTGAACCGTAGCCGAGTCGCTCGTCGATTTTTCCAGGCTACCTTCGAGCGCCCTAGACACTTACATTTCCTTCTACGATCTCGCAAAGGCGTTCCCACCCCCCATTTCGAGATCCGGTGCATATCCCCATGATGGCGACGATGAGCCCGAGGATCAAGAATTCCACGACACCGATGGATTGACAAAAGATACTGGTGAAGCGGAAGAGGGTGGACAAGAAGGTGGTTCCGAAGAAGGGCAAGGGAGGAGGACAATGAATTCAAACGGGCTTCCTGCCCCTCTGACTGGCTCGCGACTGCGACCTCGCTCGCCACCGGGGGGGGCAGGTGGGGGTGGTAGTGGCAACGGCGCGACGAATGGCTCAGTTGGGAAACGGAATGCTACGATCACTGGACTTGACGAGGAGGCTCGCCAGCAGCAACACTTTCAAGCAAGAGCCGAGGAGGATGACCCTCCTTGCCCATCCCACTTCTACGACGCAGAGGCGGCGACGAGCTATCTGGGCGCCGTGGCAGGGAAACACTTTGCCAACCAGCCACCTCCGAAAGAAGGTGAAGTTGTTGTTCAATTTCTGTACCGATGCCGCGCAGGAGGTGAGCTACTCATGACCGCTCTGCTGCATGGCCACCTGCTAATGGTGCCTTCGTCTTGGCTGCAGACAAGATACTGAAGGTATTCTCGGGCTAAATTTGTCCTTGCCGAAGTCAATCTATGATACCTTGCGCTGTCTTTTTCCTATACCTCGTCAAATAAAGATGCAATCTATGTGATTGGTGTATGTTGAAGAAGAAGTACGGATGCAAGTACGATCAAAACAACTAACCAATACAAGCAGGCGAAGATGAGAAAGAGGCCAGCGAGAGAGAGAGAGAGAGAGTGAGTGAGTGAGTGAGAGCGAGCCACTTTCACAAGCTCGTAGATGATTCGTAGAAAAGGATGGTTGAGAAATCTACGAATCATCTATGAGCTTGTCAGAAACGCCTGCACCGTTGATGGCAGTTAAAGAGGAAGCAGAAGAAGATGTTGATGCTGACGATGATGGCACGAGCAAAGGGGATGTCTTCGAGCTTCCACCTTGGGCGCTGGATGTCGCTGCGATTGCATCTTGTTCCTCTGGGTATCGAGGTCGCGTTGACTCGATATCCTCTAGGATGTCTAGGAAGCACCACTCTACTGCATCTGCTGCCCAGAAGTGGTCGCAATGCTCGGCTTCTTCTTGTCTCTTTTCACGGATGAGCCTGACGTCGGTCTCGCGTGTCTTGATCCTCTCAATCAGGGGGTCTGTCAGCACCAGAAAGTCCATGCCGCCCGAGTAGATGGCTAGAGGAGGAAAGCGTTTGTCCCACCACTTGTCTGCGGCAGGATCCATGGTGCAGCCTCGCGAGGCAAAGCCGTCTTTGCCCGCCCACCAGTAGATAGAGGCTGACGAGACAGGCTGAGGTGTGAAGCGAAACATCTTTGCCTTGCGTCGGAGCAGCCAGTTGGCATCCGTCCAGGCGAAGAGAAACGCAAACATCTGATAGCCCAAGAGAGCGTACGGATAAGCGGGCGTCCAGTCGTAGGAGGTCTTCATGAGTGGGATGAAGTCGAGGACGCCAAAGAAGCGCTTCCACGTCGGCCAATCCATCGTTCTGAGCGAGGTGAAAGGAAAGCAGCTCGTCAGTGGACCAGCAAAGACGGCGGGGGCGAGAGCGCCGAAGTAGCTCAATTTTTCGCCCAGTTCGGGCACCATGTCCCTACTGAGAGAGATAAACGCTGTGCCGTTTCCTTGTGAGTGACCAATGAAGGCAATCTTGTCATATCCCGTCTGCTTGCAGACATGGTCCACCAGCGCTGGAAGATCGTAGATGGCCAGCTCTCGGATGTTGTAGTCCCAGAAGCGAGGATCAGATCGTTTGTACTTGCGATGACCCATGTCAAAGACTCCGCGATTATTACCCAGAAAGACCTGGTATCCTCCTTGGCGAGCGAGCCAAAATGCAAGTGACCGATCTTCTGACGTGACGAAGGACCCCGACGACTGAAAGAGACCGTGCATGATCAAGACGGGGTAGCCACCTTTGCAGACAAGAACATATCAGCATAAGCAAGCCGAACGCATACACGCACAAACTCACCTCTGCCATCGCTACGCCGTTCGTGTTGCCTTTCCGGGCAGATGATCCGATTGATCCTCAGAAAGTAGCCGTCAGCCGTCTCACACGTCTCGTTGACGATATCGAAGCCACAGCTCCTAGCATAGTATCGAACGTCTTTGACCAGCTTCTCTTTCTTCCACCGCCCCGGATCGTCCCACTCGCTCTTCTCCTCGATCGAGGGGCTAAGGAGCTTCGGCACAGCCGCCAGTAGTCGCACCGATAGGGCCCAGATGACAACAAGGATGAGAAAAACGGACGAGAGACAATTTGCAAGGAGCTGAGCCAAGGTCAATCGGAGCGTCGAGTAGAGCGTGGGGTTTCCATATGGAGGTGCGCCACCCCGATGGGCGAAGAGGGAGCTGATCGATTGCGGACTTGCATTACCTGCCAGGAAGAGAGAGAGAGGGATCATAAATCTTTGGAAGTGTAACAAGAGACATGGCGCGAGAGAGAGCGTACCTTCAAAACCCGTCGGCACATGCGTGTAAAGGCTGCGACCGCTGATTGCCTCTAGAGACGGCTTGTCGATCCGCACCCTCATGCTTGCTGCCGATGTCGGACGACTTATCGAATCGCCAAACGACGTCGAGAGGCGACCTTTGCTCGAGGGATTGAGGGTGTCTGGGATGGCAGTCACTTCGGCAGTGTCATGGTCGACAAGCTTGCCATCTTGGCGCACAGTCGTCGACACTTGGGGTGGTGGCGACGACACCGTGTATGGCGAGTCGCCAGCCGTCATCGCTCACCGTCGCCCCCTGTGAAGCTAGGCAAGACGAGGGAGAAGCCAGATGAGACGGAAGCGAACGGGCGATCTCTGACCGATGATGATGGGCAATGGTAGTGGTGGGTGAGGGGGAGTCGCACGTAAGAATCGAAGCTGGCCTGCCTGCTGGTCAACAAGCTAGGCAAAATACACACACTACCGGTACTCTTAGTGAAGTACTACTCTAGCGCGCCTGAAAGTCTGAGCGAGAGGAGAGGCACGTGCACGTGGTCGTTGTCGTCCGACTGGACAGCGACTATTGACTGTTGAGAGCCCGCTCAACTACTACAATCCTTTGCGGTGGATAAAGTTGGGCACGATGCAAGCGAGCACCTGTAGAGAGTCTTTTGCGAGCTTCTCGCCCTGATCGGCAATCTCGAGTGTTTGAAGAGGAGCCATCTGAGGGGTGGCCGCCTCGGCCGCACCAGCGTCACTTTGGCTACTTGTTGGTCTTGCCGCTCCACGAGAGAAGGCAGACGGGGCCGTGGACCTTTGCCTTTTCCTCTGTATCCCTTGTCGTCTACATATCACATCGACAATGGAGCCACCAGTCACCTCGCATTCAGCGCTCGTATCCTCGCTCCTGATACTGAGCTCGAGCTGCTGAAGGTTCGGATAGGGATATATCGCCGAACCGTGAACCTTCCCTCCTAGAAGAGAGACCAAAAGCCTGGTAGCGGGAAAGAGTTGGAGCTTTTGCACGGCGCTGCACGTCGATAGTACCGGCCTGAGCGTCTCGATTTTAGCGTCTGAGAAATCTGTCAAGGTGACATTGTGCAGTGTACTGGCCGCTGACTGCATCAAGACGCTGTCAACGCCACCGCCTCTGCTCTTGTACGTCGTCAATGCAGGTGCCCGGAGCTCGCTGCCTGCTGCATGGGCGACCGAGTTGTTGAACACGCCTCGCATACTGAGCGTTTCAAGGAGCCGCAGCTCAAGCGAGAGACCTCTCGGCACATCGCCCGAGGCAGGCAAGTCAATGTCCAAGAATCGGAGCTGACTGCAGGCCATTGACATCAGTGTCCAGATCCACGACCTTATGTGCAGAGGCCCGTCGTCGTCGTCGTCGTCGTCGGCTACGTCCCCGTCGGCGAAATGATTGGTTCGTGCGGCTCTCCGGGTCCACTGAAGCTTTTGGACCCGACAGAGGCTAGAAAGAAGCCGATCGTCAAAAAGTGTGTCGTTAGGCAGAGGACTGACCACGAAGACGTCAAAGACGTTTTTAGTGAATGAGCCATTACAGAACGAATAGCTGTCAAAGTCGGTCGCGTAGAGGCAGATTTTCCCCTGCACGTCGAGGTGGATGAGGTTCGCGCACGTTTGAGCAAATTGCAAGGCGGACAGATACAAGCCTGGGTCGTTGCAGCAGCCAACCTCGAGCCTGGAGATCGTCGAGGACGAGGGACCAAGACACGGCGCTAGATTCGACCAACGCAGGCCTTGGGCGTACTGAATCTGGACCCATGAAAGCGAGTCGCAGGATTTCTTTGCGAGCGTGGCTGCCCTCTGATACGTCTTGCGGTTTGCCAAGGGACTCGTCTGCAAGTCTTCGGTGCGAAAGACACGCCAGAGGCTGCGATTCATGTTGATGACGCGATGCCAGCGAGAGCACACGGTCTGCAGCCGTGCCAGGGTCGTCGAGTCGATCTCTGTGAGAATCATGGCAAGAACTTCATCGGGGATTCGACTGATCTGATCGGCCATCCAGGCTGCGAACAATTGGTTGATTCGCGCGATGTCGGTCCTTGCCACTGCGTGATCACGGGCCTTGCGCAGCGCGTCGAGGGCCTGTGTTCGGTGGCCTGCCTGTCGAAGAGACTTTGCGGCCTGCACGAGACACTAGCAAGTTGCAGGACACGGGCCTAAGTGAGCGAGATTGGCCCCTCGCGGATCGCTCACAGAATTCACCTTGGGATCGGTAGGACGCAATTTGACTGCTGCTCTGGCGTCGCAAAGGCTAGGTCGGATCTCTCCCAGCCGCAAGTGAGCTAGAGAGCGAGCGTGGAGAAGGAGTGCTCTGTTGGCATTGTCGCCACTTCCCAGACCCTATTTCGGGATGAACAGTCTAGAATCGTGAGCCAGCAGCATGTTGTTGTTCAGGTGGGGAAACACTTTGTTTCTCACCTCGGTGCACACTCTGACCGCTTGGGCGTACTCGCCCTTCATCATCGCGGTCCTGGCTGAAGAGATCCAATACTTGTCTTCACCTGCATCTTTCTCTCGAGCCTCTTGTAGAGCGATCTCGCGACGGCGGCTCCTGCCTTTGCCGTCGCCAAGGTTCATCTTGATGGCAGAAATATGCTAGTTCGGTGCGCGCGACGCGAACCTGCAGCTGCTTCTTCTCAACTTGCTTTTTCTTTTCTGGTCTTTTTCTCCACTTTTCTTGTGCGCATCAGAGACGCAGTCAGTCCCATTCACTACTAACGAGACATAGGAAGACCACATTTTACAACGATGAAGGTCCTCTCAAGACACGTCGAGCGAGACGGCTCAGGAAGCGTCACTGTCAATCCAGAGGAGGAGTGAGTCGCAGCACAGCTCAAAGCGCGTGTGTCAAAGCTTGGCTTGCAAGCAGCTGACTTCTCTGCAAGTGCAGCGAGGACATGTACCATCTCTATAATCTCATCGAGGTCGGAGATCTCGTCAGGGGCCCTACTGTGCGCAGAGTTCAGTCAGAATCCTCTACTGGCTCCATCGAGTCACAGCGTGTCCGTGTCACGCTCACCATCCAAGTCGCAAAGTCGTCCTTTGACGCCACGGGGTCCTCGGCCCCTCTGGATCCGGCTGCGGAAGGCAGCTCGGCAGGCGCTGTCAGTGGTGCGATTACCGACGTCTCCTCATCCTCGAGTACCGCGGGAGCGTTGGGAGGAGGCAGCGGTGGCGATGGAGCTACGCTGCACGTGTCCGGCAGAGTAGTCTCGGAGAACAGGCATGTCAAGATGGGCGCCTTCCACACTCTTGATCTCGAAGTCAATCGTCAGTTGACGATCATAAAGGACTCATGGGACTCTATCCATTTCGAGCGTCTGAACGAATCCAGCGATGTCGGACAGAGAGCAGAGGTCGGCGCTGTGGTACTGGGCGATGGTGAGTTCAACTTTCGTTGCCCAGAAGAAGTCGATTACGTGGCGAGAAAGAGAGAGGGGGGGGGGGCTGGGGAGAGTAGAGGGGAGAGAAGCAAAGAGAGAAGCAAGGGGAAAAACAAAGAGGGAGAGGGAGAGAGGAAAAAAAGAGAGCGACTGTTGACAGTGCTCAATGATGGCAGGTACGGCAACCGTGTGCCTCTTGACAGAGCACATGACCGTTGTTCGACAACGTATCGACGTACCTCTGCCGCGCAAACACAAATCCCTACCCTCATCGTCGGCCGACAAGTCCCAGGCTCGGTTCTTGTCCCTCGTGTATCAAGCCGTGCTCAAGCTCTTGCAGCTGCCTGCGTTGCGGCTCGTCATCCTCGCCAGCCCCGGCTTCACAAGGGATACCGTGTTTGACTACCTGTTTGCCGAAGCCACCAGGCGGGGCGAAAAGGCTCTCATGGGCAATGATGCCAAGCGAAAATTTCTCAGAATTCATTGCAACAGTCCTCACATTCACAGCCTCATTGAGGTTTTACGAAGCGCAGAGGTGCGTATGGCAGCCTTGTCGGTCTTCTCCTTGCTAATCCCACATCACCTGTCCACCCAGGTCAGCGCCCAACTAAAGGACACAAAGTTTGCAAAAGAGGGCCAGCTTCTCGACCGTTTCCAGAGGATGCTCGCCTCCGACGAGCTCCGTGCATGGTACGGAGAGCAGCATGTCATGCTGGCCGCTCAGCGAGGTGCCATTGGCTCCCTTCTCATTTCAGATGGCCTCTTCCGCGCCGCCGACCCGGTCCGACGCAGGAAGTTCGTTCAGCTCGTAGAGGACGTGAGGAGCGCGGGAGGCGAGGCTCTCATCTTCAGCGGCATGCACGAAAGCGGACGGCAGCTCAACGGCCTTACGGGCATCGCAGCCATCCTGCGCTTTCCCCTCGATGTAGAAGTCGCGGAAGAAGAAGAGCGGGAAGAACAAGCAGCTCAGTCGGGTCATGATGATCTCCTCGGTTCCAATCGCAATCATGCCTGACGCATAGATACCCGGTAACGCCCCCCCCCCCCCTCCCTTTCCTCCTCTCCCCTATTGCAATGCAAGTCTCAAAAAGTAGTCCACAAGCTATGCATGCATTTATGCCTTGTCCTTTCAAGCCATCTTTGCTGCCTTGATACACGTCCCCTCACTCATCGTCGTATCCCGAGACCTCTTCGCGAGCCCTGTTGGGAACTGGACAGACTTCCATAAGCTTCGTCGAGAGGTTAGGAACGAAGCATATGGCAGCAAGGAACCTACTTGGGTACGAAGTGGGGATCCTCTCTGCCGGTTTCCAACCATATTGCCTCCTGATCGGCGGCACTGTGACGACAGCAATGGGACCTGATAAATCAGTGCAGACGTTAGAGCGGGAGTTGGTTGGTAGGATGCAGGCTAAGCCTGCTGCAGTGGTGCGAGCACAGATTCTCACCAACGACGCCGATGAGGAGAGAGTAGAAGATGACGGGCTGTTCGTGGGCGGTTCGTTGCTGTCTCGAGGAAGGTGGGTGAGCTGCAGCCGTCCGAATCGACATGTGCATAGCTAAGGACTCACAAGATACCGGTACGTGGCCCGAAAAGGGTTCATAGAGACCGACGACATGGCTTGTGTTGGAAGAGCTGGAACGGAGACGAGCGATTCTTTCTCGCCCTTGAGGGGTCACGTGATGTCACGTTATCGTCCGCGTTGCACGACGGACGAGATACAGGCGTCGTCTTTAGGTGACGTTACCGGGTCCTGATGGACAAAGAGAAGGAGCTTTTGAACGGAGCGGGCCTTATGCATACATCCAGCTCCCTGAGAAGAGAGTAGCAGGACAACAAGGCCGCGCGGAGCGGGCAGTGGATGCCGTGGCCGCGCTACTCTTTCCCACTTTTTTTGGCGTATCAATTCTAGCACATGAGTCCGAGCCACCCACGGGGAAAAGTGGGCTTATCTTGTGTCTTGTCCACCGGAAATCGAGGGCAGGCACTAGCCATCCATCACCCCTCGGCTCATCACTGAGTGAAGTTCTGTCAAGCCCACGCGGAACACAGCAATGCACTTCGCTCTCGGCCGTAAAAAAGGAAAAGGGACTGGCAACACTTCCAATTTTTGGCGTGGACATTATTTGCTTTGGCTATTCGTGGACGATGAACCCGTTCGCACACCTCGTCCACGATGAGGCAACCGGGGCATGCATAAGCGAAGCGGATGAAGATGATGGCGAGCAACTCGTGCCGGACCAGCGGCCCAGTATTATTGACCAGCGTGCAATCGTGAGGTATTTTAAAGATGGCAGAAAGAAGCCCGCCATCTTCCAGCAGGACCACCCAACGAGTCTGGCGCTGGATTCGATTTTCGCTCCAGTCGGAGATGGGGACCGGGCTTGCTACGATGTGACGTTGGCACTGGACGTCAGCAAAGGTTGCGGAGGCAAGATTTGGCCCGCTGCCGAAGTTCTCGGCGAATACATTGCCTCACAAAGGAGCCAGGGGCAGTGGACCGGCAAGACGATGGTAGAGCTTGGAGCAGGCACAGGCCTAGTCGGCCTGCTAGCTGCTGCCATTGGCCAGCTGAAGGCGAGCTGGATCACCGATCAAGAGTGAGTGACGTCGGACTTGGCCGTCCGTTCTTGCGCATCTAATTCGGGACCATTTCTTTCTCCTAGAGCGATGATGGATCTCATGGTCAAAAATCTTAATCTCAACGGGGAACTCAGGCAAAGATGCTTCGTGGGCGAGCTTTCCTGGTAAGTGGGAACATGAGATTATTCTCGAGCTGTCAAACAGTGTAGAACTCATCGAGAGGCTCGTATCTCCGCAGGGGCCAGCCCGTTCCCGAGAGTATCCCAAGCAATCCTGATGTGCTGTTGCTAGCTGGTAAGGCCTTTTCTCCAGAAGCTGTTCGAGAGCACCGTCGTAACTCACAAATTCGGCAGATTGCGTGTACCTCGAGGTGGCTTTTCAGCCGCTGATCGAAACAATGCTCGAGATGTCGACACCAAGCACGGAGATCCTTGTGAGCGGCTGCCCAACTTCATCCGCGGGCATTGGCCTTGGAACTGACCCTCGAGCTGACTTGTCTTCAGTTCTGCTACCAGCAACGGCGAAAGGTGAACTCACGCCTCGTATATTTTCGCTTACATTGCTCACGCTCTCTGTCTGCGCTCTTAGGCCGACAAGCGCTTCTTCAAATTGCTGCAGAAGCATTTCATCTTCAAAGACGTCGAGGACGACGACGAGGCCAGAAGGAGCATCTACAATCGAGAGGGAACAAGGCTCTTCATTGTACACAAAAAGACGTGACCAAAGGAAGGATAATGCCCAAAATCTTACACGGATCTTGCTGCACTCGTGGACGATGAGGAGCCGAAATGTGACGTGGACAGTCTGATAACAGAGAATCGGAAAGTATCAATATTGTCCAGGGCATCACAACCTGGCAAGACGAGGTCTTTCCCTTATCGTGGGACTTTGCCCGGTCCAATCAACTTGCATTTGAACATGTGGTCATTCCTCTGACCACAGTGGCAGGAATTGTAGTTTCCCCTTTCAACGTCTGTGCACCAGTCCCGTCCTCTACAAGTTAGGTCGTCACCTACTTGCAGCACGCCGTAACTCGGGGCCCTCTCCTTGGCGTGCACACTCTCGAGGTCAACTTGCCAAACGCATGTAGACACGAAATCCCTCGCCTGAAGATCGCTACAGATGGAGGTCGAGAAGTTGTCGGGCATCTATATCCGGCTTAACGGACATGACGTCTTCAGGCAAGACCTCCGGTGGGCTCGAGGGACACGGTCGCTCTCTCGGATGGCCGCCTCTTTCGACTTGTCATTACGCCCATCAATGACGGGACAGAAAACGCGTGAAACTGCCTTTTGTAATTGATGATTTTATTCCAATCCTCCTCCATCACCCATCCGCCCATAGATGGCTGCCGGCGACCAGGCAGAGGCCAGGAAGCTGGTAGAATTCGCCGCAAAAGCCGGCGAGACGTTCGTCAGCGCATACTATGCTGCGTCGGACTCCCCTCAGCGAGTACAGGTGCGTGCGTGCGTGCGTGCGTGTGCCTGCAAGCTTCTCAGGAACGCTTATCCTTTTCCGCGCTCCTCAGCTCATACCTACGCTGTACCTCGCCACGTCTTCTGTCGTTTGGAACGGAAACCCTGTCAGCGGCGCCAGCGACCTAGCACATCTTCTCAACACCATGCCAGGGTCGAAGCACGAGCTGCACGGATTTGACTGTCACCCTCTGGGAGGCGGGACTATCGAAGGTGCGCCTGGGCCTTGTGTCTTCCTTTCCGTCTTTGCCTTGGCGGCCCCCATCGCTCGACCGCTCAGCCATGCACACATGTCCATACAATGGTCAGTGGCGCACTCTTATCCTCTGGCAGCGCTGTGCGAGGCGAACATCAAAGGGTGCATGCCCTCTCAACGACTTGGGCCAGCTCATCTCCTGGTCTTGGTCGCAGAGGTGCGCCCCTTGGTCATTGGGGGCCAAGATCAAACATGTAGAAAGAGAGAAACCCTAACTTGTTTTCTCGCTGCTACGCTCCATATAAGGGTTCTGGGCGGGAAAGATCAAAGCTGCCTTAAGAGTAGTATCGGAGCAGACAAAGTTAATCGCTTGCATTGACTCTACAGGCACTTTTCAGGCGCCGTCGCTCCTAATAACGGCCACTGGCGTTGTCGCACACCACACGCCCTCATCCCTTTCTGCCATGCCGCCGTCAAACGCGCCTGCATCCTCCACCTCTTCTTCGAGACGAGGCGTGCCAGCCGAAGGTTCGGACCCTAGCGTGCCCATCGACAGTCTTCCGCGAGCCTTTTCCCAGAATTTTGTCCTTGTCAACAACCCTCAAGGCGAAGGAGGGGTCAACTGCTCGGCCGGAGACGAAAAGCCAATTGTTGGCAAATACTTCATCCAGGCTGACACACTCAGGTTCGTTGGCTAGATGGTCACCCCCTTGTATCATCAACCCATCCTCTTGTACAGTAATGACAGGTAACAGTACCAACACTAGTAGTAGTACTCGATCATCTGCCATCATTTTATTCCATCAAGGCACACAACCATAGATGATCACTCTGAACACATATTGAACTACTTCGAACGCCTCCACCCCAGACACTGCTGCAGAATCGCACGATGGGAGACGGTACTCGTCGCGGCAGCCCGGAGTCGGGTTGTACAAAAATCGGGATACAGAGCCCTCCCCAACTTTGGGATCTGAGATGAACAATTCCAAAAGTAGAGACGCAAGTCCCTATACCCCTTCTATCAATAAATTAATAAAATAAAATTTTAGTTTGAAAGAATTAATAGAAAATCCGAGCAACGGTGGAGAACGGGATGATGGGCACTTCTTCTTTCTCTTATCTGCCAAGAAGAGTACCCAAACGGTGAGTACTCGCACCCCACCGAGGCGCCCGCCACAGGCCCCAATAACTGAAAGAAGATCAACTTGCTCAACCATCCGGCCATTCGCTCACCAGAGGTTATTAGTTAAGGGATCCGTTCGCCGGGAGACAGCGGCACCACAGTTAAGTTGACCTCTTTCGACTCCGACGCTCATCGAGAGGAGGCCCGTTCGCCAAACCACCAACGGCACACGACATCCTCGGCCAGGTCGGCCCAATCTGACTCCGAACTTGAGGGCGTCTGCTCCGTGAATTCAAGTCTCGCTTCTGCGTATGTCCCTTTGCTCAGTACCCCGTCATCTCGTCGCTCCTCGCCCCAATTTTCCTGTGGTCTCCCTTTCATTTCGAAAACCTTCTAGAATAAGCCACACTCCTGCACCTAGACCAACACCTGTATCAACACCGACTTATCGAGCATTCTCAACGGCAATGGTCCTCGCCAAGGTGACGCCACAGCAGCTCCTCGACAGGAACCGCAGCTGGAACGAGGAGGTTGAACGCAACGACTCAAGCTTGCTCAAGGAAAATGCTGCTGGACAAACGCCCTCCATCCTCTGGATTGGCTGCTCCGACTCGAGGGTGCCCGAGAGTGTCGTCGCCAACTGCAAGCCGGGCGATGTCTTCACCCATCGCAACATCGCCAACCAATTCAACCTGAACGACGACAGCGCCATGAGCGTCCTCACCTATGGCGTCGAGGCTCTCGGCGTCGAGCACGGTGAGCCAGTGCCGAACATCTTGGATTCCATGAATGAGCACTCATCTCTTCCCACCTTCCTGCAGTCATCATTGTCGGACACACGTCCTGTGGCGGCGTTTTGGCTTCGCTCACCACCGCTCAGAGCGCAACGCCTCCGCCCAGCGCCCCCCTCTCCCGCTTTCTAACGCCTCTCGTCGAGCTCAGCACCGCCGTGCGTGCATCGATGGGCCTCAAGGAGGGTCAGGCGCCCAAGACGGACGACGAACAGAAGCAGCTCCTTGCGGCTGCCACCGAGGCTAATGTCAAGCGACAGGTGGAAAACGTCGTCAAGACAGATGTCATTCAGGCCAACTGGAAAGGTGAAAAGAGCGCTTTCCCGGGTGAGGCCTCCGTCCGTGTCAAAGTCCATGGCTGGGTGCACGACGTTGCCACAGGCAAGCTCCGCGATCTCGGCGTGACCCAGTAGTAGTTACCTGCCTACCTTTTCAATGTACTGGTAGCTGCTCTCACGGCGCTCTCGCATTTCTAGAATGCATCGTATCCACCGCACCAACAGCACTCGCAGCCCAGGCCTTCGAACGTGATTGAGACAGATCGTCCGAGGATGGAGCACCTGGTGAAGAGCGCGTCGTTGAAAAATGAAGAGCGAGTCCCTCTCTGCCGGTACTGGGATTCGAACCCAGGCCTGAACTTGTCAAGTGGATTTCAAGGACAAAAATGAACTTAAGACCACCGCGATGACCAACTACGCGACACCGGCGACAGATAAATTTGATAAGCTCTGGCATAAATATGAACTTTGCTACTAGCTCGAGGTCTTGCATCTTTTCACTTTCGTCCTAGACATGACAGAATAGAGCTGGATCGGAAGTCTGGAAGCGAAACAGAAGTAATGTTCGCGGATGATGGATCAGAGGAGGATAAGAGATTGAGTGCGGGACTGAAAATGGGTTCTCGCTAGTCCGAGCGAGGCTGGCGCTTGTTCACTCCGGCCCGGTCGCCATCGAGGCTTTAGTTCGGATTGCTCTTTAATAGGTCCTCGACTCATTTTTCGTCCTTCGAGGTCTACCATCAATGAGTAGGTCGTAGGAGGGGCTCTGCGCCTTGCTGTCCACCAGTCCGCTATGAGGTGTTCGGACGATGTCGATTGTGAAAAGCTCTTGAAAGCTCTCTGGCCGCCTTCTCCCACAGGAGGACGTTCAGATCCTCGACGATTTGCATGTGTATGACGGAGAGCGCGAGCGGACTCTGCCCAGGAGACGTCGGAAAAGTGGAATTGTCCCGCGACTATGAAGAGTCGCTCAGCATTCATGAAAAAGCAGAAGAACGGGCAATAAGCTCACCGCGACCTCGAGTGTGCCAATCAGCATCACCTTGCTGCGAATCGGAAGGACACCCAGAGACGCCTTCAAGGCGATGCTCAGATCCACTCGCAATTCTGCGGCTCCTGCTGTCACGATTCCGAGGGCTGACTTGTGATCCAGCTCGGTGAGTCTTTCAATGAATCAACAAATAAAGAGAAGAAAGAAAATTGAAGGATAAGCTCGAGGCGGGACATAGGAGTAGATGGACAGCTTCACACTTACACTCCGACTGTGCGTACTTTCAACCCCGCATGGCTGGGTCTGATGTCGGCGAGAGGCATAAGAATGCCTGTCTCCGGCCTCGACATGAGATACGCATCGGTCGGTGTATTTGCGTCTTTGCAGCCAAAAAAAAAAAGGTTACTCCACCAAGGACCAGATCCTCAACAAGCCTCCGATTTCCGAGCCCGCCTCCACCCGATTCCCGGCTAAGAAGGCTTGCCTAAGATCGGACGATTTAAGTGTACGGCTGCTCAGAGGAGTGAACAACAAAGAACAGATATGAAGGTCGCTGTCGTTGGATCGGGCGTCGCAGGCCTAGGCGCGACATGGGCGCTCAACGAGCATTCTGAGCACGAGGTCCACCTCTTCGAATCGTCGGCACACCACATTGGCGGGCACAGCAACACTGTCTCATTCCGGGCACCCTCCGGAGCGAAGAGCGGAGCAGGTGAAACGCCGGTCGACACTGGTTTCATTGTCTTCAACGAGGTCACATACCCAAATTTTCTCCGCTTCTTGACCCATATTGAGGCCCCTATCTTGGTCTCGGATATGTCTTTCGCAGTCTCGAGGACAAAGGCCCTTGTGGAACCCAGCTTTCAACTCCCATTTTCTCGATCGTACTTCCCATCGCTCCCCCGGCACATCAGGAGCAACAACGCGAATACACGCAAGGAGCGAGGGGCATTTGAGTGGGCTGGGAGCACGCCGTTGGCGCTCTTTTGTCAATGGAGCAATCTCTTCGACCCGAGCCACTGGCGAATGATCTGGGATATCATTCGTTTTAACCACCAGTCGATCGAATCGTTGAGGGAATGGGAGGCTAGTGAGGTGACTGATGCCCAGGCAGAGGCTGAAGAGGAGACCATCGGGCAATGGCTCGATCAGAGGCGCTACGGGCCAAATTTTCGCAGGAATTACCTCATCGTGAGTTCTCCCTCTTCTCAGTAGATACACTAATACTCACACTCGGACAAATCAAATGCTCCGAAATCTCAGCCGATGACGGCGTCGATCTGGTCAACGCCTCCCAAGACTGCGTTCGGTGCATTCCCAGCACGGACATTGCTAAGATTTCTGCACAATCATCATCTACTCCAGATACTCAATCATCCGCAATGGCTCACTATTCAAGGGGGATCGAAGACCTACGTTGAACGCGTGCTGCAAAAACTTCCCCGTGCACAGCTGCATCAAGGACAGGAAAGCGGACACGTTGTCAAAGCCTTCCCTGGAAATAAGGGCAAATGGATCATTGAAAGACAAGGTGGCAAGACGGAGGAATTCGATCGAGTCGTCTTTGCCTGTCATGCCGACGTCACAACCGAGATTCTCGCCGCCGACGAGGCCATGATGGAGAAGGATGATATCGGGGTGCAGCTCAAGAGGTGCCTGAAAGAATTCAAATTTAGCAAGAATACAGCCGTATTGCACAGCGACGAGACCTTGATGCCCGTCCGCCGGGTTGCTTGGTCAGCATGGAATTTCATGGCCGAATCGTCGGAGCAAGACTTCCAGGACGACGTGGATAGCGTGACACTGACCTATTGGATGAATCTCCTCCAATCTTTGTCCGAAGACGTCTTCGGCCCCGTTCTCGTAACCTTGAATCCGCCCAAGGGTACTCCTGATCCGGCCAAGGTTGTGGCCAGCTTCGATTACGAACATCCACTCTACACCTCCAAAAGTGTGAGAGCCCAGGCTGCGCTAGAGTCGCTTCAGGGAAAGTGGCGCGGAGCTCGTTTTGCGGGCGCTTGGACCAATTATGGATTCCACGAGGATGGCTTCTCTAGCGGTGTCCGAGCCGCTGTAGCCCTTGGCGCCAAGGTTCCCTTTGAAGTGAGACCAGCCGAAAGAAGTCTTCCTCATTCCTCTCGAATACGGGCGGCAACATTCCTCCTGGCTGAGAGGATCCGAGAGGCAATTGCAGGTCCAGCCTGTCTCATCTTGGCACCCTTTATAGTCATTTGCACGCTGGTTCTGGAAGCCATCATGAACGCCTTCACCCTCCTCTTGGTAGGCCCTGCCAGCCCTTCGGCCACTCGCAACGAGCTAAGGAATGTTCGCAAAGCTTGGGAGAAGTCTTTACTGTTGTAGATAGACTGCGCTCAAATCTGCGATCAAATCAAAATGACTGATAGTTTCCACAATTAGAGTATTCCAGAGTGTGGTATCTCCAACGAAAATATATGAGATGCCAAAATTTTGCAGTAAATACAATCATTTTTTTGCCAATTTGTCTTTCTCAAATTTCTGGTGGCAAGAATTGCGCTGTTTTCATCTGTTGCTGTTGCCCTTCAGAAAAATAAGAGAGATGATACACAACAATGCTATACGACATGAAGTGCTACGGTCAAGAATGAATGTCTAGGACGTCTCGAGAGAGCTGGACACCTTGCAAGCCTCCTTCGCCATCCTTTCCTGGGCCTGTTCATCGACCATGGCTAGCCTTTGAAAGTCCCCGTAGATGATCCACGCACCGACGTAGTCCTCCTTCCCATCGGCTCTCGTTATAAGCCTCCCCGCATCGGGAATCTTGCCTACCTTCTCGAATCCGAGTCTCTCCCAGATCTTCACGCTTGCCTCATTTGTCTGGTAGACAAGATTGAAAACCGAGCCCCGGTAACCGCATCGGGGCGCATACGACAAGAAGCTTTTGCCCGCCACGCCTCCGAGGCCTAGCCCTCGCGTGGCAGGGGGAACGACGAAGCCCGCGTTGCAAAGATGAGAAGAACGACCAGGGTAATTTGGCTTGATGTAGTAAGAGAATGCATAGACCTTCTCCCAGTCGTGAGACCTATCAAAAGTCGTGCTAAGTTCGTCGACGTGGAGCACCTCCGCAACCATGCTGGCAGTGAGAGCCAGTCCAGAGGCTGGAACATCAATGCTGTCTCCGCTGAGTCGAGATAGTTTGCTTGCATCAATCAAAATGCCCACGATGAGGTCGTACGAGAGAAAATAGGCTGAAAAGTCGTCTGAAGACATTGGCACCTCCTGAGGGTATGTTCTTCCACCTTCGAGTTCTCTTTAAGCGGCGAGATGCGTCAATGCCTTTCCTTGATGAAGTACTGTACGCTGGGACTTGGTACCTCACTGATTGAATACGTTTAGGAGTTTTTCCTTGAGCGCAGGACCGATAATTGCCTTGCCAGTCGTCGCAGCGGTCCCAAACTCAAAGGGAACTGTCACAATTGCTGCTCGGTCGGCCGACGCAGCCCTGTTGTTGATGGGATATAGGCGGCATTCGAGTGGAAGACCATTGTTGCTCTTGCGCGGAGGAGCTACCGTTCCGTAGGCCATCTTTGTTCAAGACGAGAGGAAGAATCGATTCTCAGCGGAATCAGACTTAGAGTAGTTTGCACATGCCTTGAAACACGACGTGAAATTAGACGAAAACTCTAGTTAGATCCAATTCGAGTGGAACCGGGTCAATCGTGTAAGACCGATCGTCTTTCTCATTTGATGTAAAAGCATCATCACATTGATATCTGTCCACCAAATCCTCTGAATCGCAAAAGAGCTCTATGTACGCCGTCCCCTTGCTTGATATCGAGAGAACGAGACTTTCTGTCCCGAGTTGCTGCGCCATGAGGAGGATCAAATCGTCAGTCAAACGCAGATGACTGGCAATTGAAGTAGGCCGCGCTTACCAGACCAAGCGCTCCTTCCAAGTTTGACCTCAATAGTGGCGGTCCCTTTGGCATCGTAAGCCTTTGCCTCTTCTCCTCTGTGCCGCCTAGCTTCGCGTGTCTCGGTGTGTTCCCATCCTTTCCCCAAATGCAACCCGATCAGAGGTGCCAGTTCACGCAGCCCCACGGCTCGTTTGGCTGTTATTGGCCCCAGCAATAAGGCTGCCTGGTCAAGGCTCCCTCTTTGGCTGATATGGACCTTGTGGACAGCGTGGCTGCCGTCGCCGAAATGTGAACCTGGAACGGTACCGCTCAGAAGAGCAGAGGCCTGTCCACGGGTCGCAGTTTGCACCGATCCATAGTTGAGGAACCGTTGTTGCTCAGCTTCCTAAGAGGAGTTCAAAAGCTGAGAGCTGAGCGTAACCTGCTTGCCAGAGGCTGAGACAGACCTACCCTTGGGAAAAAAAAGGAGATGAGCCCCCCTTGGGTGCGCTGGGCGAGGTACGATGCGATGGCAATGGTCTGCAAAAGCGTTGACACGTTAAACGCTGTCGGCTTCAAGAACAAGGTCTGGTATGCATATACGGAGGCTGCTTGTGACATGGTGGTGCTCGAGGACGGTACTGGCGGCGATTCTTCGAAGTCGGCCCACTTTGTCGAGCTGCAAGACCGAAGGGAAGAAAGGACCCGCTCTTGGACTGAACGAAAGAATCGCGCCCGTCTTCCGAAGAAAGAAGGGCTCCACTTTTTGAAATGCGAATTTCTGCCTTCGTCTAAACCTGCAACGTTCGCTACTCCCCTTTTCATCAAGACTCCCTCGTTTCTAGAGATTAAAGATGGGAGTAGGACTGGGGACGTCATGGAACACACCAATACAGGAGCGTAAACTTGGGGATGCTTCGTATCCTGTCGCCGCGATGTTGGCAGCTTCAATGATCGAGGAGGGAGAAGGCGTCGATATCTCCAAGGATCGCTTTGATCTTAGCACCTTTCGCGGGCGATTGGCACACTTTTACTCGACTACGTCCCCGTTGACCCTGCTCGCTTCAACAAGCAAGCTCTTGGACGCACAAGAGTATGTCAAGGAGGTCGAATCAAGATTCCCGACGAACAATAATTCGAGTGTTGGAACGATCTACAAGAGCTTCGCTGGGCAGAAACCAAAAGACCAGGGATACATTGTCTCGAAGAAAGAGGCTCAACGATACTGGAAAGCGAAACAGCTCGTTCAGAGCAGCGTGCATCCCGACACGTAGGTATACGAGCTCAAAGCAGAAGATAGCGGGGGCTGATTTTTGATCTGTTCGGCTCAGAGGAGAGGTGATCCCACTACCATTTCGGATGTCGGCCTTCGTGCCGACGAACCTCCTTGTGCTTGCTGGTATGCTGAGGCCCGATCCAACTCTGGCTTCTGTCATCTTCTGGCAATGGATCAACCAGAGCTTGAATGTGGCCGTCAACTACAGCAACGCAAATAAGTCTGTCCCCATGGACATGAAAGAGGTCGGGCAGGCCTACGGAGCGGCCACCGCCAGCGCCGTAGGAATTGCGGTCGGTCTGACCAGGCTAGTCCCACGGATGACGATGCTCTCTGTTGGGGCCCGGGGCGTTCTCTCACGGCTCGTACCCTTCTTCAGCGTCGCTTCCGCAGGGTGCGTCAATGTCTCTTTCATGCGCTGGAAGGAGATCAGGGACGGTGTCTCGGTCTTTCGAAGAGACTTGAACGGGGAGAAGGTCAAAGTTGGCGATTCACCGAGAGCAGGGTCTACCGCCGTGGGAATGACCGCTGCCAGCCGCGTGCTTACAAACAGTAAGTGCGGGACACTAAGTATGATTGAAGTCAGCGGTAAATTGATTTTGTTTGCAGTCCCGACGATGATTTTACCACCTTTGGCTCTCGCCTTCCTCCAGCGGAAGCGGATAGTCCCGAAAGCTGGTCTCTGGTCCAAAGTGGCTGACCTTACGTTGATCGGATCTAGTCTCTTTGTATTCCTTCCTCCTGCGATCGCGACTTTCCCACAGACGGCTTCGATCAAAGCCGACAGGCTCGAAGAGAGATTCCAGAAGGTCAAGGACGACAAGGGAGAAACAGTTCAGGTCTTCGAGTTCAACAAAGGGTTGTGATTAAAGCGGCTCTGCTATCACACAGTCATAGAGACATTTTCAAGCGTCAGATCCGTGTGAGGAAGAGGCACGGGACAGTCTGACCCCAAAACATTCAAAGGGTAAGGACACGCTCTCACACCCACACCAGCAGTATTGTCTTTTCAGTTCCCAGTCAGCTATACTCTTTTTTCTATCCTTTCTTCCTCGAGCTAAGGAATGTGATCAAAGAATGCGTCGAGACGGCATGTGCCCATTGCCTGCTTTTCTTGCAGGGCGACAGTGTCAGCAACGACAGCGCCAGCAACAGTGGCAGCATTAAAACAACAAAAACAACAGCAAAAGCAACAATTGCCTAAGCATCAGGGCAAGCTGAAACAAGAGCAGCAGTGTTTACAATGACGGCTGCAGAGACAGCAGCACGACCAGGTCGTCCAAGGCGATCTCGGTTCTTCTCTGGTTTCCTTGTTCGAGGCCGCATAATGTGAGAAAACTGTGACCTGAGCAAACAGGGGCCGTCAGAATGTATTCTTCGACGAATAATGAAAAGAGAGTACAGGAAAAGGCCTTCTTACGTAGGGCAGGCGTCGCTCTCTGGATCTCGTCCCTAAGCGTGCCTCAGGACACGCTTGAGGGCGAACCGGAGCCTGCTAAGCTGTGCAGCGCCCGATTGCGTGCTTCGGACGTCCGGCACGGTGAGAAACAGGGCCTTGTAGTTAAGACGAGCGAGAAGAGAGAGTAAACAGAGAACAGCAGGCGCTGGGGCGTGCCGGACGCCTCAGGTCCCTGACAATAGCATGAAATTGTGGCTGTTACCTGCTACTACTCTGTTTTTCAGCCCATGCCGCAACCGTCCTTATCTTCAGCTGGCTGGACGATAGTTGAAGCTAAATAAAGAGGGGCATTCTCTATCAAGGAGCCGCCTTCTGTCAGAACTCTACCTGCATTCTCCGTTCTCGCCCAGTCTTAAACCCAGGCATTCAACTCCTTTCCACAATTATCGATGGACCGTTCTCCTCTACGGACCACCACGATGAATTTTCTCCTTCTATGTAGCCTCCTCGCTTCTATAGGAGCCGCCAGAGCCAATCCTGTCCCACGTGAGGACGGAACTCTTGGCGGCATCCAGTCGAATCAGCCGCACAACATCGTCAAGGAGCTCGGGCTGTTTAAACGAGCGGACGGTGAAAAGTTCTCATACACAAGACTTCTTCTCAATGGAGACACGCCCACTCCGCAACCCAGCTTCGCAACAGCTTCGCAACTTCACGGGCATGGGCTTCTCCGCAACGAAGGCAATGTTTTTCAAGGGAACCAGAGCCAAAGCATATCGCATCACCATTTTTATGCCCAGGATGCGGTTGACTTCCCCACTTTGCACCATCAGCGTTACGCCCATGTCGTCCCTCAGTCTCACGACGCGCCCATTCAATCTTATGGCCAGGGATCTTCCGAAATTTACGGTTCGCATCTTCAATCTTACGTCCAGGATTCAGCTGGGTCTCGCGACACATTCTATCAGTATCAGCCCAGCACTCAGGACACCTCTTCGTTTCACGGCTCGTCCTGCTATCCTTGTGGTCAAAGAACATCTGAATATTCCCATTCGCACCCTCAGTCTCACGTCCAGGTATCATCTGGGCCTCGCGACTATGGTTTTCAGCGTCAGCCCGTCACGCAAGGCGCCTCTTGGTCTCACGTCTCGCATTTGCATCCACACGGTCAGGGCACATCTGAAAATTCCCGTTCGCACCACCAGTCTGGCGTCAATGAACCCCATAAATCTCATGGCTTGCAAAGCTACCCGCGATTTCAGGACGTCTCGGGATCTTACGACCTGCTCAGTCGACATCGTGCGAGCTACGGGACGTCCGAAATGTCGCACCCTCAAGTTGTTGAGCAACAATGCCAACCACATTACCAGCCGCCGTCTGCAGGCGCGCGCGGTGAGGCAAATGACGCCGAAGGGGGGAGCACTTCTGCTCACATGTCATCCAAAGCGAAGCAAAAGAGGGGACCGAGGAAAGATAAGATTCGTGAGCCACCAACACCAAAATTTCCAACCGATCTTATCACGAGACTGGATCTGGATGCAGCTCTGTTCTACTATGAACGTGAGCGACTTGCGAAGTTGCACAACGATCCTGCCTACTTGAGACTCTTAGAAGGACTGAGGGTTGTCAAAGGAGAGCCATGGGTCCAAGTATACATAAACATCAGAAGAAACCGAAGAACTCCTCCTTACAAGACTACGAAGGCAATGATGAGGAAGGAAGAGGAACGTCTGGCTCCAGAAAAGTGGCAGGAAAGGGACAAGAAGCTCACCGCAAGTCTGATAACAAAGTTTAACGAGATCAGAAATGGAAAAGTTCTTGGGTCGAGCTGGACTATCGAGGATAGTAAGAGCATCGTAGAGCTCTCGGGCCGTCAAGACGTCAGTTCTCTTGTCCATAGGTACCAGGAGATCCTACCGTTTGTCAAGTACTGCTGGAGGACCGACAAAAAGGTGTTGAGCCGGCTCGACCATAATCCTTGGGAAATGGACCCCATCGTCTACATACACAGGCTCAAGGAAGCGCTCGACAACCTTTCTCGCAACCTGGCGCCGCCACCACCATTCTACTCACCCCCATACCAGCAGTAGTATTTTCTTCACTTCTCAATCAGCTATGCTCCTTCTCCCCTTTCCTTCTATCCTTTCTCCGTTTCCCCGTCCAGTTAAGACAAGGAAGCTTGATAAGAAGAGTGCGTAGAGGCGGCATGTGCCCATACGCAGCTTTTTTCGCAGGGCAACTTTAATGAGAGCGAGTCGACGGCGCCAGTCGTGGTGAGAAACACCTTGTTCACCACGAGTGAGGAATGAGCAACATGCGGAGCACATTGTGCGGCATTCACAGTCCATTAACAGCGTTATTCGTGTGAATTTGTCCGCGAGGAGAGTAGAAAAGGATGTCGCGAGAGTGTCGCGCCTCGGCATGCTTGAACCATGAGCAGATTTTCTCTTGGAGCCTTGGGCAGGCTGAAGAGCTAAACTTTGGCACAATTCTCATTCTCAATCTGAAAAGTTGCCTCAGTGTGGAGGAGATCAGATGTAGAAGAGGTTGTCAAGAAGTCACTCCAGACACGCCGAGTGGTTCTGCTTCCACAGCCAAAGAGGTCAATTTCAAATCATACTGTACAGTACAGTACATACAGTATAGCCATGCACCATCTACGGCTCAATGACGAGCAGGCGATGATTGGTGACTTCTCTCTTAGGCAGCGCCGTCCGACTAAAAAAACCCATGGGGAACCAGGTGTAGATGATCCGCGGCGAGCGCCGTCTCAGTCTGGTCCTTACATAAATTCTGTCATCGTGCTATTCAGCGAGCTAGAAGCCCAGGCCTTTATGTCGGCGTGAGATGACAGCCCAAGAGTCCGCGACCACCCCATCCAAGTCGCGGCGTTAAGCGAAGCCTTTGAGGGAGGCCCTGCCTCAACAGCAAGACCTCGATCGCTTCGCCATTTCGTACCACGCTTGGTAGAGCTCCAAGTTTGCTGTCGCTGTCAATTCCGTCCGCGGTCTCAAAAGTGAGATGAGCGAAACGGAGAATCTGATCACCCATTTGAAGACCCTGGTGACAAAGGCGCAGCAATTAAGCAACGAAGAAGAAAGTGAAGCCGGACTCAACGAAGACTCACTGCAACCTCTGCCGGGCCACCGCTTGCTACGCTATTGACATTGGCGAAAGGCTGTAGTTTCTCAATGGCATCCCAGCCCTCAGGATCCCTTTCCTCAGCGTCTATTTGCTTGTCGATATCACCCTTCCTCGTTGCTGCTCCAGGCTTAAAAGTGGCTGATTCCGAGGACGACGAAGACGGCGCCGTGTCCTTCGCCAGAGCTTGCTCGAGCAATTGGCGCATGCGTCCCTCGAGCTCCTCCCTGTCATTCCTAAGAGCAATGATTCGTGCCCTTGCCGTTCGGACGGCCAACAGATCGGGTTGGGCAAGTGGGAAGCCCTCTGAGTCGATCAATGGTAAAGTCATGCCTACTTGCTGAGCCCGTAGCACTTGTACCTGGGTCTCAAGCTCCTCGTCAATGGCCTTGCATTTGTCCGCAAGCTTCAATGCCGCAGCCCTAGCCTGCTCGGTTGAGCTCCTGATCTCTGACATAATGGGAACTTCTGGCTTCGTGAATTTCGAATGTACTCGATTTAAGCGTCCACAGAACGCCTCGTATAATACACGTCTTCGTATGCGTTGCAGGAGCACAAACGACTTCTGGGCATCGTCTTTGGGTGACTTTGCCCCGCCTGCTCCTAATGTCGCCTCTTGATGTCCGTCGGCTATGTGCTGGTTGCGGGGAAGGAGTCCAGTTGGAAAGCCTTGACGCTCAACTCAAAATTTCACGTGCTGCAAGCCACTCGGTCACGTGGTGACTCGGTGGACGTTTGGACAGAAAGCCATCTTCTCCGATACCTTTACCCGCCATGTCGTCGTCAACCCTCTTCGCCTCCCTGCGAACTGGGCTTCAACAGGGCCGAACGATGTCATCACTTGCACACCAGACGAACAGACAGCTTCGGCGATCCCGAGCCCACCTCGTGGACCGCTTCCTTTCCCGACAAGAAGCTCCTCACCGTCCATCATTTCTGCCGGAAAAGTCGCCAGTGAGCGGCTGCTGGAGGCCCGGATCCCTTTCGCTCAGAAGACAAGCCCAACTTGCGAACACCGCTTACGAGCAGGGTCGCTTGCAAGAGTTACCGAGTGGGTCGAGAAAAGTTGAGAAGCTTAAGCAACGCATGGTCGAATCGGAAACAATCTTGGACTCTGCCCCTACGCCCTTTTCCCTTGCGGCGCAGGACGGCATTCTTTTGACAAAGAAGCACATGGATCATAGGGCGCTCGTGCATGCGAAGCAATTAATGGAGAACAAAGGGCCTTATGCCGGAAGGAAGGGACCAGCCTTCAAAGGGACGAAGCAACAAAGGCAGGTCAAGAGGAGGAAGGATGAGGTGAAGAGGAGGTTGGACGGTATGGAGAAGCTCGTCGAAAATTGGAGATCGGTGAGTGCTTTCTTGATATACTAAAGAATGTGTTGAGCTCATACTTAGGACGAATGCAGGCGAAGAAGGATGCAAGAGACAAAGCGCGGTCTACTTTGCCGTTCTAGGCTCCAGTCCCGCCTCATCGAATTGGTAGAAACACGGGGACATCTCGCATTGCTCATTGACATGTAGTAGAGGTGTTCGGTCTCAATGCGACGTCTCGATCTTGTCAATGAGCCTTTTCCTCTTCGGAGTATCCGCAAATAGACTCTTGATGAGCTTGACGATCTCCCCCTTCCCATAGTCGACAAGTGCGTCGGCCTCGAAGTACAAAAACTCGATGTCAATAAGGGAGCCTGTAAGGATCTCTCCAAGGTACGAAGCTTTGAACCAGCTTGGCACAAAGATTGCTACGACCGTTTGAGCCCCTTGTGATCCTTCTTCCTCTTTGAAAAGGCCCTCGACGGCGCCCAAGGACCTGACGAGCTCGGCCAGCTTCTCACTTTCTTCTTCGGAAATATCGTCGAGACCTATGATGGCGTGCAACACCTGTGAAAGAAGCCCATCGACCAGGTTTCCCATAGCGGCAAGGTAGGTTGAAGGCGCCAGAATGCCCTTCCATGCCTTTGAAAGCTGCTGCAGGGTAAAGAGAACCTGCTTGATGCATCGTTGACAGGCCGCAAAGCGGTCCTTTTCGTGAGTTCGTGTGAAGCCCTGAGCATCCAAAAGGCAGTCCTTGAGGGCCTTCTCTTGGATTAGCTAAAACGGCAGAGAAATAGAGAGAGTCAGCCAGAGAGGACGCTACTATTTAAAAGGATGTGGGCTCACCATTTGGGCATCAAAGCTTCTCCGGCCCACAAGCATCGTTAGCTTTTCTTGCCTTTCCAAATCGACCAGCTTCTGAAAGCGATTACTTTGCAACCCCAATCGTTGGCGTATCTTGGCGAGCTCCTTTGCAATGTACAAGCAATCATTCGCGAATTGCATGGCCAACGAAGGAACATTAGTCAGCGTATCCGCGTGCGACACTGGCATGAGGGCACGATGAAGGTCGATAATGTCGGTTAATGGCAGTATGAGCGGAGTTGCGTCCAAGTCCGGTTCCTCTGATGAAAGCTGGAGAAAGTCTTCGAGCAGCCGGTTGCAAAGGCGAATAAGATCAAGGGATCTTCGGGAGATGGTGCACAACTCGGTCTTTATGTGCGGCTGCTGAGGAGTCGCAGGCCGAGGGGAAGTCGCACTGAAAGGCTTCTTGGGGGCATCGACCGAGGACGGTCGGCCTGACGAAGGGAGGTTATCGTCTTTACGTGCACCTTTTGACACAGTCGGAGGCGGAGACGAGGAAGAAAGCGAAGTGGATCGAAGCGTGGCCTCTCGAAGCTTGGGAGATGCTGTCATCTCTCCGTTTCCCCGAGGGGACTTTGATTTGCCCAATGGCGACCTTGTGCTCTCTCTTGCTGCCTTCGTCGAAGCAGCGGCAATTGAAATGGGGCCGTCACCTGACCTGCTCCTGGGAACCAACGGGGCTGGTGCATTCGATAGGGGTAGCAAAGATGTTGATGCTGCCACTCTATCGTCCTCATCGTCTTTCCAGGACCACTCTTCCCCCGGGGCCACGTGTGGCGAATCGCTATCGCCGCGATCATCCTTCTGCTGAGGAGCGTTTGTCAAAGTTAAAGCGGGCGTGACAAGGTCAGTAGAGCAGTCCTCCTTGAGAAGCGGATCTTTGCCAACGCCATCGCCATCATTACCACCGTTGAAAGTGGCAGTTAGCGACGTGGGAATCGACTGGGTATCCACGCCGCCCGACGGATCGGAGGGCGTCCCTTCCTGATCGTTTGTCTCTGGAGACGAGGATGAGATTGCCGTTGTGCTAGCTGTTGTAGACGCCGCCTCCGGCCTTACACTGGTCTTGCTGACGGCCTCTAATCGCTCCTGATACTGCTGCTGCTGATTTTTATCTGGGGTTTGATCATCATTGGGGCCTACGTTCAAGGCGGCGGCAGTCGGCGAATCCTGTGACAGTTCCGGTGCAGGAACTAGAGTCGCGCTCGGCGTTCCAGCACTGATATCTTCCATATGTTGCAATATTTGTTCTTTTGGGTTTGATCTTGCGCCCGAGGCCGCTGATGTAGCCGCGACGAACTTCTCTGACGAGGCATTGTCGATGGCGACGTCTTCGTTGGACAAGCCCGCAAATTTACCTATCATGCTCGCTCGTTTTGCTTGCAAAGCAGCTTGCTCCTCAAGCGACAGCCCCCACGCATCAAACTCATCTTCCTCGTCAAAATCCTCTGCCAATGTGGCGACGTCGGCAATAGGTGCATGACTGCCCAACGAGGTTCCTATCGGCATTGCTGACGCAAATGTTGGTGTCGATCGAGTACGGTCGACGATGTCGCCTTCTCGAGGCAGCGAGAGTAGATCGTCGTGTGTCTTGGGCTCAGGGCGCGGATTATGCAAGTTTTGCACCTCCTCTACAGAGGCCATTGTTTGGTCCTGAAATGCTTTTTGCACTGTCGCGGGTTCCTTGGTAGTGCGGTCATCATTCTTCCAATATTCGGCTGCCACAACTCTTGGCTCTTCTTCTGAGTCTGAGTGGTCCACAGTTGAGCCGCCTTGCTGTTCCGGTTGCACCTCTGACAGCGCACTGCTTTTGTCGACGAAAGAAACTTCAACAGCAGCAACTGGTGGTGGTGGAATCGATACGATTCTACTGGCTCTCTTGGCTGCACGCTCTTGTTTTTCCTCGGCGCTTAGTCCCCAGGCGTCTTCGTCAACGTCCTCCTCCCCGTATTCGTCTTCCTCGTCGCGCCAATCACCTTTACTTGAGCTCGGTCTAGCGGTGATGTGTGCAGCAGCAGAGGCGTCTGGTGTCGATGCCGCAATATTGTCAGTGTACGCAACGGGGATAGATGGGGACGCCTCGAGCGGTGCAGGTTCTTCATCCTCTTCTGCAAACCACGCAACATCATCGTCATTTGGAGCTGGCATCGCAGTGGTGAGCTTCAAGCCGGTTGAAGGTTGAAGCGCAGGAGAGCCTTGAACATTAGTCGTTGATGGCATTGCTTCATCGTCAAAGCCCCACATGGCGTCGTCCGCTGCCTCCTCTTCGTGTGGCAGAGGACCACTGCCGAGCTGGTCCTGTGGCTTGACGACTCGCACCCCACCAAGCTTGCCTTTACCCTTCTTCAATGACGACGGCTGCGTCGAGGCATGTGTCGTTGGAGATGGAGTCCACGGAGATTCGGATGCGGGACTCGAAGCTATTGGCCTTTCGCCTCTATCCTCCCACTTCCAAGTGCTGTCAGTGTCAATCATGCCTTCGATTTCGGCTTCTTCGCCCTCAAACTCTCGCTGTGCTGGCCGTTGCTGCTCGAGAGCCGTAGCCAGAGGAAGATCTACCTCGGCTTCAATTTCCACTTGACTAGCCTCCCATCCCCCACCGCGGTTGTCCTCGCTTACGAGTAGACTTCTTGCTGTTGATCGCACATCGTCGGCTATGAGCTTTATGAAGCGGGATTGGACATTGTCGGCCCATCTGACAAGCCTCGACGCATGATAAAGAGCGTCTTCCTCCTCGTGCCCGTTCTCTTCTTCGTCAGGAATGCCGCTCGAAAGGTAGCCGTGCTGATTCAATGTGCCGTGGAAGCTTCGAGCAGCCAATGCGAGCTTATGCAAGACTGGGTATGTATGCTGTTGAAGAGGAAAGGAGAGGCGTGAAGGCAGTCTAGACTCGAGATAGTCGATGCACTTAGTGACTGCAGCTGGCAAGAAGGCCTGCGAAAATGCCCGTTGGCTCCTGCTACCCCCATCGTGACGGAAGAGGCTTGTGGCAAGGTGCGATACCAAGGCCTCAAGACTACGAAAGGTTGATTCTACGGCTTCGTGCGGTGAGGATAGATGGTCCCTATGTCCTGTGAGACTGGCTGTCCATTCGCTTTCGTTTTGTTGAAGCACCCACGTCGATGTTGATCCCCTGACAGGCTCGAGCATCGGTCCCACGACCTTTTCGAGGAGCAGTGCTGATAACCTAACGAGTCGAGGCTCAAGCTCCGATCGAGACTCGAGCAATTTGCATAGAACAGCCAACGGGACTGTCTTGCCTTGCGCATTTGCAACGTCAATTGCAATTGTCACCCTCTTAGCACCATCGCTGCAATCGACGTGGACGGACTTTCTCCAGACCTCGTCTATTTGATCTTTGATCGACTCTCTTGCCTGTTCCAGCCGGCCCGTCAGCTCCCTGAGGGACAGAGATGGCGCTGCGTTTCCTCTGAAACCCCAGGTCAAGTTTTCTGACGAAGACACATCGCTTTTTTGGGCCCTGACATCTTCTTCGAACATCTGCCGGTGACCATCGAAGTCGATGCCAAAGTGAGCAGCGGTGGCGTTCGCCGCATCCAACGCACCAATCAAGGTTTGTGCCTCCATACACCCTCTCTGTACAAGATCTTCCAGATTCTCAAGCGCACGAACAGCCAAGAGAAGCTTGCGGGCGACGACGTGTGCAGCTTGCGCCTCAAGATGCTCGCGTCTGGCTGTCGAAAAAACGTTCGTGACCCTCGCGTCGATCTGGCAAAACATCAGTGAGCCTCATACAGATCCCCGCAGCTCTGTGATCACGTAAATCTTTCCTTACCTCATAATTCCCTGGTCTCTGCTCATGAAGATTCTTGAGGCAGCATTGGGCGGTGGTCATCCTGGTATCGAGCTTGCGAGCTTGCTTGATGTGCATTTCAATCTGTGACCTAGCTGCGTCGCTCCTGACTGAGTCTAACATTGAGCTTTCCAACGCATCGATGTGTGCCGACAATAGGCTGATCTGCGAGGAGAGAGGCAGCTTTGGCGGCGCAGAGGCATCGCTAGTGGCCCCTCCTTGTGGAGCTTCAACCCCTGCGTTGATGCTGCCAAACAATGACACCAGCGCCTCATCATACCCTGAATCTTGGGCTGCTGGTATTTGCTTGCTTGCTAGACCCGCTCCAAGGCTGCCGGAGCTCTCTGCCGCCATGACGAATCAGGCCGTTGAGAAAAACCCTTGGGCTTGGAAAGAGAGCACGAACGAGCTTCCTGGTAGATTTGTGGTTTTCGTGACTGTTCGAGGTGGTCAAGGCGGTGGAAGCTCGGCCGAACCTTGAAGACGCACTCACGTTCCGTGCTCTTGACTTTTCCTCCTCCCCCTAGCCTGCCTCTCCTTGTGCATCTTTCCTTCGGACCGCGCGTCTCATAAAGGCTGTGCTTCATCATCTATCCACGCTTCATCTCCTTCCCCACCAAAAGCAAGCAAGCGACCAGCCATGGCTTCGGAGGCGCCAGGTTCCGATAAACCTAGGGACATTTCCCGAGATGGTGAAAAAATTGCTGTGAGTGAGGAAAGCAAGCTCAGCTTCCTCGCATGCGCTTTTTCTCATAAGCGAACCTTGCCGGTCTGCAGGACATGGAATATTACGACCTTCTGGGCGTCGCAGGTGATGTGACGGACCTTGATCTGAAGAAGGCATATCGAAAAGCGGCAATCAAGAATCATCCTGATAAAGGAGGCGATGAAGAAAAGTTCAAGATGATCGGCGAGGCCTACCGAGTCCTTAGCGACAACAACCTGCGTGCAGACTACGATCGCCATGGCAAGAAGTGCGTTTCTCTTGTTTGGAAAATCCTTCTCTTGGCGGCTCATCTTTGCTCATCGCTTCTACATTCATATTTTGAGCAGGAAGCCAACCGACGAAGTAGGCCTTAAAGAGGCCACCGAGATGGTGAGTGTTGTCGCGCCCCTCTCCATCTACGCCTCTCTTGCTGATTTCCCTTGCAGTTCGGAAATCTGTTCGGCGGTGAACGTTTTGTAGACCTGATTGGCGAAATCTCGCTCCTCAAGGACTTCGGCAAGGCGTCGGAAATCATGATGACCGACGAGGAAAAGGCAGAACTGGAAAAAAGCATGCAGGACGATGCAAAGAAAGGTCCGGGCGAATCTTCTACGAATCCGACCACCGATGGTACTTCTGCCGCAACAACAGCATCTGACGAGGCAGCCTCGGACGCCAATGCTGCCAACGCAGCTCCCACGACGACGGCTTCCAATTCGACGCCCACAAGTTCGGCCACAACAGGCAAAGTGGGACCTACTACGGCCACTGATTCGACACCAGCTGCGGGCACAACTTCTTCTTCTTCTACCTCGTCGCAACATCTCTCAACGCAGGACGCATCGGGAACAGCTACGCCAACGGGAGGAAAAGCAACTTCTCGAACCAAACCCAAGCTGACGGTCGAGCAGAGACAAAAGCTCGAAGCATTGGAGAAGGAGAAACGGGAAGCGGAAGAGAAGCGCATCGCAGACCTGACGAGCAAGCTCAAGGATCGAATTCGACCCTTTGTCGAAGCCCGAAATCCGGGCGACAAGGACGACTCTGAGACACAGCTGTTCGGGAAGAGGATGCGAGAAGAGGCTGAGGATTTGAAGCTCGAGTCGTTTGGCGTTGAGCTGCTTCACACCATCGGAAATATCTATCTCACCAAGTCGACAACATGGGTAAAGTCCCAGAGACACAATTTCTTGGGCCTTCCCGGCTTCTTCAGCCGGCTCAAAGAAAAAGGAAGCCAGGTCAAGGAGACGTGGGGCTTGATGGGAAGTGCCATGAGCGTCCTCGTGTCTATGGAGGATATTCAACGACGACAGGAAAAGGGCGACATCGACGAAGAGGAAATGAGGCAGCTCGAGCAAGACATGAGCTCAAAAATGTTGCTGGCCACCTGGCGAGGCACGCGCAGCGAGGTCAATGGTGTCCTGCGCAAGGTCTGCGACAATGTCCTGCACGAAAAGGGCGTAGATCAAAAGACGTTGCTGAACCGAGCAAGAGCTTTGGCCTACCTCGGCGCAATTTACAAGCAGGTCCAGCCGGAGGAAGGCGACGAAGAGAGGAGGGAGCTCGAGAGACTCGTTGCCGAGGCGGCGGGGAAGAACAAGAAGAAGAGGGAAAAGAAGGGTAAGAAGGACCTTGGTGCCTCGGCTTCAGCCTCTGGGCCTGGTTCCGGTCCCGCCCCGGCAACATCAGCGTCAGCATCTGCATCGGAAACAACGTCGCCCCAGTAGACATTCTATACCTCGTTCTCATGCTCATGCCCTCTTTCATCTCCTCGCTATCGTGTCATATCCAGCTAAATTGTCTTTCCCCTCTCCTATGTAGTGATGAAGAAGGAAATATTGCTCATTGGGCGAATGCCGCACGTATGTGACAGAGGGTGTGTGCTTAGTGCAGAATTGGGCGCCCTCCCCTGCAGATGCAGCAAGTCCTCGTCCTTTGCTCAAGCAGGCTTTCTTCAACGCCACAAGATGCATCGGCGGCGTTCTTGAACTCGGATCCGCATGTGCTGCAGATTCGGGTCCTTGATTGAGTGATGAGGGCTATCCCGACAGAGCAGCGTTCTTTCCCACCGGTCCGTGTCAGACCATTCCCTTAAATTTTAGCACTGTCGTCGCAAGGATCTGACTCACTCCAGACGTGACCAGCCTGGCATCGCGCCCACCGAAGCTCGTCCTCGACGAGTGCCATTCTGACGACTGCATCACAGGCCGGGCACCTTTCTCCAATGTCAATCCCTTCATCCTGCGGTACGCGTCAGCATTCACAGGGCTAGAAGGAGAAGACCGCGCAACGTACTTGCTGAGTCATCATCTTCCATTGTCTAAAGATATCCTCGCATGACACCGGCAGCTCGAGTCGACCCAGCAGAGAAGCACATGCTTCAACGAGACTTTCTGCGCTTCCTGGTCCACAGGAACTACTGCCCGACAGAACGAAAGCTGCCGCGGCGATGTGCTTGCAGTACGCGACGGCTTGACCTTCTTATTTTTTTTAATTTTTTTTTACGTGGAAGCCGCCGGAAGTGAGCCTTGACCACACATCTTTGCAAAGAATTGGGGTTCTTGCATCTCACCTAGTAGTTGTGGTGTGAGACACAAATGCATTGTGGCAAGTTTGATGCTTTCGAGAAGCGTCTTGGCCCGGGCAAGGCCTAAGAGACGATCTGCAATGGGCCTTGTCCTTGCTTTTGGAAGCCCGCTTGAGTCGACGAGCCATGTTGCTATGCTTGCTGGTAGATCGACAGCAACGGTCGGTCGTTGGGAGAGGATCTCCAGAATCTGGCAGATACCACTAGCCACTTCGAACCTCGAACTGCTCGACGAAACAGAAGCGAGGACCGCCCTTGTTCGAATCCAGAAATGTGTAGGCTGTGCAGCTGTGCCAAGACACGGCTTACGTGAACTTCAAGGAATCATCGCCCGGCGAGTATTGCTCACCTTGGATTACCTGCGAAAAGGTTCGAAAATTGGTTTCGAGCTCCCTGAGGACATCGTCAGACGTTGGCGCCGATGGATCGTCACTCCATGGGCTGGACGAGACGAGTGTTAGACGGATGCGGGTTCGTAGCGGGTACCCAAAGCTGGCAATTTCATCGGCGCTTAAACGAGAGCTGCTTTAGCAATGGTGCTGGGGCGGCGGTCCTTTCTCTTTTCCAAGGACATTCCTCACCTGTGGATAAGAAAGTGCAAGCCGCCGAGGTCGCCTTTGCATGCCCACAGCAATTGTTTCCCTTCGATTGCCTCTGAAAGTGGATTGAGAGTATTTCGGTGTCCGTCAACATAGTGCGGAGGCAGCTTGGCGGACGTGGTGATGGGTGCACTGTCGAATGCAGAAGGGTCGACGAGATAATGCTGACCGTCTTGTAATGTGACTTCGAACCTAGCATGTCCGTCTATGACAAAAGATCGGATTGCTTTGACAGCAGCGATCTCGTAAGAATTAACGTCGACAGTCAAAGAGAGAGAGGGGTTCTGACCAAGCGCGTACCTGTCGCTGGGAGCAAGGGATTGCCGTATTCCTCTCTGCTGCTTCGAAGGCACGCGGACCACGATTTCTTGCCGTCATAGTCTCGATTGTGCATGTGCACCTGCCCAGGCGTGGTCCACAGTAGGTACGGGCCTTCCCACTTGATGAGACCAACCACATTGTCTTCACCGACCTCGGTCACCCTTTCGACTTGCAGACCGCTTTGCGTCTGAATGCTGTTTCGCACGAGTGAGGCTGCAAACACAGACGCCGAGGTGGCAGCGGCGATGTTGATGCGCATGCGATGCCTCCCGTCGTGAACCCAACGCGGCTCACTGACAAGAGCTCGAATTGGCTCGTCGCACAGCTTGATCCTTTCGAAGTATGGCAGGCTTAAAACCCCGTCATTTGTTTCGAAGCTGCCAATACAAAGCGCTTACTTAGCCATTGGCTCACAAAGGCGAATAGAAGCCAAGCCCTTTGACGCACCGGAACAAACAGACCTCGCCGCTCCGTGTCGCCGCTACCAAGATGCATTGTGTTGAAGGTCCTTTGTCCGCTTGGTGCTCCTCATCACTCGGAAGCCAGGCAATGCTAAAAATCTCCCTTGCCGAAGGTTCGTAGCCCCTCAAATCGCCAAGGTGCTTCCAAGGGCCTGTGAAGGCGCTTGCCTGAGCATTGTACAGGTGCACCTCGAGCTTCGTCGTCAGCACAGCTACCAATGGGCTGTGGCCTGGTCCTGAATCGACTGGTGCCCATCGCGCATCAATGAAGCGCTTCTCCATCGCTGCGAGATAGTCCGGCATGATCGAGCCTTCACCGTCGTAGTTGATTGAATCAACAATGCTGGCTGTGGCCGTGTCAACATGGATGGACGAGTGGATAAAGGAAAGGGGCCCAGCATCTACGTCCTTGTCGTTGGTGTCGACCGTGATGTGCGGTTCGACACTTGAATGAAGGCCCAATTGTGGCGTCTTTTAGGCTAGTATGAGCGTCGTGCGCCATCTAGCCCCGGTCCCTCTTTGCATGCCACTCACGACGATGTGTATAAGATCTGTCGCAACGATGAGCAGAGAGCGGCCGTCGGGGCTCACATCGACGCAATCTGTCTTGGCCGGCTGACCTTCCAGAGTCGCAGAACAGAGCCTACGCGAGTTGCCTACCGTGGGAGCCCGCACAAAGGCTTCCCAGCTCCTTCCATCGCCATCTCCGGTTCCCTCGTCTCTAGCCATCTAAGACCGCCGGGGTTGGCATCCGTTCTGAGGTTGCTTGACGCGTCGAAGCTCAGTGCAGTTTAGTCTTATGTTGCAAGTGGAGAAAAATAATCCTTTCCTCAAGGTAACACCTGCGTTGACCAAAGCACACGATACTCGCCCTCTGACCCTCATGGAATAGTTGATCTTACGGGGCACAGCTGCTAGTAGTAGTACAGCTAACACACCCACAGGCAGAAGGCAGGAACATCATCATCTCCTCTATCGCCCCACAAGTTCTCATGAGTGGAAAGCGAAAACATGGCAAAAGTCTGTCGCCTAGGAAAATCACGTGCGGCTACGCGACCACAATGTTCAGAGCGCGACCTAGAGTTTTGGAAAGTAGGATCAGACCTCGCACCCAACCACTATTACAATAGTCTCTCATTGCAACGACCCAGTGGCGGATCTGCGATGGACCTCGTCGGTGCAGATAGTGAGGAGCTCAAGAAACTCAAGAAGCAGCTGCATCAAAGTGGTGAGGACAAAGGTATCCCTGAATGCCGAGCGAAGTGCTCAGAGCTGACCTCAGTGGATGCAAAGATTTACGGCTGTCGCAAGTAGAAGCCGAGAGATGCCGTCAGGATGCCATTGTAAGGGAACTGCAGGCCAAGGTGACATCATTGGGCAAGGACTTGGACGAGGAAAGGACGAGAGCCGACCATGCCGAGTCGTCACTGGCAAAGATTTGTGAGGATCATTCCCGGGCCCGCTTGCAGGTCAGCAACCTGGAACAAGCCTTAGCAAAGGCGCAGGCCCAAGTGCAGACAGGTGAAAAGGTCCGGAGGCAAGACGAGCAAAGGAAATGCATCGAGCTGGATCTCAAGCATCGCGAGGCGCAGGAGGATCTGCAGCAGCTCAAGAATCAATGCCAGATGCTGGAAGCGCAAGTATCGCAAAGGACTCAGGAGCTCCAGAGAGCAAAGCAGGGGCAGGAAACCAGACGAGCACCACCCTCAGCATCGTTTCAACCAAGTGATGTGGAGTTTGAAGTGGAGACTAGGATGTCCAAGGCAAAGTCTGGGCGTTCTCGCCATAACGAGGTTGAGTCATTTGACTCGGCGCTGCGAAGACCGAGTCGCCGTCGACCGAGAGCAAGCAGTGTAGGGTCATGCAGCGAGCAACTTTCGGTCGGACCAGTTGGTATTCGACCTTCGTGCGAAGTGGACTCGCATCAATGCGAGCTGTCGCATTTGCGTGAGTCATTGACAGCTGCTATCGCCGAATTAAATGCCTGCCAGGCCAGGGCCGAGAAAGCCGAGAGAGAGGCTCTTAAATCGTCTAATGAACAGCTGGCAAGTGAGCGTTGCAGCGAAAGGAGGATTGGAGAGCTCAAATCACGCATCGAGGATCTTGAAGACGACCTCTACTACAAGGCCGAGCAGCTAAGGGGCGTCGATAGCAGCGATGAAGCAGCGGCAAGATCCTTGCTCGAAGAGCGAGCCCCCAAGGCCGAAGCAAAGGTGCACGAGCTCGACGAGGAATGCAACCTTCCCAGAGACTCTCAGGAGGCAGACTCTGTTCAAGAGGAGGAATCGTGCAATGGCGTCGGACAGGTCTCAAATGGAGCGAACATGCTACTTCGTGGACGCAAAATGACCAATACACATAACGTCAAGGAAGAGGCGGCAAGGCAGGAAGTGAAGAGCAAGGACTTGGCGGTGCAACTCTTGTCTTGTCAGCAGGAGCTCGAGATCGCAGTCCGTGACAACGCGGACAACGAGCTTCGCAGTAATGCTCTCATAGGTGCGCTCGTGAAGGGTGCCATCGTCCAGGTGAATGTGCTGGCTGACCTTTGACATCGCCCTCTCTCACCGTAGCCGAGGTTGAGGAGCTCCGAAGCCAGCTGGCGAAAGTGGACGACGCCAAGCTGTGCGACTCAATCCAGGGAGGCGACGAAAAACGACAACGATTGCAAAAAGATTTAGCAAAAGCCGTGGCTGATTCTGCTGATGCTTGTCAAGCGCTGAATCAAGCCAAAGAAACCCTGATTGCCGAGCAGCTTCAGCGAGAGCTAGCTGCGAGCGAGGCTGCGAAGGCCAGGCAAGCTTCCGAGTCAGCCCGGAAAGACGTCGAAGACATCCGCAATATTGCCGAGCAAATGGCGGCCGAGCTCCAGAGCAAGGAAGACCAGATAGCCGCCTTGCGGACCTCTCTCGGTGCTGCGAAAAAAGAGGTGGGGACGAATTTCCAATCTGACTCAATCTACTGGCCGGACACTGACAATTGGAACACATGTTTTCAGATGGATATTATGCGAAGCAATGAAGACCCCGAGGCTACGCTCCAGGCGCTGAGGAATGGCTTGAACGTCCGAGAAGCGGAGCTGGGCCATGTTCTCGAGAAGCTTGAGAAACGGGAAAAAGAGCTGTCCATTGCAAAGAACAAGCTTCGTCGACTGACGGCGTCAGTCCGCAAACTTGCTCTGACATCGAACGCGACCGGTCCAACGTCCGCACAGACGCACAACACTCGGACAGATGTGTCCACCCTTTGGGAAGGGCCGGAGGTGAGCATGTCGATGGTCGGCGACTACTCGGTCATGGCCGATGGTGCGGAGCGAGGCTTTGAGACGGACCTCGTCGACGAAATCGAACAAGCTCGAAGCCACATTGAAGAAGTGGAAATCCGTCTCGAGTTTCAGCGCGTGGAAGATGGTGTTCGGCTCAGGTCTGCAGAATCAAGCTTACGGCACAAGGAGGAGCAACTTGCCGACGCCACGGCGCGTATCCAAGAAGCAAGCGAAAGCAAAGCAGATGCCTCGGAGAAGAATGCAGAGATGGTCAGTGCGGTATCTCGGCAACATGATTTTCACCTCGCCGCTCATCAGACACGCTCTCTGGTCGTGCAGATTGCGACACTAGAGCGACATAGGGATGAGCTTCACGAGGAGGCCAGACAGTGGTGCCACTTTTCCGAAACGCTTCTTTTCGATCTCACAGAATGCCGAGATCGAGTCAAGAATCTGGAGGGCCTTGTCTCGCCCCAACAGGCTCAAGACTTAGACGAGCAACACCGGACTCTCAAAGAGGAAAAGAGGCTCAAGATGATCGTTGCCGACCTTGAACGCCGCGTGACAAGGCGTAATGATCAGATCGCACGACAGCAAGCCGAGCTGCAACAAGAACGCATCAATCGTCACATCGCTGAGCAGGCTGTTAAGGTGCTCAAGCAGACAAAGTCGGTTCACGATGATGTCACTGTGGATGCAAGCGATGCGACAGGCGTGTCAGTCCAGCAGTGTGGCTCTGAAGACACTGCTGCTCGAGACAGCGAGCTGTCGGAGATCCAGGCCCAACTCAACGGAGCTCTCTCTCAGCTCGAAGCACTCGTTAAGATGCAGACGACACACGATGAAGAACTGGCGCAGGTCAACTGTGAAAGAGCCCGCTTGGTTCAAGAGGTGCAGGGTCTTCGCGACGCAAATGAGGGACTGAACCACATATCAGCAGAACAATTAGCAAAGCATTCCCAACTCTTGGACAGCATACGCCGAGCCGAGGAACAAGTCCAGCTTTATAAAGAAGAGAGCAAAGAGGCGGCAGCAAGTCGAGCAGTGGCCGAAAAGGCCTTGGAAATGGAAAGGGAAAGAATTACCCAGCTCGTTGATGCTGCCAGAGAGCGAGCAGAAACTAGTTTTCATCTCGAAGCACAGCTATCGATTGCTCATAGGAAAGTGATGGAGATCGAAGCGACACACGCACAGCTCCAGGAAGACGCACAGAATCTGCGCTCCAGTCAGCAAGAAGCTGCAGAGGCTAACAGAAGCCTGCATGCTGAGCTCAAGACCAAGGAGGAAACCTACAAGACGATGCAGCACGAGCTGCAAGCCAAGCTGCAGGAAGCTGAGCGGCGGGGTCGAGAGATTCACGACATTTACGACGACCTCAAGCGAAAGCTTGAGTCTCGCAATCGGGAATTTTGGGATGTCAAGGAGGAGCTTGCGGTGCTGCAGGAAGACGCCGAAGCCTCTCCGAACAGAGGCGAGCTTCTTTCAGAAGTAGAGAAGCTGACGGAAGTCGCCACGGCTAAAGACGGAGAAATTCAACGAGCTAGAGAGGCCCAACAGACCGCTGAATCGCAGCTGCAAGCCAATGCGCAAATTTGCCATGAAGCAGCCGAAGAACTTAACGACCTCAAGGAGCACAGGGATGCTGACACACACAAGATCGAGACACTCGAAGGGCAGCTATCAAAGTGTAAGAGAGAGCTAGATGAGGCTAAAAAGGAGGTTCGAGAAATCGGGACAAAGCTCAATGGCTCGCTCCTTGACGTTGAAAAGTACGAGAAGAGATATCAGGAGGCCAATCTGCAGCTTGTTGCATCAAAAGAACGAGCTGCCGCAATGGAAACGGAGCTGCAATCCTTCGACGCCCGCACCTCAAATGACCTAAATCGCGACGAGCGAAAGGCTGACTTTCTCCAAGAAAAAATCCAAAATCTCGAGGCCGAGCTCGCTCTCAAGGCCGAAGAAGCCGAAGAAGCAGACGATCGGGTGAGCACACCCACGTCACACTTACAGCAACCGAAGAGTGAAACAGTGCTGACCATTCTTTGCACGGCGCTCTTAGAAATTGATGCTGATGAAGCAGAACAAGAAGCTTAGCTCTCGAATTGCTTCGCTGGAAGCAAAGGTAGAGCACTTCAAGACTGCTGCCTCTACTTTCCACACGAACAAGAGCGGTGTCGCTGTCAAAGTCGCAACGGGCCACGGTGGTCGCGAAACGATGACGCTGGTGTCTGATGCAGAAGACGTGGTCCAGTCTTCCAAGGGATCCATTTCGTCGTCCATGCCAAACTCTCGCAAGCGTAGCACACCTGACGACGACCTAGGCGATGGTGAAACACAGCGAAACGTGTCAGAGTCGTCGCTGCAGCATAGGTCGGCAGTGGCAACGATGAGAGTGATGCCTGCCTCTACCAGGGCAGTCTATGCCCCTCCGCCTTCGGAACCGAAAGCTAGTAGAGTGGCGTCTTCGTCAGCACCATTGTCTGGGTTCACTCCTGTCCGTCGCGTCCATGAAGAAGTCTCGCGGAAAAAGGTCGACCTGAATCACCTCAAACGGAACTCCTCACCGAGAAAGGCCTCTTCGGTTGCTGCTGCCAAATTGTCACCCTCCAATAGCCTCGCTGCTGCCACGCCTTCATCGAAATTCGTTGACCGAACGAATCGACCAGTCACAGGAGCCGTCCTAGATAATGGATCGGTTCTTGGAGCTGCCAAAACGTCTGAGGCCGGCCCGCACCTTTCCCAATTTATGGCTCAACTTGCAAGATTCAAGCCCTCCGCGACTTGAGCACATGAATCTTCCGTCATTCTGGACCACGCCCGCCCAAAACTCCTCTAAGCCCGTGAGCCCCAAGACAACAATGTTCATTCTCAACAATCTTGATGCTCTTTCTTTTCACTCCAACGATACCACATACGCTGCTCTTAACCCCATCATGTAATTGTACTGTATCTTTATAACCTTGCCGCATACCGAAGATTATTAGGCCGCTGCGTTCAACGGCCAAGGAGTTCGAACACCTTTAGCTTGAACTTTCCTAGCGAGAAACATGCAAGTCGGTAAGTAGAGACTGAAAAGTACGCAATGTCATTTGTGGATTCTTTGCTTGGCAAACAAAGAGGAAGAGCAGCGGTCGATAACGACGCTGATGACCTATGACCGACCCGCCCACTCCTACTTCTATTCATCCCGAACATAATTACTGGGAAAAAGAAAGGTACGCTTGTCAGTCTGTCCACTCTACACTCTGGTGCGAGATAGGGTGCTCACCCGGGAAATACTCCTTGTAGACCGTTGACGATTCCCGTCCACCAGTCCTCGGTACTCGCGGTCCTCTCGACCACCTCGATACGATCCCCGGCGCTGAAAGATAGGTCACCATCGGCCTAGCAAAACGATCAGCACAATCAGTCGGAGGCAGACATCAAGAAAGAAAATGACAGCTCACTGTTGCTGTATAATCGTAAAGCGCAACGACGTACGACTTTCCGGAAGCAGCACCGGGCTTGGGTTTATTAGGGGGCGGTGGGGGGGTGCGTTTGCTGGTAGCAGCAGCGGACGCGGCCCCGGCGCCGGAAGAATAAGGTGGTGGGCCCGTGGCTGATGCCGACGGTGAGCGCGCAAGACCCCCTTTGGATGGCGCCCGGCTAGCCATGCCACCTCCTTTTCCGCCCAGAACCGAGCCGCTGCCCCCGGAGGAAGCCGAGGGAGATCGGTTCTGCTGCAAGAGCTTGGCTGTGGAACAAATCACACGTGAGAAAACACAACGACAGAGTGGGGCTAGTATGTCGAACGCACCGGTGGGCATGGCGGGCTTGCGAATGGATAGAGCCTCCAATTTTTCGGCCGCATCTGACAGCTGGGCCACGTAGTTGTCCTCTACTGAAGCAGCGGCTTGGGCAGAGACATCGTATCGACCATCGGCAAATGTCTGAAGCTTGTCGAGGGTTAGATAGAAGACGTTGAGCCTTGAAAGTGGGCCGGACATCAGCTTGCGAAACCGAGTTACTCAATGTGCGGGACAAAGGGGACAACCCACTGCATGTAGTAAAAGCTGTGAAAAAGCGGCGTGATGAAGCGGGCGGCCATTTCAAAAAATTGGGGCAGCTCCTCTTTCATGGTGTTGTTGTAGTATTCGTAGTCGGCTGCCGCGGTCTCAAATTCCTGTTCGAGTTTAAAGAGATTCTGCTCGTCCTTGAGCGTCTTCTCCTTCTTGTCACGAGCCTTCGTATAAGTGTTGTTGTGCCGATCAAAATCAACGAGCTGGAGAAGAGAGCACAAAGAGTGAGTCTTGCATCTTTGGATCTGTTCCGCATCTTGGGGAAGCCCACCTTGTGATCGCGCTTGGTGATGTTCTTGCGAACAGCCTTGAGAATTGCGATAAAGTCATTGGCGGGCGAAATAATGCGGCTGTCGATGAGATCGATCTCGGGCGTGAGTGTCTCGCGGAGGTCTTCCATGTGCTGCCGATAGGCTGGCAGATTCTGAATTGTCGTAGACGCTTCCGGATGACTCCTTTCAATGTCAATCTCGGCACCTATGGGCGAGAAAAGGCTCGTGAAGCAGGCGCCGAACGACTCGCCCGACATAAGCATGTCTAGGGAAGGGGTCAAATTCAAAGTCAGTCCCTCACACCACTACCCTGTCCCCACACGGCGGTACACGCACTCTTGACAGCCTCTCGAAATGTGGTGCTATCCTTGAGCAGCTTCTCGGCGTACTTCTCGATGACAGTAAAGCGGCGGTTCATGTCGTCGAATTGGGCGTCGTGCGACTTGGAGGCCATGCCCACTTTGCCTCCCAGCATGTGGGGGGTCCTGTCTCCTCGTAATCAGCATTGCTGAGCTTGCCGATGACCCACCTGCATACAGCAGCGTACTCACCGCTTAGCGAACTTCGCAATGCCCTTCATGGTGCGGCGGCGTCGAGATAATTAAGACAGGTGCAACCGTATCGAGCGCCCACAATGCCTGTGTCCTTGAGGGGTCACGTGGTGTACACGTTGTCGTCCGCGTTGCAGGACGGACGAGATACAGGCGTCGTCCTTTAAGTGACGTTACCTGGGTCCTGGTGGACAAAGACAAGGGAACTTTCGAATGGAAGCGGGCCTTTCTTATTGATCCAGCTGGAAGAGATCAGAGTAGCAGGACAACAAGGCACGCGGAGCGGTCAGTAGATGCCGCCCCGCTAATGTGCACCGCCCGCTTCTCTCCATGTGGATTTATTTCTCTCAGCTCAACGTCTCGCGCGCACGCCCGCCTCCCGGGACGTGCACTGCACGCTGATGTAATCATGCCTCCGCAAGAGTGTCCCTTCGCCGCTACTTCTCCTACACTGCCGCGACACTGCTCTTCGGTGGTGCAGCAACACGAGCAACAGCTGGACAGACGATGGAACTACATTAGAGACAATAGCATTTCACCCTCGAACATGGCTGAAGCGAATCGTCAAGGCGAAGAGCAGGTCTCAGGAGAGGGCCCTCACCCTCGATCATCAAGTTGCAGATCCTCACGAGAGGGACCCTCTTCATTGCAAGTCTATGCCTCGGCCAAGGCTCATTTGTCCGTGACGGACCTGGTGGGCCCTGCCTGGTGCGAATATCTGTTTCAGTACCGAATCTTGGGCCTCGCACACCTTCCGATCTCACAGCGGCCCGAAAAGGTTGTCACGCCCCAGGGTGCCACGCTCGTGCCAGATAGCACAATTGCGCAGCAACGCGAGCAGACGCTGGCCTCTGGAAAGGCGGTGCACCAAACCCTGGAGGACGAAGTGCAACCAGTGAAAGTTGAGGTTCGAACGTCGGTCCGAGAGGATCGATGGGCCCTGAGACTGTTGCAGATGATGGTAGGGCTACAAGCGCTCGTGGAACAGGGCTGTTGCGTGAGTTCAAGCAAAAGCAGACCAACAAGCTTCTTTCCCAATCTCACTCTCGCATCTTTACGGCTTGCTATAGCGAGAGCTACCGGTCATGGGCAGTATTCACGGAAAGCTGGTCCTCGGCATCGTTGACGAGCTGTCGCTTCGATCATTGGCTTCGGGAAAGACGAAGAGCAACAGCTCAGTCCCGCACGACAAAGTGAGCGAGCCGGCAAAGAAGCGCTGGTCGTCGCAGGAGGAGTGGAAGCGAGAGTCTACCAGAGCAAGAAGGAAATCTTTGACCTCCTCCCCGGCTAAGAAAAAAGCAAGATCTGCATCGTCGCAGACCAGTATCGCAGGCTTCTTTGGGTCTTCGTCCGAGCTAATCGACGGTACAGGAGAAGAGGGAGTAGGAGGTTTTATCAAAGCGGTCGAAGGGGAGGGGGCCGAGAAAGAGGAAAGAACGCACAAGAATGCCATGGGAGTCTTTCTTTCCGATGCGAAGACGAGGTCTGTGTGGAGCTTGCCGAGTCCTGGAGATCAGAGGCACTCCAGGTTGCAGTGTATGCTCTACAAGAGGCTGTGAGTTCTGCGGAGAGTACAGTGGCAGCCTCCTTTTGACAGCTGAACTGTTCAATGGTCTCGTTGTGTAGGCTTGACGGTCTCTTCGCAGGCGCGTTGCTGGACCTGGACGATGTCGAGACGAGAAACCGCCCGTGCTTTGACGCGTATGCGACGCCCTTCACTCCGGCGATGCTGTTTGCGATGTTAGGCCTCAAAGAAGACGTCACCCTTTCTGAGGTGTTCCTGTCCGATGTCCAACTTGTCAACGTCTCTCCACGATACGAAATACATCGGCGACGGACCCTTGGAGACATGGGCAAAATGGTCACAAAAATGCTTCTGGACATCATCGACTTCGCTCGTACGAAAAGTTGCGCTGGGTCAGCGGAAGATTTCCCGATTGTTCAAGCCGAACTTAGCCTCATTTACCATAAGAGAACAACGACTGGCCGATTTCGGCGACGAGGTTCAAGTCGACGCAACAAACACAAGCGAGGGGGGGACAGATCACCGGCTCCCCGTCGCCAGCGGGAGCGGAAGCTTGGTGTTGCTAAAAGTGAGTGGTAGCTGCGAAACCGGTGCGGTGACGATAGCCTGCCAATGTCAACGCCGGGAGAAGGACTCTCCAACAGCACCAGCACCGCAGATCTCGACGAAGAAACGGACGAAGAGGCGGAGAGGGCGCTTGCATTGCGCACAAGCTTAGACGCCTTTGGCGAAGTCGAGGAAGGAGCCGTCGATGCATCGATCGATGACGATGTCACCTTAGTACCGGACCCCGACGAAAGCGAATTGGGTCAGAACGAGATTCCTTTGGCATCGAAGAGACGACACTCTGCCTTTAGACTTCCCACGGTGAAGGGTGGGCGCAAGGAAAGAGATGGCAGGGAGAACGAGAAGGAAGCAATCATTGGAGTGGCACGCTTTCGACACGAGCCTCAAGAGCTGGAGACGCACCTGACAGACATTCTGTCGATGTGGGCGGGAGAGAGACCGCTCAAGGGCGTCGAGCTCCAGGACACCAAGAGATGCCACTACTGCGAGTTCCTCGACGGATGCGAGTGGAGACTGATCAAGGGTCAAGAAAGTCTGAGAAACTTCCACGAAGACATTAAGGATCGTGAGACCTCCTCTGCTGCAGTTGAGTTACAATACGGACAGGAAATAGGCGGCAGAGAGACTCAGGAGGACAGCGAAGACGAATTCTGGAGCCAGATACCAGATATTCCAGAAGACCTCGACTGGTAAGAGAAAGCCCTAGGGAGGGGCGGAAGATGTTATAGTACCTTTTCAATCTGCAGTATGGACTGCCGGCAGCTCTGTCCAGCGTGACAGGGTTTCATGAGTGTTGATTGAGATCATATCGCCGTATGTATGTTTGTGTGCGTATCTCGCAGACATGAGACAAAGGTAAAAGAGTACAGATGGCTTCATTACTCCGGGAGCCGAGCAAGAGGGAGAAAGACAGTAATATTTTTTGTGTCCATCTCGCCTTTACTTGAGAGGGATGAAGCGGCTCGAGGTGGCACCGAGTCCAGCGCGGCCGTGCGAAGTAGGGCGGTAGGTCATGGAGAACTCGCCTGAAAGTGAGAGAAGTATTAGCACCTTGCTCTTCACATTCGTAGGGGCTCCCTTGTTCTCCGTGTCCGTTCCCGTCAAAGCCCGGCACAAGTAAGATGGGCCCACCCAACAGCAGGCACATTCTTCTGCAAAGCTACTTCTGCGCAAGCCTTCCATCAGAAGACCGGAAGCTCATCCTCCTGTGGGTAGTATCCAATTTCTTCTCTTCTCCCCCACTGCCGGGTGTTTCTTCTCGCTAATTCCGTTCGTCCGACACTCTCGCCTCTCTCCCGAACATCATCTGACCTGCCTCTTGCTCAAAAGCTTTCAACTCACCGAGGTAGTGGCCGATCATCTCTGGCTTGATGTCGACGGTGTTGAAGACCTTTCCGCTGTAGACACCGATTTGGCTGCCGCACATCTCGGGCACGACGAGCATGTCGCGGAGGTGCGTCTTGACGATGGCCGGCTTCTCATTTGCCGGGGCCTCCTTCTTGGCCTTGCGAAGCTTCTTGATCAGGCCCATGGGCTTGCGCTTGAGGCCGCGCGAGAAGCGTCTGCGGGCGCGGGCGTGGACGAGCTTGATGAAGTCCTCGGTCGACATGTCGAGGAGCGCATCGAGCTCGTAGCCCCTGTAGGAGAACTTGCGGAAGGTGCGCCTGCGCTTGAGCTCGGCGGCTTTCTCGGCGTCGTACGAGTCCATGTCTGTCGAGGGTGTGGAAGACGTTGGTTTGGTTGGAAAGACGAAGCGACGGCGACAGGTAATCCTGCGCCTCTATCCATCTTTGGAATTTCCATGACATAAATACGATCGCAAAAAGGATAAGAGAATCGACTGCGGCTCCGTCCAATTTTTGTATCTGTTCAAAGAAAAGCACGTGGTGCGCCCACCGGAGAAGAAATCTGCCCTTCGACGTTTTCGCGGTCACTTTCCTCGACCCATCAACCAATTCGATCAATAGCCATCGGTGAGTTTTGCGTCTGCAGATATCCAATTCAATACCCGCGCTCACCATTGAATCTATCCAAAGTCCACAAGTCTTCCTTCCTAGGATCAAAGCTTCCAGCGGATTTGCGGCCTCGGCATCTATTAACCATTCCATCTGACAACACTCAGCAAAAATGAAGCACATCGCAGCTTACATGCTCCTCCAGCTCGGCGGCAAGACGCCCTCGGCCGCTGATGTCAAGGGCCTCCTCGACACGGTCGGAATCGAGGCTGATGAGGAGCGCCTCAACACGCTCATCTCGGAGCTCGAGGGCAAGGACATCGCCCAGGTGAGCTCAGACTGGCGTCCTGAACCTTGAAAGAAAGAAACCACAAAGCTGATGACTGTATACTCCGCAGCTCATCACCGAGGGCCAGGAGAAGCTTGCTTCGGTTCCTTCGGGAGGTGCTGGTGGCGCTGCCGCGCCCGCTGCTGCTGCCGCCGGCGGTGCCGCCCCTGCCGCCGAGGAGAAGAAGGAGGAGAAGAAGGAGGAGGAGAAGGAGGAGTCGGACGACGACATGGGCTTCGGCCTCTTCGACTAAAGGATCGAAAGCACATGCTCTCGATGCCATCCCTTCCTCTTTCCGAAGACTTCAAACATGTTCAACAACTGCGCATGTCATCTTCTCTCATCTCTTCTGTTGCGTGATTCAATTCATCGTGATGGAAGTGAAGTAACGTCTGATCTTCTCGGACAATTCTACTGTTACTGAAATGGGCTTCGTATCCTTGATGAAGTCTGCAATCCGGATCCCGAGAGGTGCTTCTACGAAATGGTGAGCCTCATGAGATAGCGAAAGCGGACTTGGCTTTCGTCGTACACAATATACTGTGGTATTTTGAGCCAATCGAAACGAAGAAAGCCAGTAGATATAGTTGCTACACACCTCGTTGTACTGCAGATACGTATCGGCACCATCTTCGTCCCTGAGACCTCCAATGGGCACCTTGACACCCTTGAGATGAGGCGCAATGTGGTCCCCTGCGTCGGCCCAGCCGGCACTTGAGAGAGAATTTGGGAAGCAAGAGGAGCAAAAGAACCTCAATCAGTAGCTCCCTAGCTACATCCGTATAAAGAATCTCAACGCTCACGGGATGGTGCGGCCTAGGCCCTTGGTGGAAAGACCTCCTTGAGCCTTGACGACCTCGGCTGCGTCGTAGTTTGGGGTCTTCATTTCCACAATCTGGCTCGATTCGCTAGGTAAATGAGAAGCAATACCTTCCCCGTCTCAGAGCAGCTCACCTTGCCGAGCTGGGCCTCGCAGAGTAGCATCAGGCCCTCGTTGTTGCTGATATGATGGTAGAGGTACTGGGCGCTCTTTGAGGCCTATCAGAACGGTTCGTGCAACGAGGAGTAACGTGCAGCATAGCGAGTGTTTTCGGAGAGAGAAAGAGAGAGAGAGAGGAACGTTTCATCAGACAACGTCGTTCCTACGGTCATGATTGATGAACGTAGCAAGTACAAACTCACCACATCCGCAAGATAGATCCCACGCCCAAAGGCGTACCCATTGGCAGGCGCGGCAGGAGGCGCCTGACGCATAGCATGTGATAAATGTCGAGGCACACAGCAATTCACATGCTTCACTCACGATGCGAAGACCCTGGCTCATTATGCCCCCGTAATTCGCCAGGCGAGATCCGTGAAACAGGAGACGGCGGTCCCCATCTTCGTCTCCGTCTTGTTTTCCAAAGTGCTCGGACTCGCCCTCTCTCTCGATGGAGAAGATGTCGCCGACGGTGATGTTGAACCACGAATGAGTTCTGCCGTGTGTGGTCTCAACAAGCTCGCACACCTTCTGATACTCGTTGGTAGACCTCTCGAGAGGCTCCAGCGTACTGAGTTTAAGTCCTTCGATCCGTGCGTCCAAGCGATTGGTGCTGGAGTCGTCGAGGTTGTGCATGAGCTTGAAGCCGACCTTCATTTCAGAAAGCGTCGAGAGAATGTCGAGCTCATTCCTGACAATGTCCATGTTATCAATGGGCACAGGCCGTGTCTTGCGCGAAAAGATGTGCGGAATCAAAGAGTAGTAGGCGTCGCTAAGAGCGTCTATGTTGTCCATGGTGCCCTGCTTGATGGCGTCGGAAAGCAGCGTGAGCTTCTCCATGCCCTTCTCAATCGTGTGCTTGCTAAGCGACCCCAGTGGCTGCTTCTTTGCATCGTAATTCATCTCGGCCAGCGTGGCATCGAACAAGCCTTGGTTGAAAATGAGCTTGGCCAGCTCCTGGACTGGCCTGCTGAGCTTGCTGGGTGTCTGCTGCGGCGAGAGCCTCCTCTTCTTTGGGCTGGTGGTCGGAGCTCGTGAGGGGCTTGCCGAAGAGACGGCTTTCTGATCTTGATCATATACGCCGCCGTCATCGTTTTGACCGCCCTGTTGGTCATTATCATCGCCACAAACACCGTTTTCGTCGTCGTTTTCGCCGCCGCGTGCAATGTCGAGCCAATAGTACTTGCCAGGCTTAGGCACGGCCGTTCGACGAGCCGCGAAGTGAAAGCCAGTCTTGCTCTTGAACTGTTTCTCAAATTCGATTTCGCCCTGTGCTTTGCTGAAGGGTCCCTTTGTCTGCTGCTGGCCCGATTCGCCCACCCTTCCCCACCGGGCGAACAGAAAAGAAATGTCCTTTCCGCTGTCGGGGACGAGCAGCTGAATGAAATATGCCTGGATTCGGAGGCACAGTCAACGATCTGGTCTTCTAAAGCTCGCCATTCGGCCACCTGCCTTGTTGGCATTCTTCTTGATATCAGTCTGGTTCTGTGCAGATTATATCAAGGAATTGCACAATGTGCATGTCTTTGTGATTAGTCGTGTATAAGAAAGTGAGGAGAATCGAGCATCCCACGTACCAAGGTGGCGGTATAGATCTCATCGCTGGTCGATGTGTGCACGCGATGAGTGTCTTTCAGGCTGCAGTAGGGGTCAACCGGAGCTGTCTCCTTCCTTATGACTGTGATCATTTCCGCTTCGTCGTCATCTGTTGCGGACGCCTGGCGCTTGGCTGATCGCACCTTCTTGTCTGCGTCTTCGTCTCCGTCTCCGTCTTGATCATCGTTGTCTTCGTTCGCGATGGAATCTTCAGCAAGCGCCTTTTGGACCCCGCGAGCTTATAAATTATCCTAGATCAGCTGACTCCATGAGGAGGGCTCCATTCGGATGTACGCACTTGACTCCGTAACACCCGATCTCTTCTCCTCCTTTAGTGCTGTAACCGCCTTTGGAGAGGAAGTTCGCGAAGAGGCGAAGGCGTACTTGTTGGTGCTCAATACCTTGCCTTCTTTCTGATGCAGGAGGGACACCACATTTAAAAAGAAAAATGAAAAATGAGCATCACTCGACTCATCAACGTCAGTCAGGACAGAAGAGGCATGCGAGCTCACTTTGCTGTCCAGGATCCAATCAAGGCTGACAATTGGAAGCTGCCTGGCCTTAGCCCGAGTAATCGTGTCTGTGTTCTTGTCAAATTCGTCCCGGGTGGACAAGAGGTGCGTAGTCTGGCTGTTGATCCTCGGCGAAACGACACCTGCAAAGAGGGCGAGGGGAGGATGAGTAGAGAGAAGCCATGAAGAGGGCATGTGCTGCACCTACCGCCAGATCTCAGGATGAGCCGCTGAAGTTGAGCGGGAGTAAAGCCAGGAAACTGTGTTGTGCGGCAGTCAGAGTTTCGCTGTTTCTGGTTGCGGCAGCAAATGACAGCATGACTGACCGAACCGCCGACACAGATGCGGGTGCTAGCTAGAACATTGGAAGTAACTTCGACACCGCTTGCTGCGCTTGTTGCGCTTGCTGCGTTTGAGCGCCGCGAGCTTCCGGGAGACATTCTTGATCGTCGTCGGTAATAGGAGCTCACTTCTCGCAGTTAGGTCTAAAGAGGATCAAGAAGCCTGTAAGGAGGACAGTAAGCGAAGTTTGACGATGCAAAGCTGAGTCTAGAGGCGGGGGTGATGAGCACAAGGTCGAGCACATGCACATGCACATTCACTGGCGGGAGGTCTGTGCTCAAAATTAGGCTTTTTGGCGGTCGTCGTAGATGCATCGCTCTGTCCAGTCTTCACAAGCGCCTTCAAAGCTTGGCATACGTAGGTGATATGACAGAGGACCTCCTCGTCCTACTATTTTCAGGAGCATTCACATATCATACGATCCACTTTGCTTGTTAAATCGTTGCTAATCGTCGACACTCGCTCGCAGACACTGAAGAGAAGGTGCAGCTTTCAGGATTATCCGCGTAGGACGCGGAGGCCCACGTGAATTTTACAAGCTTCGGTTTAGACTACCGTAAGATTTGGTCTTGGACATGTCAGTAACGAAGGAGCAAAGGAACTGAAGAACACCTCGTTCCCTCAAAGTTTACTGCCTTTGCCATCAGAAGACGACTTCAGCTTCTTTGCTTCTTCTCGTAGTGTCCTTCTCAAGATCTTTCCGCTGGGCGTCTTCGGGATCGCATCGATGCTGTGAGAATCCGCACGCATCAGCAAGAGAGAAGAGAGGGAACGGGAGAAAACAGAAGAATTCACATCTCAACACCTTTCAGGTGCTTGTACCGAATTTTGTGATCGGAGACGTGCTTCATGACGCTGCTCTTGAGCTTTTGTTCCTCTGTTTCGCTGGCACCCTTGAGTCTCTGCCTCGCCTCGCTGGAGAGGGAAATGTAAGCCAGCGGGCGCTCGCCCGACGATTCGTCTGGTACTCCAATGACGCAAGAGTCGGATACGTCTGGATGGTTGAGTAACCATCCCTCAAGCTCGGCCTTGTGGGAGAGATTGTGTGTGTGTTTGGGGTGGGGGGGAAGGGGGGAAGGGGGGAAGGGGGCAAAGGCTTCAGCACTGGTAGTATGTTTCCTCTTAAAAAGGAGAGAGAGAGAGATGGAGGAAGAGGGCTTTACAACTCACGGGAGCCACTTGGAAGCCTTTAACCTTGATGAGCTCCTTGAGCCTGTCGACGACGAAAAAGTCTCCGTCGCTGTTGATCTTGACTTCATCACCAGTTCTGACCCAATTGCCCTCGAGAAACATTTCGTTTGTCGCCTGCTGATTATTGCTATAGCCAAGGGTATTTTGGGGTCCCCTGATCCATAGCTCGCCCGGCTCATCAATGCCGCAGTCTTTGCCGTCGGGCGACACGATACGGGCCTCCGTGTCGGACACGAGTCGGCCGGCGCTACCTTCGACGCACCGCATTCGCAAAGGGTGCATCAGTGTTAATGTACAAGTCTCGCTGCGAAAATCGTGTCAGCTTGTCTGTCTTCTATGATGCGAACGCACAAACGCAGCGCTCACGTCATTCCGTCTGCAATGAAAGAAGGGTCAGCTTCCTCCTTAGTTCTTTTCATAACATATACATTCTGGAGGATAGCTCACAGCCTTGACCCCAGTCGACGTTGGGTAGCAGCTTCTCGAATTGCCGGCTGAGATCGTCGGAGAGGGGCGCAGCGCCCACCATGACAAAATGAACGATGCCTCTGACTTTTTCGTGATAAGGTCTGGCATCATCGGACTTGCAGAACAACACCACCTGGGGCGGCACCAACGGCCAGATAGAGATGCCATATTTGACGACGGACTCGAGCATCGGGCCAATGCCTTTGAATTTGGGAATGACGACGTTCTGAATTCCGGCCCAGAATTGGGCGTGAAGGATGAGCACCAATCCGTACTGTCACAATTGCCAAGCATGTCAGACGAAAAATTAAACAGGGTCTAACAAGAGCATGTCTGCTCACGATGTGGAAGAAGGGAAGAACCCCCAGAACGACATCGACTCCCGGTCGATAACGGCCCTTTTTTTCGCCGAGCTTGTTAGACAGCTCGTTGAAGACGAGGTACTGGAGAATGTTGGCGACGGGGGCAGAGTGCTGAATGGCGACACCTTTTGGCAAGCCAGTAGTGCCACTGCTGAATGACAGAAAAGCGAGTTTGTTCTTTGCCTCGCCCGGTGACATCTTTGCCCGCGTCTTGTCGAGAGTCGTTTGTCGACCTTTCTTTGCGACAGCCTCCTTGCCGTGCTCGACGAGGCCAGAGAGCTGTTCGAGGATTCAAGATGTGAGCACACTATCTATCCGATGAAAGGAGAACTTTCAAGCCATCGACGATGCTCACTGTCCACGCATCGCCGTCGATTTTTCTCTGGATTTTCCCCCCATTGTCCTTCGCATGCTTGCGGATCTGAACCGGGTCCTGGACGACAACGACCCTGCTCCTGGGAATCTTGGCCTTTTCAGCGGCGTCGTAACCCTGCTGCTTAGCGCCCTCGTTGACAAAAACAACGGTGGCCTTGCTTGCTTCCAGCTGGTAGGACAGTTCGCTAGGCTGGAACGCCGGGTTGGCGCATGACACGATGCCTCCGAGCCGGTGCGTGGCCCAGATCATGACGCCATAGTCGAGGGTGTTGGCAGAAAAAACGGCAACGACAGTGTCCTTGGCTTTCAAGAAGACGTTCACGTCCTTTTCAGCAGCAGACGAAGCATAGCAGGCAATCTTTACTCACCCACGCCCGTCACTTCCGAAAGACCAATGGAGAGAAAGTCGGTGCGCTCTTTTGTCTCCTCGAACGTCAGGCCTTCGCCCGTGTCGTCGTCAACAAAGAGCTTTATACCTGTGCCGCGGACGTCGGGCTGCCATCAGGAGCTGTCAGCAGTCTGGATGCCAATTGTGCGGTGCGCTGCACTAACCCGCGAGGGACGAAAGTCTTCAAACATGAAGCTGTACAGATCGATGTCTTCAGGGAAGGACCCCACGGACTTTGCCGCAGATCTGTAGATCCCATCTTGCTGCACCTGCTGCTGTTTCAATGACATCGTTCTCGTCCTTCTTCTTGATGCGAGTGCGTTGTATGATGATGGGAAGCGAGCAAGCACGAAGTGGGAGAGTCGGGAGGGTGCCGCGGCGCCGCCCGCGTGGCCCCTCCACAAATTGCGGGGCCACCGGAAATCGAGGCCATGCACTAGCCATCCATCATTACCCCCC